GCGCAGGGAGCGGGCGGGGGCTCAGTGGGGGGCTCTCCCCCGGCAGTCAGGGTGGGCCCCAATGCCCGTGGGGGGCCCTAGGGGGCGCTGTGCGCCGGGAGCGGGCGGGGGCTCAGTGGGGGGCTCCCCAGCACTTGGTGTGACGTGCCCCGTCCTGCCCTGCGCGGTGACTGGCGCGATGGGTCCTGGGCTCCGGCTGCGTGGGTCAGCGTGCCCCTCAGCTCGGCCCCCCCCCGTCCTGGTGTGCTCAGCCCGGCCCCACAGCGTGCGCTCGCCCCACAGGCAGCTACGAGTGCCTGACCCTAGCCCTGCGGAGCCGCTGCGAGGACCGGACCGAGCGGCGAGGGCGCGGCGGGCAGGGCCAGGGGAGGCCGCCGGGGCCAGGCGCGCCCGCCGGGAGGAGCCGCTGGCAGGTCTCTGCGAGATTCACGTCCTGCCCCTGGTGGTCGCGGCGCAGGACCCCAGGCGCCCGCAGAGGCTGCACTGCGTAGGTGGGTGCGCGGGGAGCCGGGGCCGGCAGCCAGGGGCCGCTCTGGCACCCGGCGACCAGGGATCAGCGGGACTCCCCTGCGCAGGGAATGCAGCGCCCCACTCTCCCCCCAGCCGGGGCCCCGGCCACTGGGACATGGGGCCCCGGCCAGGCACCACCCCAACCCGGTGACTGTCCCGGGGCCTTGCCGGCAGGTGACGGGCCCAGCTCTGCTAGTGAAGGAGGCTGTTCCCTGGGCCCCCCTCCGGCCCGCTGCCCCAATTCCCCTCTGCCCCATTCTGACTCAGCCATGAGCCTGTGGGTGCCCTGCCCCACCTCTGTCTGTCCATCTGTGGGCCCTGCCCCGCCTCTGTCTGTCTGTCCGTCTGCCCCGCCTCTGTCTGTCTGTCTGCCTGTGGGCCCCGCCCCGCCTCTGTCTGCCCCACCTCTGTCTGTCCATCTGTGGGCCCTGCCCCGCCTCTGTCTGTCTGTCCGTCTGCCCCACCTCTGTCTGTCCGTTTGTGGGCCCTGCCCCGCCTCTGTCTGCCCGTCCGTCTGCCCCACCTCTGTCTGTCCGTTTGTGGGCCCTGCCCTGCCTGTCTGTCTGCCTGTGGGCCCCACCCCGCCTCTGTCTGCCCCACCTCTGTCTGTCCATCTGTGGGCCCTGCCCCGCCTCTGTCTGTCTGTCTGTCTGTCTGTGGGCCATGCCTCTGTCCATCCGTCTGTGGGCCCTGCCCCGCCTCTGTCTGTCTGTCCGTCTGCCTCACCTCTGTCTGTCTGTTTGTGGGCCCTGCCCTGCCTCTGTCTGTCCGTCTGTCCATCTGTCTGCCCCGCCTCTGTCTGTCCGTCTGTGGACCCTCCCCCGCCTCTGTCTGTCCATCTGTCTGCCGCGCCTCCATCTGTCCATCTGTGGGCCCTGCTCCGCCTCTGTCTGTCTGTCCGTCTGTGGGCCATGCCTCTGTCCATCCGTCTGTGGGCCCTGCCCCACCTCTGGCTGTCAGTCCTGCCACATATCACCTGTTGCTTTTCCTGGCAGAGCTGCAGGGGCTCAGCCCGTGCCCCCAGCCGCTCGCTGCCCGTCGTCAGCCCCGGCCCCGCGGCCGCTCCCGGCGAGCTGGACGAGAACACGCGCCGATGCCACCGGCAGCAGCTGCCCTCCCACAAATCCTGCCGCATGTACCAGACCTGCCACCACGCCGTGCTCATCTCAGGTGTGGCCCCGGGGGGGGAATGGGACACGCTCCTTCCCCTGGAGGGGGCGCTGGCTCTGGTCCGGCCCCAGGGCAGGGACTGGGCCATGGGGCCTTTCCCCTCTGGGCTGTCAGTCTGGCTCCGGCCCCATAGGCCGGGGGTGAAGGGCATTTCCCAGCTGGGGGCCCTGGAGGCCCAGTGCGAAGGGGGCAGGGCTGGGGCGTCTCCAGGCCAGTTCCCTATATCAGCCCCCCCTGAGTGGGGCTCATCCCCCTGGCCATGCTGGAGGGCGGCTTGCCCCGGCTCTGTCTTTTCTGGGGCTGAAGGGGGTGGGCCGGGCCGAGGGCCCTGAAGCGGGGGCCCTTGCCCTCCCCTGGCGCCGAGGGGCTGAATCCTGCTGCTGTGAGCTGGGTGCCCCGTCAGAGCCCCGAACGTGGCACGGTGCCACCCCACCCCCCCACTGGCAGGTGCTGCCAGGCTCTGGCCCCTCCCTTAGGGCTGGAGAGACACTGGCCTTGGTGCCCCCTCCCTGCCCAGCCCTCTGGCTCCGGCCAGCCGAGCCCCGTGCTGCCCCCAACGCTGCCCCCGCCCCCCCCCGCAGGCGGCTGGCAGGAACAGATCACCTGCCCCCACCACGCCCGCAACCTGCGGCTCTTCGGCAAGAGCACATCGAGGCCTTCTTCGCGGGCGACGGCCAGGCGCCAGGTCAGGGCGCGGCCCTGGGGCCTCGAGTGACTGCCCGGGGGGGGTACCAGGCCATGCGGAGCCTGTGATCACCCCCTGACCCCTCCAGCAGGGGCTACCTGGGGCTTTGGCTGCCAGCGCTGGCCCCGACGCCGGGTCTCAGTGCGATGCCACCAGGGGCGGGGCTGGGGGCAGAGACCCTGTGGACTGGGCCCAAGTGAATCAAGGCTTAGGGCACTGGTTGGCACAGCCCCCCCCGGTGCCCTATGCTCTGCAGATTGACCAGCTCCTGCAGCGGGCACCGGCCTTCTCCCTCCCCCACTCAGCCCTAGACTGGGAGGAGAGGTGGGGCGTGCGGAGCACCCGGTTGCAGGGGGTTGCGCTTGGTGCCGAAGGAGGGGGCTGGGCGGGGACATGGGCCCGAGGGCAGGAGGCCCCAGGGTGTGGAGACAGGGCTGGGGCGGTATGGGCAGGCAGGGCGGGAGGGGGCTGGGGGCGGACGCTGTCCGTGGCCTCACTGAAGGGCTCTCTGCCCCCAGGGGCGCGGAGGTGGGCGACGTCTCGCGGAGAAGCGGCAGATCCGTAGCCACCTGGCGCTGGGGTGCCGCGGGCAGCTCTGCACCGACTCCCTGGCGCTTTATCTGAACAGCTCCGGCCGGCGCGACGGCACCATGCTCCTGTGGGCCAGCAAGGAGAACGGCAGCGTGAGTGGGCGCCCCCCAGCTGGGACCCCCGGGGCCCGGGGGTGTGGGCAGGCGAGGGCCCGAGGTTCCCGTCAGGTGGTGCCAGGGGAGCTCAGCCCGAGGGAGCCCCGAGCCCCGTACGGACCCCGCAGCAACTGCTGCTTCCCGTCACGCCGCTGTGCCCTCGCCCGGCCCCCTGGGGCAGTGGGGGTCTCAGGGGACGCAGGGTGACTCCTCGGCTCTGTGCCTCTCCCAGGGCCCCGGGGCGGCGCTGAGAGAACCGGGCCCCCCTGGATCTCCAGGTGGAGGTGAGCTCGCTGCCCCCTCGCCTCTGATCTGCTGCACTTCAAAGGCCCCGGCTTGGCACTTTCATCTGCGCTGGCTGGGAGGGACCCCCCCCGTCTAATCCCCCTGTCAAGTGCTGGGCTGCTGGAATTCCCTTGATCTCCTGCCTGGAGTCTCCAAGCAGCTGGGGTGGGGTGGGGTGGGGGGGCAGCGTCGTACCCCTCCCCTTTGTGCTGCGGGCAGGTGGGGGAAGGGACCCTCTGCCCCCCCGCAGGCCGACCCCAGGGAGCGCTACCCTGTGGCCGAGCTCCTGGCGGACCTGGAGGGCTGCAACGCCCGCAGCGTCGCTACCCGGGCCCGCTGGCCAGGCAGCTGCTGGCGTCCGGGCGGCACGGGAACATGGTGCTGGTGAGCGGCCAGCTGGGCTCCGACGTCGCCCGGGGCTCGGCCTTCAGCGAGTTCTGGGCTCGGCCGCAGCCCGACCAGTGCCTGCTGCAGGACCTCGGGCAGGTGGGTCGGCGGGGCGGGGATCCCGAGGGCGAGGCCACCGCCGGGCAAGCGGCACCGAGCCCCACAGGAGATGCCCGTGTCACCCTCCAGGCCCAGGCCCGCCTTGGAGCTGCCCCTTGGGGGACCTCCAAGCATGCGGGGGGACGGCTGGTGCAAGTCTGGGACACCGACCCCAGGGGGTCCCCCCTCCACTGGGGCTTGGCACAGGGGAGACGGGGGTAGGTGGGGGGTAGCGCTGTTCTCCCAGGCTTTGGGCACCCCCCAGGAGCCCCCCCTCGGCCCTGACGCTGCCTCCCTTGCTCTCCAGGCGGGCCCACGGGCAGCCGGCTCCTCTCCCGGGGCCACGCTGCAGCTGCTCAACGTGACCCTGGCCGGGGCGCCCTGCCACAGCACCCCGCCGCGGACGGAGGACAAGCACAGGCGGGTGTTCCTGGGCTGCCAGAACCTGCCCACCAGGCTCTGCTGCCAGGCCACGCACACGCCGCAGCAGGACGACGCCTGAAGCTGGGTCCCCTCCCTGGTTCCTGCTCCCTGCTGGGCGGGACTGAGCCCCCCATGCCCGCCCAGAGCCAGCCGCAGGGGCCGTGGCCCCTCCCAGGCTGGCCGGGCATCAGCCGCAGCCTCCCGCAGCGCCAGGGCCAGCTGGGATGAACAGCCAGGGGTGGGGTCTGGCTAAAGCTGCGATGGGGGAGGGCAGCGCTCGGGCTCTGATGGCCCCCGGCGTGTGCCAGGCAGGGGCAGGCAGGGACCCGCTGTCCATAACCCGCTCCCTCAATAAAGAACCAGTCCTGTCCCCCTGTGTGGAGCTGTTTAACCCTCTCAGCGCCTGCCCCCGGACGCCGGGGTTCTGCACATGTGGGCATTCCTCCTGCACAGCTGAGAAGTGAGGGGTGGGCAGGACTCCTGGGTTCCATTCTCTGCTCCCCCGGGGGCACTGTCCCTCACTTACTGGTGCCGAATGTGGGGTGGGGGGTCGCTTCGTCCACGCTGCTCCTGTGAGAGCTGCCCAGGGTCGGCTCTCGCTGAGGGACCCGGAGAACGGCGCTGGGGTGCCCTGCTGCGGGCTGAGTGCAGGTTCTCCAGGAGCACGGTCTGAAGCTGGGCCTGGCCTCCCCCCACCCAATCCGGAGAGTTGCCCCTGCCCCTGCCCAAGACAACACAGAGCCGGAGCCCAGAGCTGGCCACAAACAGTTTACAAGATTCAGCAACAAGACGTCAAATCAAAACCTGAAAAACAACCAACCCCCTGCTCTGCCCCCCTGGTGCCCTGCCCCTTAGTGCCCCCCCCGGGCTCTGTACGGGGTGGCAGCACCTCCCCCCACCCCAGTGCTGCCGGGAGCCTCCCGTAACAGAGCGGTGCCCTGGGCCATGGCCAGCTGAAAGGGCTGCCCCCTCCCCTGCCCACGGGCAGCAATGCTGGGGGTGCGCAATCCCAGCATGCAATGCTCTGCTGGCTGCACCCATGCCACGGGCGGCTGGGGGTCGGGCAGCGGGCTGCCCGTGTGCCCAGCAGGGATCACAGGGGGTGTCTGGGCCAGGACGCGGCTCGCCCCGTTTGGCCGCTCGTACGGCAGGAACAGCGGTGCAGCCCCCCCGCTCCAGGAAGGTGCCAGAGCTCTGAAACAAGCCGAGGTCACGCAGCCCGGGGGGCCTGGCGTGCCGACCGATGCCAGGGCAGCAAACTACAGCCACAGCGGGGGGGCAGCTCTGTGCCCCTGCCCGAAGTCCCCTGGCTCCTGCCCGCGCTCATGGCCCCTTCCTGGGGGCCGCCGGCAGCTTCTCGGTGCTGCGGTCCTTGCTCTCCGTGTCGGAGTCGGACGCGTCCCCAGCCTGCTGCTGCAGCCACATCCCGGCGTAGACGCCACCCTTCTGCAGCAGCTCCTCGTGCCTGCGGGAGAGCCGGGGTTCAGGGGCTGCAGCTCCCGCCTGCCCTGCCCCGGGCGCTGCCCGGCCCTCCTGTGCCCCCTGCAGCCTGCCGGGCCCCCAGGAGCCCCCGCCTGCCCTGCCCCCAGCTCCACCCCTGCAACCTGCCCTGCCCCGGGCGCTGCCCCCCCTCCTGCCCTCCTGCCCCCTGCAGCCTGCCGGGCCCCCAGCAGCCCCCGCCTGCCCTGCCCCCAGCTCCACCCCTGCAACCTGCCCTGCCCCGGGCGCTGCCTGGCCCCTCCTGTGCCCCCTGCAGCCTGCCGGGCCCCCAGCAGCCCCCGCCTGCCCTGCCCCCAGCTCCACCCCTGCAACCTGCCCTGCCCCGGGCGCTGCCCGGCCCCTCCTGTGCCCCCTGCAGCCTGCCGGGCCCCCAGCAGCCCCCGCCTGCCCTGCCCCCAGCTCCACCCCTGCAACCTGCCCTGCCCCGGGTACTGCCCGGCCCTCCTGTGCCCCCTGCAGCCTGCCCTGCCCCGGGCGCTGCCCGGCCCCTCCTGTGCCCCCTGCAGCCTGCCGGGCCCCCAGCAGCTCCCGCCTGCCCTGCCCCCAGCTCCACCCCTGCAACCTGCCCTGCCCCGGGTACTGCCCGGCCCTCCTGTGCCCCCTGCAGCCTGCCCTGCGCGCTGCCCGGCCCCTCCTGTGCCCCCTGCAGCCTGCCGGGCCCCCAGCAGCCCCCGCCTGCCCTGCCCTGCCCTGCCCCCAGCTCCACCCCTGCAACCTGCCCTGCCCCGGGCGCTGCCCGGCCCCTCCTGTGCCCCCTGCAGCCTGCCGGGCCCCCAGCAGCCCCCGCCTGCCCTGCCCCCCAGCTCCACCCCTGCAACCTGCCCTGCCCCCGGGCGCTGCCCGGCCCCTCCTGTGCCCCCTGCAGCCTGCCGGGCCCCCAGCAGCCCCCGCCTGCCCTGCCCCCAGCTCCACCCCTGCAACCTGCCCTGCCCCGGGCGCTGCCCGGCCCCTCCTGTGCCCCCTGCAGCCTGCCGGGCCCCCAGCAGCCCCCGCCTGCCCTGCCCCCAGCTCCACCCCTGCAACCTGCCCTGCCCCGGGTACTGCCCGGCCCTCCTGTGCCCCCTGCAGCCTGCCCTGCCCCGGGCGCTGCCCGGCCCCTCCTGTGCCCCCTGCAGCCTGCCGGGCCCCCAGCAGCTCCCACCTGCCCTGCCCTGCCCCCAGCTCCACCCTTGCAACCTGCTCTGCCCCGGGCGCTGGCCGGACCTTGCCCTGCCCTGGGCACTGCCCAGACCCTCCTTTTTCCCCTCCAGCCTGCCCTGCCCCCAGCTCCACCCTCTGCAGCCTGCCCTGCCCTGGGTGCTATCCAGCCCCTCCTCTGTCCCCTGTAGCTCCCACCTGCCCCCGGCTCCACCCCCTGCAGCTCCCGCCTGCCCTGCTCCGGGAGCTGCCCAGCCCCTCCTCTGCCCCAGCCCAGGGGCCAGCTACCCCCCTCTACACCATGCCCTTCTCCCCACTGAAGGGCTCCGCCCATCCCAGGGCACATTGCAGCATCTGCATAGGACCCTTTGGCAAAGGCCCCACCCCCTCCCATGCTGCGACCATCCCACCGGGCAGGAGCCGCCAGCTGCAGCCAGCATGGCACCAGGAAGGGAGCAGCCGGGCACCCGGTGCCAGTCCAGGGGCAGCTGCAGCTCCCAGGGTTGGAGGGGGACCCGCCTGCAGATGCGTTGGTACGTTACCTTCCACGCTCCACGACGCGCCCGTCCTTGAGAACCAGGATCTGGTCGGCGTTGACAACCGTGGAGAGCCTGGGGCGGGGGGGGGGGGGGAGGAGAGACAGTATGTTACCAGCGCCTGAGCAGAGCCCCCCCGTGATCCTAGCCGCCGCCAGCCACACCTGCCCCAAGGTGCCCAAGCTCCCGGGGCTGACAATGCGCCCATCCCGCGTGGCACAGACCCGGGGAGGCGCTGGCAGCGAGCCACGAGGCAGCCCCGGGGCCAGCAGCTGCTTGGGGCGGGGCAGCCAGGTGGAGCGAGTGGAAAGCTGGCCGTGAGCGCCACCACAAACAAGCCACTCTCCTGGGAGGGGTCCCTCCAGCCCCGCCGTCCCAAAGCCACCATGGGCCTGCAGCCACAGACCCCTGCGCCCGCCCCTGCTACGGAGCCAGGGCCACAGCTGGCACGTTAATTTCAAAAACGTGCCCAAGCGCGACAGAGCCGGAGCCGGCTGCCGGAGTCTGCCGAGAGCCTGAAACCGGGCCTGGCCGCGCCTGCCCAGGGCCGGGGGTGGAACAGCAACAGAGCAGAGCAGCAACAGCTGCAGGTGCCCCCATGCTGTGGGGCTGGAAGTGCCGGGGTGCCCAGCACAGGTCATAGCCCCCAGCAGTGAGGTGCCAGCCAGTCCTGTGCCCCAGCCCATCTCGCCAGCCTACACGGCCCACCCCACCCAGCCTGCCCCGCCCCAGCACCCTCTGCTCCTCCGCTCCAGGCGCGCCCCGCAGAACTCCCTGGCCCCTTCCTGCACCACCCCCTCCCCACACAGCCCCTGGTGCCAGCCTTGCCCACCCCAGCTCCCAACCACGGGCGCTGCGATGCCACAGGGCGTGCGGCTCCCTCGTGTGGCCACGGGCACCAGCACTGCCAGCCGCTCCGCCCCAGGGACACGGCCTCCTGCGGCCGGCACAGCGACGCCATCAGTCACCGTCGCCGCTGGCTGGGCACCCCCCGCCTCTCCCCGCCCCACGCTCTGGGCTGTGGCTCAGGGCTTCATGCCCGCTGCCCCCACCTCTTTCCTTTGCTCCCTCCCCACTGAGCCCCCCCCGCCTGCCAGGGCACTGTGCCCCCCGGGGCAGACACTGCAGATATGCCCAGCACCCGCAGAAGGGCACCATTCCGGCCCGTGGCTCCCTCCCCACACCCCATGTCCCAGCCCCGTGGGAGACCCCGTGCCGCTCCCTCCCCCCCTCCCCGGCCAGCACACGCCGCTGTGGGGCCAGGCCTGGCGGAGAGGGAGGCCCCGGCAAGGCTATGGATCCAGGGACAGGATCAAAGGGGTCTGGCTCCTTCTCAGCGGGCAGCCGGGCCCCGCCCAGCCCAGCTCACACCATGTGTCTCTCATAGGAGTGGGGGGTGGTGACAGCTGGGCTCTCTCGTCCCCCCCACACACACACGGGAGCCCCCAGCAGACACGGGGCTTTGGGCAATGCTGGACCCGCCCAGGCCTTCCAGAAGGACGGGGGGCTCCCAGCACCCCCTTCCTCAGCTGCTCTCCATCCATTCACACCAGTGACAGCCACGCACGGGAGACCCCTCCCCAGAGAGATACCCGGGGGGGGGCAGCGCAATGCCAGCAGCAGAGCCCCAACCAAGGCAGCGACCCCCCCGCCTGGCTCGCACTAGGTGGCCTGTTCCCCCAGCCTGGCGGGACCCGCTGACCCCTGCGCCAATCTCCACTCTACTGGGCTGTTTGGAGGCTGTTCGGTGCCCCCCCCGTCATTGCTGGCCCCAGCGTGGCACTAGGGGGGGGCTGTACTGCAGGGAGGGGTCACTAGGGGGTGCCCCCCCAACCCCGCCATCATTGCTGGGTGTTGCACAGCAGAATTCTCGCTACACCCCCGGCCTGTAGCGACAGCCCCCCAGGGAATTCCCCCCCCAGCCCTTGGGCCTGCTGAACTCCCCCCCCCGCCCCCCCAGGCCCCCACATCCCGCGCAAAGTCCTGCCCCGCCCTCACCTGTGGGCGACGACGATGGTGGTGCGGTTGGCGCAGACCTTGGCCAGCGAACCCTGGATGTTCCTCTCGGTCTCGGTGTCCAGCGCCGACGTGGCCTGCGTGCCAGGCACAGCGTGCGGGAGGGGCTGGGGTGCCAGGCTGGACCCACCCTGAGCCTCCCTGCCCCCAGCCCCACACCGCACTGCAGCCGCCCTACCCTACCAGCCCGGGTGCCAGGCCGCGCTCAGAGCCGTGAGCAGGGCAGGCCCAGGCCAGCGGCTCGTGGGCTGGAGGGGTCGCCCCCCAGTGAGGACAGGTCGGCCGCCGGCCCCAGGCCGCGCTCAGAGCCGGTGCCCCGAGGAAGGCGAGTGGAGACGTGGGGAGTGCGAATGGCATGGGAGGGCAGCGGGGCAGGCGGGGGCCTGGCCTTCGCTGGTGGGGAAGGGGCACGGTGGGGGGTAGCGTTCGCTGATGGCGGGAAGGGGAGGGCCCTGGGGGATGAGGGCTGGTGTTTGCTGATGGAGTGACGGGGGGTAGGGAGGGGCAGTTGAGGGGGGGTGGGGAGGGGGCCCCATGTTGGGAAGGGAGGGGGGAGGGAAGGGGGCTGATGAGGGGACAGGGGCCCGCGGGGGGCAGGGAGGGGGTCCCAGGTTACCTCGTCCAGCAGGATGATCTGCGGGCCCTTGAGGATCGTGCGCGCGATGGCCACTCTCTGCTTCTCGCCCCCGCTCAGCTTCAGGCCTCGTTCCCCCACCTGGGTCTCGTAACCTGCGGGGCGCAGAGCCAGACGTGTGGGACCCGGCTCCCCGCTGCCAGCGCCACGGGGCCGCCCCGGCCCCTCCTCCTCCCTCACTGTGAGTGCCCGGCCTGCCCCACGGGCCGCTGCGCACTCCTGCCCCTCGTGCCCCCCGATGCAGCGGTGCCGGGCCCAGAGCCAAAGCTCGCCCAGGCCAGCCCCCCCTGCTGCTCCCCCGGGCACTAGGCAGCCAGGCAGGGGCAGGAGTGAGGCTGTGCCCCAGAGAAAGCAGCTGGTGCCACGGTACCAGGCTGAGCACCCGGGGAAGGGGGCAGGGTTAACGGCACGTCCCAGCGGGCCCGCGGCACACGCAGCTCCCCTGGGCCGGGTCCAGGGGCTCCAGTCCTGGGAGGTGGCGACCCGGGGAGGCCGCGGCGGGCCGGACTCACCCTCGGGGAAGGAGAGGATGTGGTCGTGGATGTCGGCGGCCCGGGCTGCCTGGCGCACCTCCTCGTCGGAGGCTGCGGCACGCCCGTAGCGGATGTTGTTGCAGATGGAGTCGTTGAAGAGCACCGTGTCCTGGGGCACCACCCCGATGTGGGCGCGCAGCGAGGCCTGTGTCACCTGCAGGGCAGCCCGGCCGTGCCCCGTCAGTGCGGGCACCGGGGCAGAGCCAGGCTCTCCTGAGTCAGCCCCTGCCCCGCTCCTCCCGCCGACCTGCCCGAGCCCGGAGCCCCAGGAAGCCCCAAGGCACTTGGTCCCCCATCCCCCTGCCGCAGAGCCGGGTCCCCCACAGGGAGGCCGAACTCTCAGTGACCCATTGCTGGGGCCCCCCAGCCGGCCCCCCGGCTCCCAGCCCCCTGCCTCAGCCTGCCCATGGAGCACAAATGAAAGGAACCCCCTCTGCCCCCCTGGGGGGCTGCAGTAACACGGGAAGTCTTTGATCTGGCCCCCTCAGCACTTCAAAGTGGGCTGCCTGGACCCCCCCTCCGCCGGCAGCTTCCCTTCCCTTTGGTGCGTAATTGAAGCCAGGCTGGGAGCCGGCCTGTCCCATTAGCCCAGGCGGGCTGGGCTCTGCCCCCGCCCCTGCTGGAAATGAGGGGGGGTCCCACAAAGCAGGCTGAGTTCCTGGGGGAGCACATGGCCCCCCGACCTGCCCTTGGCAGCAGAGGCTCAGGCCCCCTCCTGGGGCCCCCGAGGTGCTGGCACCAGGGGCTGCGGGACAAACCCAGGGGCCGAGATGGGGAAGGCCTGGCAGGTCCCTCTCGTCCCTGGACTGCGGCTCCTGGCAGGCTCCCTCCCTGCCAGCGCTGAGGCTGGCTGGGCCTGGCCTGTCCTAAGAACCCCGGGGGCCGGGGCTCCTGCCCGGATCCACCCCATCGGGGAGCCAGGGGCTGTCTCACCCCCTGCAGGCCTGGGCTCCCTCCCTCCAATGCTGCCCAGCCCCGGCACAGGCCACCCTGGGGCCGCTGGGAGGTGACACCGTCCATGCCCAGGGCGCGTGTGGCTGGGGGCGGCTGCACCTCAGGGCTTGGGGGTGGGTGCGCGGACTCTCCCCGGTGCCCCGCGAGCGTAGCCATCGGGGCGTCCCCGGCCAGCCTGGGAATCGCCAGACGGCCGGGCCCCCAGGGGAGGGGCCGGGCCCCCAGGGGAGGGGCCGGGCCCCCAGGGGAGGGGCCGGGCCCCCAGGGGAGGGGCCGGGCCCCCAGGGGAGGGGCCGGGCCCCCAGGGGAGGGGCCGGGCCCCCAGGGGAGGGGCCGGGCCCCCAGGGGAGGGGCCGGGCCAGCAGAGCTCCGCTAGCCGCCCTGGGGCCGGGTGCCCGGACACCGGGGCAGATGCTGAGTGGGTGGGGCCCCTGCCCGGGACCCAGGCACCGGACACTCGGCCAGGTGCACCCAGCACAGGCCAGTGCAGCAAGGGCGGGAGGGACCCAGGGCCTGGGTGCCCCGGGCTCTGATCCCACCAAGGTCCCTGGGCATCCCACGAATCCAGCCCCGGGCAGGGCAGCCTCAGACCCCATCACGCTGGGTACCCTGCCCCCCCCAGAGCCCCTCGCGCCCTCCCTGGACCCTGCCCCAGGCACCCCCAGCGCTGCCCCTCACCTTGGCGATGTCCTGCCCGTCGATGCGGATGCAGCCGCCCCACACGTCGTAGAAGCGGAAGAGCAGGCGGATGACCGTGCTTTTCCCGGAGCCGGACGGACCCACCTGGGCACGAAGAGCACAAGGGTCAGCAGGCCAAGGGGCCGCTCGGCGCGGTGGGGCCGGGGCCCAGAGAAGGCACCGTACGGGCCGGGGCAGGATCCTGAGCAAAGGGAATTCGTCGTACGGAGACCCCTGCGTGCCCGCTCACTCTGCAGACTGGCACGGGAGGGCGGGGCAGGGTGGGCAGGCTCCCAACGGACCCCCCCACGGACCCATCCCCACGGAGCCCAGCGCCAAGGTCCCGTTCTCACCAGGGCAAGGGTCTGTCCGGGCATCACCGAGAAGGAGACGTCCTGCAGGATTTCCCTCCTGCGGGCAGAGAAGGGTTCAGCTGCTTCCCCCCAGATCCCCCCCAGCCCTCAGCACGGGGCACCGTGACCTCACGCTGGGGCTGTACGGCCGCGTCCTGCCCCGCATACCTGCCCCCACCCCGCACGCCCCGGCCCCGTGCCTGCCCCACACCTTCCTCCTCCCTCCAACCTGCACGCCCCAGCCCTGTACCCGCCCCATGGCCCCTCCTCCCTCCAACCCGCACGCCCCAGCCCCGTACCCATCCCACAGCCCCTCCTCCCTCCACACTCCAGCCCCATACCCACCCCACGGCCCCTCCTCCCTCCAACCCACACGCCCCCACCCTGTATCCGCCCCGCGGCCCCTCCTCCCTCCACCCCGCATCCTCCAGCCCCGTACCCACCCCACGGCCCCTCCTCCCTCCACCCCGCACGCCCCAGCCCTGTACCTGCCCCACAGCCCCTCCTCCCTCCACCCTGCACGCCCCAGCCCCGTACCCACCCCACGGCCCATCCCCACTCCACCCCGCACACCTCAGCCCTGTACCTGCCCCACACCTTCCTCCTCCCTCCACCCTGCACGTCCCAGCCCCGTATCCATCCCACAGCCCCTCCTCCCTCCAACCCACACGCCCCAGCGCTGTACCCGCCCCACAGCCCCTCCTCCCTCCACCCCGCATGCCCCAGCCCTGTACCCACCCCACGGCCCATCCCCACACGCCCCAGCCCTGTACCCACCCCACGCCCCCCTCCTCCCTCCAGCCCTGATCCCTGTACCCATCCATCCCCACTGCACCCCGTAGCCCCCATCCCTGCCCCACCCCCGATCTCTGTGCTGGCTCCATGCCCCCCATACCCATCCATGTAGCTGAAATGCACGTTCTCGAACTCAATGCGCCCCGAGCAGAAGCGAAGGTCCCCTGCATTCACTTCGTCCTTCACCTGCGGGACAGAGACACGCGGCCTCTCAGCCCTGCCCCCCCGGGGATGCTCCCCGGACGCGGTGGGGGGAAGGGAGCGCAGAGCAGCCCCCTCACTACAGCTCCGTTCCCTGCCCCTGCCCCCCTGGGGCCCCAGGAGGAGCAAACGGGCCAGCGCAGGGGACCAGAGCCCCCGGCCGAGTCCAGAGGAGCTGCCTGAACGTGTGTGTGGGGGTGACCCTCAACTCCTGTGGAGGGGAACAGCTGATCTGCTGGGGGTGGGGCACCCACCTCCTGGGGGAGAAACTGGGGGTAGGGGAGGGCGTGTGGCCCCTCCTGGGGGCAGAGCTGAGGGCAGGGGGCAGAGCAGGGTGTGTGGCCCCTCCTGGGGGTGGAGTTGAGGGCAGGGGGCGGGGCAGGGGGTGTGTGGCCCCTTCTAGGGGCAGAGCTGAGGGCATAGGGCAGGGCACCCACCTCCTGGGGGAAAAGCTGAGGGCAGGGCAGGGGGTGTGGCCCCTCCTGGGGGCGGAGCTGAGGGCAGGGGGTGTGGCCCCTCCTGGGGGCGGAGCTGAGGGCAGGGGGCGGGGCACCCACCTCTTGTTCCTCGTTGAAGAGCTCGAACATGTTTTCCATGTCGATGAAGGAGCTCTGGATCATCCTGCAGGCGGAGGACAGGGCAGGTAAAGATGGGGCAGGGGGCCACTGCCCCACTCAGCCCAGACGTTCCCACCCCCATGGTGTGGGGCGGGGGGAACTGCCTTGGTCACACCTCCAGGGGGATTTCACCAGGGAAGTGCCGGCAGCAACAGGGTGGGCTGGGCAGACCAACGGCCTGCCCAGTGCAGCAGGAGGCGGGGCTACCAGGCGGTATGGCCCAATGGCCTGGCCCAGTGCAGCAAGGGGCGGGGCCACAGGCTAGCTGGCCCAATGGCCTGGCAGGGGTCGGTTTCTCCCGCACTGGCGTTACCTGTAGTAGGTGCCAAACCAGTTGAGCGGCGTGTAGAGCTGGATGATGTAGGTGCCGAACAGGACGAAGTCCCCCACCTGGCAGAGACGGGGAGAGACGCCCTTCAGAGCTGGAGCCAGGGCCCCCACCCCTGGCTCCCCTGGGCCGGCAGGGGTCGGGGGCACCCAGCCGGGGGTCAGGGGCACCTAGCCGGGGGGCAGCGGTGGGGGCTGAGGCAGAGCCGACCAGGGGCATCTCGTCCGCGGGGGGCTCGCAGCCCAGAACATGCCAGGGCTCCGTGGGGCACGGGCTGGCCCAGGCTCACCTGGAACCTCTTCTCCGTCACAAAGTAGGCGCAGAGCAGGGACCCCGCCAGCAGCCCCAGGCTGATGGTCAGGTTCTGGGTCTGGTTCAGCAGGCCCAGTGAGGCGTTGACCTTCCACTCCGAGACCTGCCGGGGGGCGGTGGGAGGGAGCGTTAGGGACCCCCCAGCAGGCTCAGGGCCTCCCTTCCACCCAGAGCCACGTCCCCAGCCACAGGAGTGCCCCATGCTCAACCCACTGCAACCCCCCACCCCGCACCACTGAGCTGAATTTGCCCCCCTCCCACAATGTATCTGCTGGAAACCCCATGGGGATGCAGGCAGCTGGGACTCCCCTTGCAGGGCTGGGGTCATGCTTAGCCCCCTGGGGCTGTCAACTGCCCCGCGCGAGGCCCCTCCTTGGCGCCCATCCCCCAGTGCAGGGCGGCGAGGGGAGCTAGGCACAGGAATGGGAGCCCCCCCCAGCCCCACTCCCCTGCCCCAGCACCTGGTACTTGAGGATGGCGTCATTGAATCGATTCACTTCATAGCTCTCCGCGTTGTAATACTTCACCTGAAACACATGGAGCCCGGGCTCAGTCCCAGGCCCTGGACACAGCCCACCCCTGGGCTGAGAACCGGCCCCCCACCCGCCCCCAGGACTCAGCACCTCCTTCCTCTCTCCCACCTGCCACTTCCCCATGCCCCCTCCCGGGACAGCCTCCCCACCCAGAGCGCCCCCCAGTCTGCGAGCACCTCCCGGGAGCTGAGCCTCCCCCCGCCCCCCACCAGAGCTCGGCCCCCGGGGGGATCTGCCCAAGGACCCGCCCGCCGGTCGGTACCGTCTCGAAGTTGAGCAGAGAGTCCACGGCCCGGGCCTTGGCCTCGTTGTCGCGGGTGTTCATGTCCCGCCGGTACTTGGTTCTCCACTCTGTGATGATGATGGTCAGGGCTACGGGGGGGGGGGGGGGGGGTCACACGTCACCCTGTCCTGCTGCCACGGCCCCCCACGCCCAGCCCCTTGGCCACTGCTCCCCCAGACCTGCGCCCCAGGGTCACCGACTGCGGGTGGGGGACAGATCCCAGCACAAGCCCCCCCGGGCAGGGCCCCCCACCTCCCCGCCGGGACGAGCCAGCGCAGGGCCCCCCCCACCGCCGGAACGAATCAGGGCAGGCCCCCCCACCGCCCTCCACGAGTCAGCGCAGGGCCCCCCCGCAGGGCCCCCCGCACGCACGCACTCAGGTAGAGGCTCATGCAGACGAAGATGATGAGGCCGAACCAGAGGCTGAAGGCCGAGCTGAAGTAGATGATGCCGATGACGACGTCCGCGATGGTGGGGAAGATGCTGAAGATGATGTAGCTGTGGGGGGGTGGGGGGGACAGGAAGGGTCGTGTCAGCCCAGGGTCACCCCTACCCCCTTCCTCCCGCCGCCCCATGGGCCTCTCCACCCCCCACCTCCTCTGCCCTCCCTATCCCCCCACCCCGATCCACCTCCCCCGCTGCCCCACAGCCCTGTCCACCCCTCACACCCTCATCCCCACCCTCTACCGCCCCTCTGCCCTGCCCCTCTCCCTCTTCCCCCACCCTGACTCACCCTCACCCCCCACCTCTCCCTCTGTCCCATAGACCTGCCCCCACTTTACCCCCTTCTCGCCCCCTCCCCGGCTCAGCGGCCACTGCGGGGCGGGGGCTTTGGGGGCGGCTGCAGGAGGCCCCCCCGCGGTACCTGAGCAGGCTGTTGACGCTGCTGGTGCCCCTGTCCACGCTGCGCAGCACCTCGCCCGTCTTGCGCCCCAGATGCCAGCGCAGGGACAGGCCGTGCAGGTGGGCGAAGAGACGCACCTGCACCTGCCGGTTGGTGAACTGCTGCACCCGGATCCACAGGAAGGTCCGCAGGTTGCTGACGAAGCCGGTGGAGCCTGCGGTGGGGGGGGCACGCGATGGATCGGCGGAGACCTCCCCCGCCCACTGCCCAGCGCTGGTACCCGAGGGGGCACGGCCAGGGCAGCAACGCAGCCGGCACCCAGAACCACCCCCAGGCGTAGGCCTGGAGCAGCTCCCCCCAGAGCCCTGAGTGCCACGGGGCCCCTGGAAACGCCTAGACACCTGCCCCCAGCGCCCAAACCCTGGCACCCAAGGGGAGCTGGGACCCACCCCAGGGCCCTGGCTGGCCAAAGCAGGGAGGGGCTGGGCCCGGGCTGGCTAATCTGCTCCCTCTGCCAGCCCGTTCCAGGGAATGCCCCCAGCCCCACTGCTGCCCTCCAGCTTCCCCCCATCTCTGTGCCCAGCACTGGGTCAGCAGAGCTGATGCCCACACCCCTGCCACGGCAGCCCCAGTCTCCACAGCAGCTTCCCGCCTGGGCAGGGCAGCACCCGGAAAGGGCACGCGCAGAGCCTTGCCGCCCCCAGGATTGCCCGAGGGACCGCCCCCTGCCAGGTCCAGAGGGTCGGGGGGCCCAGCCGGGGATCGTCCGTGGCTGGGGGCTAAGGATGGCTTGTGTGCAGGGCACTGCCCGCTACCCTCCCACGGGACAGCATTTCACCATCTCCACCAGGGCCTCAGGCCCTGCCTGGAGCCCCCCATGCCCAGCCCCAAGGCTGCTCCTACCGGCGCCTCCACCCTGCAGGAACTTCAGGAACACGTAGGTGCAGATGGTCCAGGTGACCGTGTGCCAGGCAGCGCCCTCAGTCAGCTCGTTCACTGGGCAGACGGGAGACCCGGATCAGAGCGCTGGGGGTGGAGGCGGCTGGCACCACTTCCCTGCAGCCGCGGGAGGGAGCTGGGGCCTGCGTGGCACCCCAACCCCCATGCCGTCCCGCCCCCAGCTTCTCACGGCACCGCTCCCCCGCCACGTGCCAGGGTGCCGCTGCCCAGCCAGCGCTCTCCTGCTACCGCCCCGCCAGCTCCCGGGGCAGGGGCCTGGGATCCACCCGCCCCGACCTCAGTGGTGCTAGAGATAACACGGCTCACGCCCGCGACCACCAGGCAGCAGCCCCCCGGGCTGAAATGCAGCCTCTTCTGGGGTGGGGCATGACAGCCACTGTGGGGTTAGGCCCAGGTGAAGTCCTGGGCTCCTCAGCACTCTGGCAGGCCGAAGGGGACTGCTCAAGAGGAGACACCGGGGCCAATAGAGACCCTGGGGAAAGGGCCCCGGGCTAGGCTGTGAATGCAGGGGGCTGGTGGGGGGTCCTGAGAGACTGTGCCCCCTAGCTCCAGAGAATTCCCCCCAAGCGCCTCACCTCCCCAGCCTGGGGAGGCCCCCGCAGCTAGACCTGGACAGGCTGGGGGGCAGGAGGGGTCTGGCGTGTGTGGGCTCGTTATCACTGGGGCAGGGAGGACTCTCACCGGGGCAGCACCCTCCCAGCCAGGCACAGGTCAGTTCTTGCTGGGGGTGCCAGGCTCAGCCCCGTGGCAATGAGTCATTCGGGGGGAAGGGACCAGGATGGGAGAGCCGGCCGCTCACCCCACCCCGGGCAAGGGTGTTCCCGGTGCTCTGGGGCAGGATGGGGGCACTGGAGCGCAGACCCACCGCAGGCTGAGTCAGCCAAGGCCCAAGCCCTGCTCCCCACAGGTATCCTGTCCTGGGATGCCCTTCCACACCCCCAGCCCTGTATAAAGAGTGCCCTCGCCCCACCCCAGAGGTGGCTGCCGCTCAGCGCTGGGGGAGGGATCCCTGTATAAACAGTGCCCTCGCCCCACCCCAGAGGTGGCTGCTCAGCGCTGGGGGAGGGATCCCTGGGGGGAGGGATCCCTGTGTGACAAGGGCATTGGGCGCCTGCGGGGTGACCGTACCAGAGCAGCAGCACCTGATGGAGGGTGCAGAAGGCAGGTCCCCTCTCAGCTCCAGGACACACTCTCCTGCCAGGCCAGAGCTGGGCTGCCTCCGTCCCACAAGGCCTCTGCTACGACACCCGCAGCGGGCTGGGCATGCAGCGGTGCCGGGCTGGGCCCCAGGGTTGGATGCAGGGCTGGATGCCCTGGGCAGGGACTGAGCAACGCCTCCCCATGCTGCACTGGATCCTGGCTGGCCCTCGGCTGAGGGCAGCCTCCCCCAAACCCCCTCAGAGTAGGCACCGAACACCGGGCTCATCCCAGGCCCCCTATAAAACCCCATAGGAGAGCACCCCCTGGTGGAGAAGCCGAGGCATTGCCCAATACGTGCCGCAGCTCCCCTCCGCACAGGGCCTCTGCCCAGGGGGCTGCAGACAGAGCAGGGGCCATGGGAACCAGCGCGTACTGGGGCAAGGGGGGGAGGGGGTCCCCTGGGCCTGGCAACCAAGCATCAGACACCCCTCCCACACCTGCTTCCCGGCGGCCCATAGCTCCACGCAGCTGTGTCTGCAGAGGGGGTCACTGGGCAGTGCCAGCCTGCCCTGCCCTGGGGGCGCGACCCCTTCCCCTCCCGGCCCCCCGCCGCGGGCCTCACCGATGTTCTTGTAGTAGATGGGCACGAAGACGTTGATGACGCGCTCCAGCCCCATCAGCACCATGCAGAACAGCACCAGGCCCTGCAGCAGGGGGCTGCCCCGCGGCCACACATACTGCACCAGCAGCCGCAGCTTCCGGCCCAAACCCTTCCAGGTGGAGTGGGTGTCGCGGTCGCCTGCCAGGAGGGGCTGAGATGGAGAAAAGGGGTGAGGAGGGCTGTGTGCCCAGGGCGATCCGTCCCTTCACCCCCGGCCTCAGAGCACTACAGGACTGGGGATACCTGGGCAGGGGGGCAAAAGCTCCCGGCCCTGGGGTGCTGATCCCATTGGGCTTGGGGTGAGCCTGGCACAGGGTGAGCCAGGCACTGGGGCGATCCTGGCACTGGGGTGTGGGGAGAACCAGGCACTGGGGTGTGGGGTGAACCTGGCACTGGGGCGATCCTGGCACTGGGGTGTCGCGGAGTGTGGGGGAGTCCAGGCCCTGCACCCCTCTTCCTGGGATCCACTGAGACTCTCAGCCAGCCAGTAAAACAGAAGGTTTATTGGACAACAGGAACACAGTCCACAACAGAGCTTGTGGGTACAACCAGGACCCCTCAATCACGTCCTTCTGGGGGAGCAGGGAGCTTAGACCCCAGCCCTGGGGTTCCCTGTGTTCCTCTCCCCAGCCTCCCAAACTGCCAACTAACCCCACCCAGCAGGTTCCCTGCTGCAGCCTCTGTTCACATTCCTGGGCAGAGGTGTTACCTCCCCCTCCCCCTCCTGGCTCAGGTGACAGGCTCTCAGGTCTCCCCTCCCCAGGGCACATTCCCAGGTCAACACTCCCCCCTCCCTGCTGAGTCACTTCGTCACATCTCTCCCCCCTTCGAGACTGAACTGAGCGGGGTCACTGTGACCAGTGACCTGGGGAAGTTCGGGGCCCCCTCTCCGGGACAGCGCATCCGCTATCAGGTTGGCACTTCCCTTCACGTGGACCACGTCCATGTCGTAATCCTGCAGGAGCAGGCTCCATCTCAGGAGCTTGGCGTTGGCTCCTTTCATCTGGTGCAGCCAGGTCAGGGGAGAGTGGTCGGTGTAGACGGTGAAGTGTCGCCCGAAGAGATAGGGCTCTAGTTTCTTGAGGGCCCACACCATGGCCAGGCACTCCTTCTCGATGGCCGCGTAGTGTTGCTCCCGGGGTAGCAACTTCTTGCTCAGGTACACGATGGGGTGTCTCTCCCCCCCTTTTCATCCTCCTGCATTAACACCGCCCCCAGTCCCGTGTCGGAGGCGTCGGTGAACACCACAAAGGCCTTGTCAAAGTCCGGGTTCGCCAGAACTGGGCCACTGACCAGAGCCTCCTTCAGCGCCCGGAAAGCCACCTGGCACTGCTCGGTCCAGACCACCTTGTCTGGCTTCCCCTTCTTGCATAGCTCAGTGATGGGGGTGGCTATGGCGCTAAAGTGGGGCACAAATCTTCGGTAGTATCCTGCCATCCCAATAAAGGCTTGGACCTGCTTTTTGGTGTGGGGAGCGGGCCAGTCTCTGATCACCTCCACCTTGGCTGGTTCCGGCTTTAGGCGGCCGCTCCCCACCCGATGGCCCAGGTAAGACACTTCCGCCATCCCCACCTTGCACTTCTCCGCTTTTACAGTCAGCCCAGCCCCCTGGAGTCGGTCCAGCACTTGTCTAACCTGGGACACGTGGTCCTCCCAGGTCTGGCTAAAGACACAGATGTCATCAATATACGCCACGGCAAAACTCTCCATCCCCCTCAGTAGCTGGTCCACCAGGCGCTGGAAGGTGGCCGGCGCTCCCTTGAGGCCGAAAGGCAGGGTCAGGAACTCATAGAGCCCCAGAGGGGTGATAAAGGCCGATTTCAGTCGGGCATCTGCATCCAGCGGCACTTGCCAGTAGCCCTTTGTAAGGTCCATGGTGGTAAGGTACCGAGCTCCTCCCAGTTTGTCTAGGAGCTCGTCCGGCCTGGGCATGGGGTAGGCATCAGATACAGTGATGGCATTGAGCTTCCGATAGTCCACGCAGAACCGGACCGACCCGTCCTTTTTGGGGACCAGCACCACCGGCGAGGCCCAAGGGCTGGCCGATGGCTGGATCACCCCCAAAGCCAGCATGTCCCGGACCTCTCTTTCCAGGTCCTGAGCAGTTTTCCCTGTGACTCGGAAGGGGAGCATCTTATCGGCGGGTGCGACCCTGTCTGCACCCGGTGGACAGTCAGATTAGTGCGTCCAGGCTGGTTGGAAAACAGCTGTCGGTACGGATGCAGCACCCCCTGACCTCAGCTTGCTGGGCAGGGGTTAGCTGATCCGAGAGGGGGATTGTTTCCAGGGGGGAACCAGCTCTGGTCCCAGGGAATAGATCTACTAAAGGGTCATCTCCCTGCTCTTCCCACTGTCCACACACGGCCAACACCACATTCCCCCCTGGCATAATATGGCTTCATCATATTCACATGGTACACCCGGCGGTGGTGCGCCCGGTTCGACAGCTCCACCACATAGTTTACCTCATTGAGCTGCTTGACGACCTTGAAAGGGCCCTCCCAGGCGGCCTGTAGTTTGTTCTTTCTCACAGGGATGAGAACCATCACCGGATCCCCGGTGGCGTAGGCACGGGCCCTTGCCGTGCGGTCATACCAGACCTTCTGCTTCCTCTGGGCTCTGGCCAGATTCTCCCTGGCCAGGCCCATGAGTTCAGCCAGTCTCTCTCGGAAGATCAGGACATACTCCACCACTGACTCTCCATCGGGAGTGGCCTTCCCCTCCCACTCATCTCTCATCAGGTCCAGGGGCCCCTCACCCTCCTTCCATATAACAGTTCGAAAGGCGAAAATCCGGTAGACTCCTGGGGCACCTCCCTGTACGCGAACAGCAGGTGAGGTAAGTACTTGTCCCAATCCTGCGGGTGCTGGTTCATAAAGGTTTTCAGCATCATCTTTAGCGTCCCGTTAAACCTCTCCACCAGCCCGTTGGACTGGGGGTGATAAGCTGAGGCCCAGTCGTGCCGGACCCCACATTTCTCCCACAAGCACCGGAGCAGGGCCGACATGAAGTTGGAGCCTTGGTCTGTCAAGACTTCCTTGGGGAACCCCACTCGGCTGAAAATGGTCAGGAGCGCATCGGCCACGGTGTCTGCTTCAATGGAAGCTAAGGGCACTGCCTCGGGGGTAGCGGGTGGCAAAATCTACCACCACCAGAATGTATTTCTTCCCCGACCGGGTCGTCTTGCTGAGAGGCCCCACGATGTCCATGGCCACCTTCTGGAAAGGCTCCTCTATGATGGGCAAAGGTCTCAAAGCCGCTTTCCCCTTGTCCCGGGCCTTCCCCACCCTCTGACAGGGGTCACAGGATCGGCAATACTGCCGGACCGTGGTAAAGACCCCAGGCCAGTAAAAGTTCTGTAGCAACCTCTGCCGGGTGCGCCGGATTCCCTGGTGCCCTGCGAGGGGGATGTCATGGGCCAGGTACAGGAGCCTGCGGCGATACTTCTGGGGGACCACCAGCTGCCTCCTGATCCCACAGGACTCCACTTCCCTTGTGGGAGCCCATTCTCGGTACAGGAACCCCTTCTCCCACAGGAACCTCTCCTGGCAGCCTCTCCTCATGGTCCGTACCACCCTGAGGTCGGCCAGGTCCCTGAGCTTCCGCAAGGAGGGATCTTTCCTCAACTCGGCCTGGAACTCAGCAGCTGGGGAAGGGATGGGGACCGGTTCCCCCTCAGTGGCCAGGTCTGAGGCCTCAGCCTCTCTGAGCTGTGCCCCTCGGCCCTCCCTTCCCACCAGGGTAGGGTCCTGCGCCTCCGGTGCGGTACCCTCCCCGAGGTCAGGGAGCAGTGGCCCTCGCCGGCTCTGGCTACGGGTCACAACCAGGGCGGTCTGGGGCTTGCTTGGCCAGTCCTCTAGGTCTCCCCCCATCAAAACTTCAGTGGGCAAATGGTGGTGTACCCCCACATCCTTGGGGCCCTCCTTGGCCCCCCCATTTCAGGTGTACCCTTGCCACGGGCACCTTAAATGGGGTCCCGCCCACCCCTGTCAGGGTCAGGTAGGTGTTGGGCACCACCCGATCTGGGGCCACCACCTCGGGCCGGGCCAGCGTCACCTCCGCGCCCGTATCCCAGTATCCATTGACCTTCCTCCCATCCACCTCCAGGGGAACAAGGCACTCTCTCCGGAGGGACAGCCCCGCGCCCACCCTGTAAACTGAGCGCCCTGAGTCCAGAGCCTCCAGCCCTCTGGTGGAGCTGGCCTGGGGTACTCTTCCCTCCTGAGCAGGTGGTAAACTGGTAGGCCCCCTTTCCTGGGTCGTCTGCCCCTCGTCCAGCTGGGTCCCTACCCAATTAACCCTGGGTAGGTTGGGTCTGCTCAGTTTGTCCCTGAGCCCAGGGCACTGGGACCGTATGTGGCCTCTCTGGCCACAGTGATAGCAGCTCAGGTCACGTTGGTCCCCTCGAGCGGGTCGGAGGGGCCCGACGCCAGGCGTTCCCCTTGGGAGGGGGTTCTCCCTATTTCCCCGCTGGGAGGCCCCCTGGTGACTCTCTCTCTGCATCGGGGGGGGGCCTGTTCTTTTGGGACTCCTCCCGGCTACCCCCTGACCGACTGTTCACAAACTCGTCGGCCAGCTGCCCTGCGTGCTGGGGGTTCTCGAGCTCTTTGTCCACCAACCACAGCCTCAGGTCGGAAGGGCACTGTTCATACAGTTGCTCCAGTACAATTAGGTCAAGCAGGTCCTCTTTAGCTTGGGCCCCAGCTGTCCACTTGCGGGCATACCCCTGCATCCGGTTGGCCAGTTGTAGGTAGGTGACCTCAGGCGTTTTACGCTGACTCCGGAACCTTCTCCGGTACATCTCGGGGGTCAGCCCAAACTCACGGAGCAGGGCCTGTTTGAACAGTTCATAGTCCCCTGCCTCCGGCCCTGTCATCCGGCTGTACACCTCCACGGCTTTGGGGTCCAGTAAGGGGGTGAGAAACTGGAGCCTGTCTGCAGGGTCAACCCTGTGCAGCTCACAGGCATTCTCAAAGGCCGTCAGGAAGCTATCTATGTCCTCCCCCTCCTTACGCTGGGCCAGGAAGCACTTATCAAAGTTCCTTGCAGTCTTGGGTCCCCCCTCATTCACCACAGCCGGGGCCCCACTGCTCTTCAGCCTGGCCAGCTCCAGTTCATGCTGTCTTTGTTTCTCCTTCTCCTGACGTTCCCTCTCCTTCTCCTGACGCTCCCTCTCCTTCTCCTGACGCTCCCTCTCCTTCTCCTCCTGCTCATGTTGACGTTGTTTCTCCTTCTCCTCCTGCTCATGTTGACGTTGTTTTTCATGATCCTCCAGCTCCCTCATTTTCATCTCCCTCTCCCATTCCAGCCGCCTCCGCTCCAGGGATGGGGAGCTCCGCCGGGAGGATCCCCTGCTGGGTGCTGGGGTCAGGGTGCCCTCGGTATTCGCTGGGCTTCCCCCAACCCCTCCCCCAGGCATAGGTAGGAAGGGTCTCGGGATGTCCTCGGCAGCAGTCTGACCCCTCCCAGCCCGGTCAGGCCCCGGGGCCCACGCTGCGTCTGCCGGGCGGCTCCCCTCAGGGACAGGGATCGGGTCATCCAAGCGATCCCTCTCCTCCAACTGGGCAATCAGTTGTTCCTTGGTGGACCTCCCGATGCGCAGCCCCCTCTGCCTGCACAGCTCCACCAGGTCACTCTTAAGGCGTTTAGCGTACATCTCCCTGCTGGCCACTCGCAGGCCGGGCAGCTTCCCACGGTTTCCAGGAAAAGCCCTTAGTGTGCCAGTCCTTCTTGAGGTCACCACCTCTTTGCCAGGGTCGAGCTGCAGACTCCTCCGCCCCTGGGACCGCTCGCTGCAATCCCCCGGGGGACCCTGTTACTGCAAAAGTCTTTCTCTCTGGTCACACATTCCCAGGGGTTAGCCGCCCCCCGAAACCGTCTCTCTCTGAATCTTCAGCACGCCTGGTCCCCGTCAATTCCCCTTCGTTTTACTGTTCCCCAGTCACTTACTGCAGGAAGCGCCGTTCACGGGGTGCAGTAGATCCCACCGCTGCCACCAGTTGTCGCGGAGTGTGGGGGGAGTCCAGGCCCTGCACCCCTCTTCCTGGGATCCACTGAGACTCTCAGCCAGCCAGTAAAACAGAAGGTTTATTGGACAACAGGAACACAGTCCACAACAGAGCTTGTGGGTACAACCAGGACCCCTCAATCACGTCCTTCTGGGGGAGCAGGGAGCTTAGACCCCAGCCCTGGGGTTCCCTGTGTTCCTCTCCCCAGCCTCCCAAACTGCCAACTAACCCCACCCAGCAGGTTCCCTGCTGCAGCCTCTGTTCACATTCCTGGGCAGAGGTGTTACCTCCCCCTCCCCCTCCTGGCTCAGGTGACAGGCTCTCAGGTCTCCCATCCCCAGGGCACATTCCCAGGTCAACACTCCCCCCTCCCTGCTGAGTCACTTCGTCACATCCACACGGGCCTGTGAGTCCACAACAACTTGGGAGGAGCGGAGTGATGGCCTGTCACCGTCTCCTTAAGAAGGACATTGTAACCCTGTGCAAAAAGAGAGGGTTGAGCATTGGAAAGCTCACCAAAGCAGAGTTAATCGTGCAGCTGGAGGAGGATGACCGCTCTAAGGAACAGATTCCTGACCCCAAATGGGGCTATAGCAGGATCTGGGAGCAGCTGGAGCGGGAGCCAGGCATCGCCAAGACTCCTGTCCCTGACCAGACGGGGGTCTTCACGATCGGGTTCCCCATCGGGGGATCGAGACGGACGGGATTGGAGCGGAGTCTGAGAGAGCAAGAGGACCGTGGGAGACAGCGAGAGCCCGAGAAAGAGCTGCAGAAGCAGCAGCAGCATGAACTGGCGGTGGGGGAGTGGAGAGGCCTAGGGGACCTCCCCGGGGTGAGTGGGGATAGATCCCGGGGGGCCAGTTCCGCAGGGAACCTTGAGACTAAATTGCTGCCCCTAGTTAAGGGGGGGGGGGGTGTGGATGCCACCTCACTGCCTTTGAGCAGGCTGGAGATCTGAACCAGGGGGACCCTGCGGAAAACCCCGGTGTCTAGCTCCCTTGCTCGGTCCCAAGGCCACAGACTCCATCAGCCAGATGGGTGGGGAGGTGGACAGGCTCCCACTCCTGACCCCAACCTATATGTCTGTGTGGAGTTCCCTGGGGTCGGGCCCCTCGGACTCCCAGTGGGAGCAGAAGGTGATAGTGAATGGGGAGACATTCCTGGGGTGGCGAGATCCTGGGACAGAGAGAACTGGTGTCAGACCCTGGGTGGTGCAGCCTCAGAGGCTGAGGGCCTGTGTGAGCTCAGCTCCCCACGGTTTCCAGGGAGAACCCCTAGTGTGCCAGCCCTTGTCGAGGTCACCACCTCTTTGCCAGGGTCGAGCTGCAGACTCCTCCGCCCCTTGGACTGCTCGCTGCAATCCCCAGGGGAACCCTGGGCGATCCTGGCACTGGGGTGTGGGGTGAACCAGGCACTGGGGTAAACCAGGCACGGGATGTGGGGTGAACCAGGCCCTGGGGCAATCCTGGCACTGGGGTGTGGGGCACAGATACTCCTAGGCCTTGGAGGAGGAGGCCAAAGTGTGAGTCCTGCCGCTCATATGGGGCCACCCAAGTGGGGCAGCGGGGATATGGAAGGAGGAACCCTGGCTCTAGTGCACAGCGCCCCAGGTTTGTGGGAGGGGAGAGGACTGATGGGGGGCCCCGACCCCAGCGGTACGGACCGTGCTGTGCTCAGGCATGGGGGAGACTGGGGGCCTGACCCCTGACCCCAGGGTTCCGATCCCGCAGCGCCAGGGCAAGGAGCCAGAGTCTGGCTGCCCCCCTGCTGGCGACGCTGCCTGAGCCAGGGGGTGGCCCGACCCTGGCAGCTCACATCCCCTGCCAAGGGACAGGCCAGCGCTGGGGTGGGGGGAGGCCGGCTGCGGGACACGGCCGAGCCAGCAGCACCATCTGCTGGCAGATTCACTCCTCGCTTAAACCCATTCTTTGCTGGGTCACGTTTACACACTCGATCCAGACCCTGCCGGGGTGAATGCTGGGGTGGGTGGGTCCCCACGCCTGGGCACTGCGGTGGCAGGATCAGGGCCACGGCTGCCTTCCCACCTTGCTTCTGGCTGCCATGGCGGCCCCAGGGTAGGAGAGACGAGGTGCCACGGGAAGCCCTTCTCGGCCCAAGGCCTGTGGGTGGAAGGTGCCCGTTCTTGAGCGCCGCAGAGCTCCAGGCCCGGGACAGGACACACCCTCTGCTTCCCTCTTCGGGCCGCAGGAAGAGCCCCGCAGAGCTCGGCAGCTGGCACCAGCAGGCGCTGGGCCAAGGCAAGAGATTCCCTCCCCTGCCTTGTCGCTTGCTCTTTGTTCAGTTCTGCCCAGCGGGCTCCAGCCCAGGGCTCTGGGGTGCTGGTGTCCACCCCCGCCCCACCCCGGACCCCAATCCTGGGGCTGAAACCAAGGACAGAATAAACCCTGCGGACAGCTCCATTCCCACCACGGTTCCTCCTCCCGAGCCTGAGCCTGGGGGCCTGCAGTGCCTTTGGGCTGCGGGGGTGGGGGCTAGCAGGAGCAATGGGACAAACTGGCCAGCAGGACACACAGCCTGGACACGGGCAGACAGCTTCGGGTCGGTGGAGGGAGGCTCTGGGACAGCCTCCCCTGGGAGCAGCGGGGGCCACCTGTCTGGTTTGAAGATGGAGCATGGTGCGTGTCTGAATGGGCTGACCTCTCAGGGTCGCCTGCAAGAGCAGCGGCTGGAGTCGATGGTCCAGGGGGTCCCACCCAGGCCTGTGTCCCCCTGGTCACCACCCTAGGCACAGGGATGGACAGTACTGAGGCAAGTCCCAGGATCCAGTCCTGATCTCCGTGGGCCGGGCCCAGGGATCCGGGCTGGAGACCGCAGATACAGCTCCACACCCCGGGCCCCACGGCTGCTCTGCTCTCCGGGGAGAGCTCGTCTGGGCAGGGGACAGCATCCTCGGGGCCGGACCCAGGCTGAGGGAGGAACTCACTGGGACTAAGGCTCACCCCAGCCCTCCCCGATACAAACATCCCGCAGTGGGGACATTTCCCCGGTGCACACAGCGCTCCCCCTGGGCCGGGGATGAGAGGGAGAACAGACCACCCTGGCCAGGCAAGAGACAGGACAGCCCAGCGGGAAGGGCAGCTCCCCACTGGGCCCCAGACTCCCTGTGGCATGCTCGGTGCCTCCAGCCACTCTGTACAATGGGGCGGTAGCTGGCCTGCCTGCCAGGCCTGCTGTGGGGCTGAAGATGGTGAGATACCCACATGCGATGGGGATGGGGCCGGAAAAGGACTGGGACAGGTGCCAGTCGCGGTGTTTAACGCACAGCAGGAAGGCACCGGATGCTGGTGAAGGGGGCGGGAGAAGAACCTGTCAGAACAGAACAGTGGGTGGGTGGATGAGCCCCCAAGGGGGTGGGGCTGGGGGGGCTCAGACAGAGACCTGAACACAGCCCTCGAAGGGACGAGGAATGTCTGGGCAGGGAATGGAGGGAGTCTGACCCAGGGGGACGGTCCTCGCCTCCCTCAGCCGGACACAAACTTCTCCAGCTCCATCATCCCCCAGGCAGGGCATCTGCCCCCCAACTCCTCTTGGAGGGCTGGGGGTGCGGTGCCCATCACACCAAGACACAGGCAAGCGGGGGCCAGTAACGCACACTGAGTGCCCAGGCGACGGGGCCCTTCGAAGAGATCACACGTACCAGGGGTGCAGCAAGGGGGGCCCGGGCCCCCCCGCTCCCTGACCAGAGCTGGGTGGCTTAATGGCAGAGCCCCTTCCCTCCTGGCATGACAGAGGGGCGCCCAACCAAATCTGAGTGGTGCTGTGACCCTGTGCCCCGGCTTCCCCCCTTTGCAGTCCTTCAGTGCCCATGGGCACCGGACACTCCTCGCTCCAGGGAGAAGTGGAGCAGGGGGCACCAGGTGCCCGCAAGGAGGGGTGAGGGCTGGAGCCAGGCTTTGGGTACTTCCTGGGGAAGCGAAGGGCTGGGTGTGGGGCAGTGTGGATGGAGTGTGGGACTGGGGACAGGTCACAGGGCTGGGGGTGGGGCAACAGGAGGGGAGTGAATGGGGGGCTGGGCGCAGGGCTGGGTGCGGGGCAGTGTGGATGGAGTGTGGGGCTGGGTGTGGGGCAGCAGGAGGGGAGTGAATGGGGTGTTGTGGGCTAGGTGCAGGGCTGGGCATGGGGCAGTGTGGATGGAGTATGGGGCGGTGTCAGGTCGCAGGGCTGGGTGTGGGGCAGTGTGGATGGAGTGTGGGGCTGGGCATGGGGCAGTAGGAGGGGAGTGAATGGGGTGTTGTGGGCTAGGTGCAGGGCTGGGCGTGGGGCAGTGTGGATGGAGTATGGGGCGGTGTCAGGTCGCAGGGCTGGGTGTGGGGCAGTGTGGATGGAGTGTGGGGCTGGGTGTGGGGCAGCAGGAAGGGAGTAAGTGTGGGGCTGGGTGTGGGGCAGCAGGAAGGGAGTAAGTGTGGGACTGGGCTATAACACGGCATGTAGACCTCCGGGCTCTGGGACATGCCCGGTGCCTACACTGTGGTTTATAGCCCCGCAGCCGCAGCCCCTGACCTGGGCCAGCTGTGGGGTTGAGGTCCGTGTGGAAGCGCCCTCCTGAGGGGTCGGCCAGGTTCAGCCGGCAGCTGCGGGACATAAGCACCTGCTGTGCACTGAAGCTGGAGGGATTCACGCCCTCAGGAGGGAGCTGCAGCCGGATGGCAAGGCCGGGTGACTGGGACACTCTCAGAACCATCAGCAGCACCAATCCCCGTCCTGCAGGGTGCAACTGCCCCCAAAGCCTGGGGCTGGGTAGGGTTCAGCACCCAGGGAAAGTGCAACTCGTCCAGGCTGGGCTGGTGCAGGGCTCCTCCCTCTGGCCTGCTCAGCCCACACCCTAGATCCTCTCCACCTCACGGAGCTGCTCCCATCTCCCTTGTGCCCAAGTGGGGCACTGAGCCACCACCCCAGGGAGGCAGCAGGACCCACGGAACCCTTTCCCAGCAGAATCGACCTCTCACAAACCACTGTGATAACCCAACACAGCCCTGTTCTGGGCCCCTCGCCCCCCTACAACCCGCCCCCGGACACCTGCGAGGGACAGGGGGACCCACCTGCCTGTTCTCCACATCGCGCTCATCCTCGTTCACCAGCAGCACGTAGGGCTTGTGCGGCAGCCCGGGCGCCTTCATCCCCAGCACGAAGAGGGCGAAGGTGCAGACATACCGCAGCACCCACAGACTGAACTGCACCTGCATGGGAGCCATGGATCAGCCACCTGCAGCCCCGAGATCCCAGCCCCCCTCGCAGGCCGGAGCCCTCAGCTTTGAGCCAGAGACCTGGAGAGCAGGCCGGGGGCTCAGAGACAAGCGGGCCCCAGCGGCGCTGGGAGGGCCCAGGTGCGTGGGCGAAGGCAGGACGCTTGGCTGGGCTGGGTCGCGCCTGCGTGGATGGGCTCAGACGTGGGGGGCGTCTCGGGGTGGCAGGCCCACGAACCAGGTGAGAGGAGGCTGCGATGCGAGCCGGGCTCTGGAGAGACAGGGCCGGACAGAGAGGGGGAGACAGAGCCCAAACGGTCCTGCCGCTGGCCGGTCTGGCCTCGTCCGAGCCTCCGCTCCCCCGTGCTGACCCGCGGCCCCCACAGGCTGGCTCCAGGGCGCTAGGAAGGGCCTGGCGCTGCCGACGCCGGTGCACGGGTCTGGTGCAGTGCGAACGTCTCCGACCACAGCCTGCGCTCGCTGGGCAGAGCTGATGGGCCAAGCAGGAGGGCTAGGGCCAGCCGCATGCCCTGCCCTGAGGGGAGTGGGACCCGAGGCCTGGCCCACTGATGGATCCTCCAGGGACTCTTCAACGGCCGGGGATCCTGGGGATCCGGGACTGTGGGTCCCGCTGAGGACCAGGCCCCAGGGGGCACCAAGGGGTGGAGAAGGGGCGTTCATGCCACGTCCTGGCTGCTCCCCCTCTAGCTAGTCTCTCCACTCTGAGGCCGGTGAGGTCTGGGAGCTCCAGGATCTGGGGCGCTGGGCAGTCACCTCTCTCCCAGCGTGGAGTGGGGCCCGCGGCCCAGGCTAGTGGGAGCCATCCTGCCCCAGCCAGGGGCGGGGGAGCTTGGCCAGCCGGAGCTCTAGGATGTGGCTGGGGGCCCCCCTTGCTTGGGAACGGGTACCCCTAGCACCCCACAGCAGGGGACGCCCCGATAACGCCCCCCACGGCTGCCGGGTGAGGCTCGGCGAGAGTAGCCAGGGTCCCATCCCTGGAGGAGCTGTGGTGAGTGAGGGGCCCCTAGATGAGGTATCGGGGCTGGGTTGAAGTGGGGCAGCTGTCTGGCTGGGGGGGAGGGGTATCTAAAGCCCCCCCTTCCCCTCGGAGCTACCCCCATCTGCGCAGTGGGGCCAAAGAGGGACGAGACAAACATCCCGACCCACGGGGTGTGGGGAGGGGGAGGCAGGGCCCGGGGGGTTCATGCAGCACCGCAGAGCCCCCCACCAGCCTGCGCCACTGGCCCCGGGAGTAGGATGAGCTCCCTGAGGGAAGGGGACCCCACATCCAGCCCCGGGAACACAGACCCCCCCCCCCCCCCCCCCGCCAGTGACTCAGCAGGACACAGCCAGCGGGAGCCCCGCCCCCCACGGGCCTGCCCCACCGCCGGCTCCACCCCACCGTGACTCAGCAGGACACAGCCAGCGGGAGCCCTGCCCCACGGGGCCTGCCCCACCCCACCGTGACTCAGCAGGACACAGCCAGCGGGAGCCCTGCCCCACGGGGCCTGCCCCACCCCACCGTGACTCAGCAGGAATCCCAGGGCCGGGCAGCCGAGGCCCCGGGTGGGGGGGAGAAACAGGGGCTGCCTCTCCCCGGGGTCCCCGGCCTCCGCAGGGTAAACGCCCTGGAGGGGGAGGCAGTGCTGGGGGGGTTCCAGGGGGCTGAACGATACGGGCCGGAGAGCAGGACAAACTCCCCAGCCGGGGGGCGGCTCCGCTGGGACTGTCCCCACGGGAAGGGCCGGGGCCCTGGCATTCGGGGCTTTCCAATCCGAGCCGGGGACAGCCCTCCCCACAGCCGGACGCTGGCAGTGACTGGCCCAGTACCACCGCACACGGCTGCCCAGTGAACAGCCCTGATAATGGGGAAGGGACATCTGGGACCATCCCCGCAAGCCCTCACCGCAGGGCTGCCTGGGGAAGGGGGTTCAGAGGCAGCCAGCCTGGCAGACGGGGGATCCTCCGGTGCCCTGGCATTAGGGGCCGGACCAGCCAGCACCAGTGACATCTATGGGGCCAGGTGGGGCTCCAGACCAGCAGGGCTCTGCTCTGCCCTGGGCTCGGGGGGTGCAATCGATGGGCTAACCCCAGGGGCAGGCTGCACCTGGCAGCGTTCCCAGGGCGTGGGGGCCCAAACCCAAACCGGACCCTACTCAGGCTGGGGGGGGAGGCTTCCTGTCTCTACCCAAAGAGGGACTGGGGTGCAGCCCAGCAACAGCCCCAAGCCCCCCACTCCGGGCTCCGCCAACCCTCCAGGACCTCGCCCCCCACCTACCTTCTGAGGGGCGTCTCCCAGGGACCACCACCACAGGGGGCTCCTCCAGGACACCAGGGCCAGGTTCTCGGCCGCAAAGGCCAGCGCCCAGAAGAGCAGCAGGACGGTGCCGTGGCCTCTGGTCCTGTCCTGTGCCAGCACCCGGGTGTGCTCCAGCCGCAGGAGGCCGAGGGAGCAGCCCCAGGCCACAGCCGAGAGGCAGCCGTACAGCACCAAGTAGCCGGAGAGCGGCCCCGCACCCAGCGCCTGCCACAGGAGGGCGCCGAGGGGCTGCCCCGCCAGCAGCAGCGAGAGCAGCACCTGCCCGTGGTAGAGGCGCGAGCGGGGGACGTGCTTGGGCTCCATGGCGCGGCCGAAGCGGGCGTAGCAGCCGTACTGCAGGGCGCCCAGCAGGAGGCAGACGCTCAGCAGCACGGCGGGCACCAGCGTGAAGTAAAAGCAGGGGGCGAGCCCCTGCTGCGCCCAGGCCTGGGAGAGGGTGCCGTTCCCCGGGCAGTAACTCCCCAGCACCGCCATCCTGCCGGTCGAGAGGCTGCGGAGACACAACGGCACAAACGCGGGCGCTCAGCAGGCGGCTGGCACCGAGGCGAGTGGACGCGGACATGGCCGCGCACAGACGCGCGTGAGCACCCCTGCTCCGAGGTGTGCAAACACACACTGACCGCTGCACACACAGATATTCTACTCTGCGTAGGTTCTCCGACCACGCTCCTCACCCCAGCAACTCAGCCCCCAGGAAGACAGGCTCCGTCCAGAGTGGGATGCACAGCACAACGGATTAGCAATCCAGGGCTGCCACCACTCAGCCATCTTGTGTGACGGGTGTGCAAATACAGGGCCACAAGCCCACGCGTGCGTACAGACCCTTGCACTGCAGGGTCAAATCCCCAAGCCAGTGCCCAGGCACTCCCATGGCGGGATACAGTTCCCTGGATCTCCCTCCCCCGCAGCGTCCTGCAGAGATCATGGCCTGGGCCCATCGGAAGGCTGGGATTCCCCGCAGCCCTCCCTGGACACAGCACTGGCCTGGTCTGGCCCTGCACCAGCTCAAACCCTGCTGGGACACAGGCAGGGAGGGGGCTGGTAATCAGAGGGGCATGGCACTTCACACTGGTGCCTGGCGTGCCCCTCAGGGGGCTATAAACCAACACGACCCCCCCCCAGGAGATGAGCTCCAGAGGCCGGGCCTTGCACTTCTCTGAGGCCAAGGCTGAGTAGTGGCCGTTCATCCAGTGGCCCCAGCCGGGCAGCGTGCCCACGGTGGGTGGGGGCAGGGGGCTGTGTTCCCCCAGTGCAGCCGTACCGCCCTCTGGGTAGGTACCCCGTAATTCTCTGCCCAGCTGCCCAGAGCAATGGCTCCTGGGACGCCTTGGAACGAGGGCTGTCCATTAATCGCAGTTAACTCAAGCAATTAACTCAACACAAATTAACACGGTTAAAAAAATTAATTGCGATTCATCGCAGTGTTAAACAATAGAATACCCATCAAAACTGATTATAAATATTTGTGGATTTTTTCTACATTTTCAAGTATATTGAATGCAATGACAACGCAGAATACACAGCGTACAGGGCTCTCTTTACATTATTGGTTTTGATTGCACATATTTGCACCGTAATAAAGATAAACAAAAGAAATAATATTTTTCAGGTCACCCCGTACACGTCCCGTCCTGAGATCTCTCTTTGTCCTGAAAGTGCAACTTACAAAGGTGGAATTATCTTTGTTCCATAACCGCTCTCAAAACCAAAACCCTGTAAAACTTCAGAGCCCACAAGTCCACTCAGTCCAACTTCTTGTTCAGCCAGTCGCTCAGACAAACAGCTTCGGTTACATTTGCAGGAGAAAATGACTGGTTGACCACGTCACCTGACAGTGAGACCAGGTGTTCGCAGGGCAGGGTTGTAGCCGGCGTTGCGAGATATTTACGCGCCAGATGCGCTAAACCTTCAGCTGCCCCTTCGTGCTTCGACTTGCAGATTGCACGGACTTCTGTTTAACGTTTTTTACAGTGCAACTATTTGTAATAAAAACCAACAACATAAAGTGAGCCCTGTACCCTTCGTATCCTGCGTTGTCACTGAAATCAAGATATTGGAAAACATAGAAAAACATCCACAAATATTTATAATACTTCAATTAAAGCTGCGATTAATCACGATTCATTTTGTAATCGTTTGACAGCCCTAGTTGAAACCAATCACACCAAGCCGGCAGCGGGTGCAGGACGCAGCCGAGCTGCGAGGGGGGCACGGCCCTGAGCGCGCACCCACCCACCCACCTGTGCGATTCCACACTGCCCCGGCCATGCTGGCAGGCAGGGGGGTCCCTGCACGGGGGGGGGGGCAGAGCGCGAGCTGCATACACCAGTGGTCCTGAACCCCCCGGCACCACGAGGTGCCCCATGACCACCTTGCCCCACGGGGCACCTGAGCACCAAGCGTTCTGCAGGGGGCGAAGGGGAGCACAGGACGGGGCCCAAGGCTGCAGAGGGGCAGGGGGACCCGGGGGGGCAAAGGACCAGTGTTGAAGCCGGGGAGGGGGGGGCGGGCGCGTTTCAGGCTCAGCCACCCCCAGTTCCCTCCGGCCCCTTCACACCCTGGAGCCCCGAAAGCTTCCATGGGGGAGACCGGCCTCCTCAACCCCGCCATCTATCCCACATGGGGGGGACCGGCCCCCCCGCCTCCTGCGGCCTCCTCAACCCCCCCACCAGCCCCACACGGGGGGACCGGCCCCCTCGCCTCCCCCCACCAGCCCCACTCGGGGGGACCGGCCCCCTCGCCTCCCCCCACCAGCCCCACTCGGGGGGACCGGCCCCCTCGCCTCCTGCGGCCTCCGCAACCCCCCCCCAGCCCCACATGGGGGGGACCGGCCCCCTCGCCTCCCCCGGCCTCCTCAAACCCCCCCCAGCCCCACATGGGGGGGACCGGCCCCCCCGCCTCCTGCGGCCTCCTCAACCCCCCCACCAGCCCCACACGGGGGGACCGGCCCCCTCGCCTCCCCCCCACCAGCCCCACACGGGGAGACCGGCCCCCTCGACTCCCCCCACCAGACCCACACGGGGGGACCGGCCCCCTCGCCTCCTGCGGCCTCCGCAACCCCCCCCCCCAGCCCCACATGGGGGGGACCGGCCCCCTCGCCTCCCCCGGCCTCCTCAACCCCCCCCCCAGCCCCACACGGGGGGACCGGCCCCCTCGCCTCCCCCCACCAGACCCACTCGGGGGGACCGGCCCCCTCGCCTCCCCCCACCAGCCCCACATGGGGGGGACCGGCCCCCCCGCCTCCCGCGGCCCCCTCGCCTCCCCCCCACCAGCCCCACACGGGGTCAGTCGCGTCACACCCCCGCCCCACACGGGGGCTCTGCCCGGCCCCTCTCACCTGCCCCGCTCCGGCCGCGGCTCCAGCTCCCAGCCCAGCTGCGCACACGCTGCGGCCTGCCGGCTCCCGCCGGGTCCTAGTGCCCGGACGGCCACTGGCCTGGCTACGGACCCCCCGGACCCCCCGAGCTCCCCTGCACCCTCTGCCCAGACACCCCGTGCCCTGATCCCCCCGTGCCCGGCCCCCCTGCTCCCAGGACCCCCAATCCCCCCCGCACCCTCTGCCCAGACACCCCGGGACCTGATCCCCCCGTGCCCGGCCCCCCTGCTCCCAGGACCCGCAATCCCCCCCGCACCCTCTGCCCAGACACCCCAGGACCTGATCCCCCCGTGCCCCGCCCCCCCATCCTCTGCACCCTCTGCCCAGACACCCCGGGACCTGATCCCCCCATGCCCCGCCCCCCATCCCCTACACCCTCTGCCCAGACACCCCGGGACCTGATCTCCCCGTGCCCCGCCCCCCATCCCCTACACCCTCTGCCCAGACACCCCGGGACCTGATCTCCCCGTGCCCTGCCTCCCCATCCCCTGCACCCTCTGCCCAGACACCCTGGGACCTGATTCCCCAGTGCCCTGGTCCCCCTTCCCTGGGACCCCCTGAGCCTCCCTGCACCCTCTGCCCAGACACCCCGGGACCTGATCCCCCCATGCCCGGCCCCCCTGTTCCCAGGACCCGCAATCCCCCCTGCACCCTCTGCCCAGACACCCCAGGACCTGATCCCCCGGTGCCCAGCCCCCCCCATCCCCTGCTCCCTCTATCCAGACACCCTGGGACCTGATCCCCCATGCTGAAGGCCGAAGGTGGGGGTTGTGCACAGTAATGCTTGGACAGAGCCCCCAGTGCAGGTCCCAGCTGCACTTGGGGTGGACTCCAGCGGTGCAGGGCCCCAGCTCATCAGGCTTCTGCTGCCAAGGCCCCACAGCGATGGCTGGGGGACCCCGGGGCTGCTCTTGTGGGCCTAGGGGCAGGACGTTCTTCAGGAGCCCTGCACAGGAACCAGCCTCTTCTCTGAGCCCATTTCCAGGGTGGTGGGGCCCGTGTGGGGTGTGTTTGTTCAGCCAGGCTGGGGCCCAGCGCAGCGGCCTCTCCCTCCCAGTGGCTGAGCTTTGGGGCTGCTCGCCAGCCAGGCGCTCAGCTGGCCCGACTCCTGGTGCTCTGTGGGTGTTTGAGCTGCAAGGGGGGCCTTTGGCCCCACAGCTCTTTGACCAGACCGCTCCCAAATGCCTAAGCGAGGCTGAGGCAGCCCCCACCCCACCAGGAGGGCCAGGCCCAGGTGTGGGGGGCAACACACAGAGCACCCCTGGACCCTGCCCTAGTGCTGTCAGTGCAAGGTTCACAGCACCTCGGAACTTCGAGTGAACTGAGCCTCACAACCTACCGGGCTGAGCCAGGATCTCCAGCCCATTGCACAGATGGGGAAACTGAGGCACAGAGTGGGGGAAGGGGGCCAAGCTCACCCAGGAAGCCAGTGGCAGAGCCAGGAATAGAACTCTGTGTCACGGAGTCCCCGGGCGATGCTCTGGACCTGCTCCCTACGAAGCCAGTCAGGACTCTGGGGACGTCTCCTCTCTGGGAGCAGCCTGTCTGCAGGACGCACAGCTCACCCGACTTCCCCCTTCCTGGGTCTGACCTCGGAGCATTCAGCATCTTCTGCCCCTCCGTGCGCTTCCTACAGCGAGTTCGCCCAGGCGGGGTCCTGGGGAAGTCAGAGGATCCTGCCCCCCAGCTCCGCAGTCAGACAGGACTCTCAGCCAGCCAGTAAAACAGGAGGTTTATGAGACGACAGGAACATGGTCTAACACAGAGCTTGTAGGTACAGAGAATAGGACCCCTCAGCCAAGTCCCTCTGGGGGGCAGGGAGGCCAGAGCCACATCTGGGCCTCCCTCCATTTCCACAGCCAGCTCTAAATTGAAACTCTCCCGCCCCTCCTCTGGCCTTTGTTCCTTTCCCGGGCCAGGAGGCCACCTGGTCTCTTTGTTCTCCAACCCCTTCAGTTGGCCCCTTTGCAAGGGCAGGCCCAGGCCATCAGTGGCCAGGAGACAGGGTGTCGGCCATTCTCTGTGCAGACCCCATCACACTGGCCCTTTAGGGCTCTGACACAATCACACCCCCTGATCCCCCCACCTGGATACTTAAGAACTGCATAGGGGAAACTGAGGCACCCACACAGTATTCAGAGAAAACATTAAGAACATTTCCACTTTGTCACACCCTGGTCTCCCAAATTCTAGTGTCCCCTATCCCCACCCGGTGCTCTAACCATTTGAGACCCCTCCCCTCCCAGAGCTGGGAATAGAACCCAGGAATCCTGGCTTCAAGTCCCCAGCCCCCGCCACCCAACCTCAAGAGCTGTAGATGTTGGGGGGGGGGGGGGAGGGAGGAGCGAATGGGACTTATCCCCTTTGTGTGTCCATTCACACCAAGCCACCCACAGCCAAGGTGTCCCATTGACGCTGGTGCAGGGCCAGGTTAGCGCACAGGGCACCAAGAGGCTCCCCCGGCGCGCATTGTAAACCAGTTAACACCACGGTGCAGCCTGCCCAGAGAAGCCTTGTCAGCTCCCTGCTAGCCAGCCCTGTGCTTCCCCCAGCCCCAGCTGACCTAGGCCCAGAGGGAGGCAGAGGCCCCAGCTCGCTGCAGTCCCAGCAGGGAACAGCTGCGATCGCCCTGTGTCTTCTGCAGGGAGCAGGGTGCAGAGCGTGTGGGGAGAATCCCTGGTGCCACCTCGCCAGCTCCTCAGCGGCAGCGCGAGACCCCCAAGGCTGCGTCATCGCGGCGCGGGGCAGGGCCGGGACATCACCCCAACCTTGTGACCAGGCATTGTAACAAGGGACTCCCAGGAGAACTCGGGATTCCCAGCTTCCAGGCCACTGCTCTACCCGCTAGACACCATTCCCTTCCCGCTCAGCCTGGCAGGCTCGCTGGACGGGAACTCACGTGTAGGTAATTCACCCCCAGTTCAGGGGTGGGCTGAGGGAGGCCCCATGTGCTCGTGCCCTGTGGGCAGAAGGGCAGAGCCAGGGACGGCAGTGGGCACGGGCGAGCATAGCCAGCCGTCTGACTGTCTGTCTGCTGGGGAGGGACTGGTTTTGCTGCTCCACTCTGGAGGAAGTTCAAGGGAGGAAGACAAAAAGCCAGGGAACAGGGGGTGGGATGGGGGGTGTGACAGGATTAGGGTTGGGCTTGGAGGATGGGTGAGCCGGGAGAGCACCACGGCGTGGGTGGCCCTCAGCCCTGTGCCCCTTCATGCACCTGGCCAGGGCATCAGCAGTCACTGGGGAAGTCACACCAGAGCAGGGAACTGGTCTGGGGAAAGGGCTCCTGGTTAAAGCAGATCCCTGCTCTGACCACCCTCCATTGATCCCAGCCAGTCAGCCGCAGCGCCTGCCCACTGACACATCCCGCCCGCCGCAGGGTGAGTGAGCAGGACCCACACACCCTCCCGGAGAAAGGTCACCTAGGGCAGGAGGCATCCAGCCGCCTGCCGGGCTCTCTGCCAGGGTATATTTAGCTGCCCTGCCCCTGCATGGCAGGCCCAGGGCATTGCTGCAGTCTGTGTCTCGTTTAGGGACAAGGGACTTCGTGTCGAGAGGGTTGTGTGCCAAGCAGCCATGCCTCGGACTTGGGAATCCTCCTGCGTGGGGCCACTACAGCGTGTCGTGCCCTGGACCTGCAAACGAGGGAATCCTGGTCACATGACACTGACACACCTTGGGCCGCGCGGAGGCAAAGTCCAGGCTCTCCTCCCTAGGAGCATGGGGAATCAGTAATGAGACCAGCCTGGAAACCAGACCCACCCCCTCCTCTCAGCCCCCTAGACCCCACCACGCGGCGTCCCCGCTGAATGCCCAAAATGTCCAGCATTGGGACATCGAGGCAGGAAGGGTCTGATTTGCAAAGATGCTCAGTGACCTTAAGCAACCCGGCCCTCCCCTTCTGGGAGGGAGGAAAGCACAGAAACAAATCCCTCTCCTGGGGGGGTGACTGGAAATTGATACTGACCAGACATTGACAGGGACCACTGTGAAACTGACTCGTCTACTTCCACCCTTCAGCCCTGGTGGAAAGAGGGAAGCCGAGGTCACCCTGAAAAGAAAGCTCAGTCTGAGGCCTCCCCTGTCAGCAGGACGCAGGGAGGGGATTTGGGTTTACTTAGCCCTTTGCAGGCATTATACGGCATGATCCCTATCTCCTCTGAGCAGCGATGAATAGTACCGGAGCTGGCAGGACATTACATTGGTGCCCGATCCTTTCCCTTACGGAGAACTGCCCTGGTGCAGAAGCACCGGACATTGTCTAACACCCCCAGCAGTTCATATTTGGTCTGTAGGCCCTGCCCCATTCCGTGCCCAGGTGGGACACGCAAGGGGACTTACGACTGCGCGGGCAGCTGATTCTCTGCCATCTCCTCACTTTCGTGGGCTTGACCTTGACACTCACCGAATGTGCTGTTCGTGGCGGCTTTGTGGGGGTGTGTTTTTAACCATGACACCGCCCTTGCTGTGGCGGCTGAGGGGGCAGGGTGGAGAACGCAGGTGGGTTAATACCTCTGCATTGGCGGTGTAATAAAAACAAGAGCAAAAGGAGGTGTGACGAAGTGGGACTGTTAAAATTTCCTCTGAATAGTGTGGGGGGGCCTCAGTTTCCCCTAGGCAGTTCTTAAGTATCTAGGGGGTGGGGTAAGGGTGTATGATCCTTGCAGAGCCCTAGAGGGCAGGTGTGTGAAGGGGTCTGGACACAGAGAATGGCCGACACCCTGTTTCCTGGCCACCGATGGCCTGGCCCTTCCTCCCTGCAAGGTGAGAGCTAAAGGGTTGGAGAACAAAGGAATCCGGTGACCTCCTGGCCGGGGAAGGGGACAAAGCCCAGAGGAGGAGGGGCTGGAGACAGTTTCAGTTTGGGGCTGGCTGGGGACATGGAGTGAAGTGCAGACGTGGTTGTCTGGCTCACTGCCCCCCAAAATGGACCCAGCTGAGGGGTCCTGTTCTCTGCACCTACAAGCTCTGTGTTAGACCATGTTCCTGTCGTCTAATAAACCTCTGTGTTACTGGCTGGCTGAGAATCACATCTGCCTGTGGAGTTGGGGGGCAGGACCCTCTGGCTTCCCCAGGACCCCGCCTGGGCGGACTCGCTGTGGGAAGTGCATGGAGAGGCAGAGGATGCTGAATGCTCCGAGGTCGGACCCAGGAAGGTGGAAGCCGGGTGAGCTGTGTGTCCTGCAGACAGGCTGCTCCCCGAGAGGAGACTTCCCCAGAGTCCTGCCTGGCTTCCTGGGGAGCAGTTCCAGAGCATCACCCGGGGACTCTGTACCTCCTCGCAGGAGGGCAGGTCATTGGTATGTCTCTTAGTTAGCTTGTGGCTCCTGGCTGGTGCTTGTCACTCTGCGAGCTGAGCCCCCCAGACGCCTTGCCAGGGGCCCATTAGCACCGAGGTGTCTGGCCAAGGAGGTCAGACCGAGACCGATGGAACTTGAACAATGGGATTCACTACAATGTGGCTGGACTCTGGGCGACCAGCATGGACCCTGCTTTAGCCTTCATTCCAGGGGGCTACCCAAGGCCTCCCTGTGCTGGGTCCGGGGAACGGCTGACCCCCTTGCAGACGCCGGGCGAGGTGCATTAGGCTCTGAAGAGCAGACAAGTCTCCGGTGGGGTCTGTCGCAGTGGGACTCGATGCCCTGCCCGGAGCTCATAGGGGGGAGCAGGGGGCCTGCAGTACCCAGAGGTCCAGCCCCAGGGGCTGATGAAGCTGTGTGGCTTCCCCTGGAGGAGAGACCCCTAGGGGGTTTGGCCCACTGAATGGGGTCTCCCTGAGCCCTTCCAAAGCTGGGGCTGTGGCCTGCTCACGCGGGTCGGTGACAACCTGCAATCCTCACGTATTGCTTCCCAAGGGAAGGGAGGCTGCTGGTACACAGATCTCTGCCTCCAAGAGCAGCTGGCTCGACCAACGAGAAAACAACCTACTTGAGAGCACCTCCGCCAGGCCAGGCCTTTGCAGGAGTCCAGCGGCAGCCCCCCCCACCCCCGCCCCACTGACTCGCACTGGACCCAGCTCAGCCAGCCTGTGAGGAAGGCGCTAACAGGCCTCTCCCGCGGACCCGGGTTCCCAAGAGCCTCCTGGGAGCGGCTCCCATCACCTCAGTGGGACCGTTGTGCCCTGCACCCACTCCAGTACCTTGAGCCCCCAAGCTGGGCCGGGCCAGGCTTCCCTTCCCCACATGGCCTCCCTGAGGCTGCTCTTCCCCCTCCCCTTCCCACAGCAGTGCTCCTCCCTGCAGGTGCTATGATCCAGGCTCGGCTTGTGTCCTGGCAGGGACTAGGGCACGCCTAGGCTGTCAGGGAGTGAAAGAGGGAGGGGGCTGCAGTTTTAATCGCCTGGCAGAGCAGCCTCAGCCTGCGTAAGGAGCACTGGTTGGGCCCCAGGAAGTGGTCTGGCCTGGCCCAGGGCCAGCGGCGAGCCAGGCCCTGCTAACCTTCCCTAAGCAGCAGGCTGAGAGAACAAGACAGGCCGCAGCCAAGCTGGGCTCCAGGGCACAGACTGGGCCAGGGTTTCTAGCTCTTCTGCCCAGGGCAGCAGGTCAGAGCCACCCTTTGCTCCCTGTTGCTGCAGCTCTCGGCCGTTCCTGCAGGGGCACACAGGGCTTGATCAGGGCTCCAGCACTGGGGGCAAACACCCCATGAGCACCCCGGCTGGATTCCCAGGACACAGAGTGAGCAGCTTCCCCTTTAACACAGGCCCAGACACCGGCGTGAACGAAATGCCCCCTCTTTATTAAATGGCTCTACAGCGAGGGGCGCGAGCTTGTCTAGCCAGCACATTCCCAAAGAGCTCCGTGCCCGCACACCCCCCGCTGGGGTCACAAGTGGAACGGGGGGTGGGGGGGCAACTTGCCATGCACACGGGCACACAGGAGACGGACAGATACAAGCACAGCACATGGCAAGGTTCTCCGGCTGCTCCAGGCCTTGCCTCCCTGCCCCCGCCTCTAGGAGCCGCAGCTGCCAGCCCCCCTTCAGAAAGGCCCAGCCGTCCCTGGGGCACAGAGCTCTCCTGGGGGAGGCTGCAGCTCAGGCTTGGAGATGCTCTAAGAACAGGCACTCTGGGCTGAGCGCATCGGCGGGGGGGACAAGCTCTGCCCAGCTAGTATGTACAGAGCATGACCGAGGGCAGCCACTAATGCGGGGGTGCGACCCATGGAGACTACATTTCCCAGAGTGCACAGCCCCTGCCAGGGCCACACTGGCAGACCGCTGCGGGCTGCGCTCTGGCCATGCCTGGCCGAGGGAGAGCGTTCCCTGCTGTGAAGGGGTCCATACCCGGCCGGGAGCCTGAGGTCTGTCTGGTCTAGGCCCCAGGGCAGAGAGGGGCTGGCCTGGCAATGGTGTGCTGGAGACTTGCCCTGTTTCAAAGGCCACTGAAGCACCTTGTCCCTCATCAAACCTGTAAAGCACCAGTACGCTGGGCTAGTAAAGCTCAGGGCTTGCACCACAGAGAGGCAGGGGGTCCCAAGCCCCGTCAGAGGAACTGGGTGGGGGTATTGAAGGAACAGGCAGCAGAGCCCCCCCACGGCCAGAAGTCAGTGCTCTGCCCAACAGGCAGGCTGCCAGAGCAGCCCGGGCCGCAGGGGAGCCTCCTCAGCCCTGCTTTACAGAGTCAGCCAAGTGATCCGCCCCAACATCACACAGCAGGCCAGTGGCAGAGCTGGGGAGAGAACCCAGGAGTCCTGCCCCCCAGCGGTACAGTGCAGAGCACCATGGGGCCGAGCCCGAGCACTGGCTCGGGCAGGGAGCGCAGCGGTTGGGCTCTTAGGAGGGGTCAGCGCTGGGGGAGCAGGGCGCCCCTGGGCTGGGGGGGCCATGCGGGCGATTGTCAGCTGTGGGTGCAGGGAGAAGGGGTTAGCAATCAGCCGGGAGCTGCCGCTGTCACTCAGAAAACCTAGGAGAGCTGTACTCTGATTGGCTGAAGCCTCCCCCTCCCCGTGCCGTGATTGGCCGCCCCTGTGCTAATAATTTATAATGAACTCTGGTAGTGGGGAGGGGGGTTCCCTGGACCTCTGAGGTCATGCAGGGAGGCGGCAGCACAGCCCCCCCAACCCCACCAGCCACCTATGGTGGGGGGGTCTGGTTTGCCTCTGCCCCCTGGCCCCAGGTCTGCCATGGAGACTGGATGCCTGGTGCCTGCCGGCTCCCGCAGTCAGCTCCAGCTTGGGATAGCGTCTGCAGGGCCACCAGCCGGGAGGGCACCAGCAGCCCTGAAATCACAGCGATGGCCACACTGGGCAGACAGACCAGGTGTAGCAGAACCTCCCCTGAACCTGAAGGCCGAGTGAACTGGGCAGAGGCTCCCGGCTCCGAGTCGGGGAAGGGGAGATGGGACTGGAGGTGCCCCGTGGGCTCAGGGTCTCTCAGGGCCAGGGGGGACTAGCTGAAAAGCTGAGACAGCCCAGAGGAGATCCCCTGGCAGCAGGATGGGAGCCACTGTCTGGCACTGCAACAGGACCCTGCTGAGGGGAAGTGATCCTGGCCAAGGGACCATTCAGAGGCACAGTGTGGCCCCAGCTAACCAGCAAGGGGTCCTGTCAGATGATAGGAGCCCAGGCCAGACTTCCCCTTGGGCTGGGCTTCCCCATAGCACCAGGGAGGGGGAAAAGGGGGGGGCAAAGCTACTTTAGTCACCTGATTCTTTCCTTTGACTTGCTAGGTTAGTGTTGACTGAGGGGGCCGGGGCAGAGGAGTGTGCCTCTCCCCACCCTGGAGGCTGCTAGAGGGGGGCTCGGTGTAGTTCCCAGAGGGCCAGGGCCAGCACGAGAAGCAGCCCGCTGGCCGGCAGGTTCAGCAGAGAGGCCCTGGAGATGGAGCTCCCCTCTAGCCCCGAGACAGCAGGGCTTTGACATGCTGGAGGGGCAGCGCGGGGGGTTCACTTTGCTGCTGGCCAGGCTGTCTGCGCTCTGAGGCTAGAGGAGTTCAGCCACCTTGACTCATGGACAATAGCAGCAAATGGGGCGTGGGATCACTTGGGGGGAGCACTGAGCCAGGAACCCTGGCGCCCCCTGCACCACAGACAGGACAGCTCGGGGCCAGAACACACGCAGCTGCATGGGCTTTGGAGGAGGGCGCGGCCTTGTAAAGCCTGAGCCAGTCCCTCTCCCAGCAGGGGTCGGACTCCAGCCCGCTCGGCCTCGGGGGAAACCAACTCTCCACCCTTCTTACAAAAATAGATTCAGATGCGTCCCTCCCCCCGTGGGAACCTGGGCTGGGCCGGGCCGGCTGCAGCTTGAAGTGGGTCTTTATTTGGACTGTGGAAGAGGCGTTGCTGGCTCTGCTCAGGGACTCCACCGTAGCCTCTCCTGCCGGCAGCCGGAACTCGGAGCTCCCCCTGCCAGCTGTGGGTCGCTGGCCTCTTGCAGGCTCTGCGGTGCTCCGTGCAGCTCTCGCCGATTCCCTCCCACACGGACAACACATATGCGGACACGGACACACGTATGTACTCACACACGCATTCACCCAACGCGAGTCAGAGTGACGTTGGCTTGACACACGTCTGTACAGAAGCTTCCACTGCAAGGCGCTGACGTGGTGGTTCTGTCCCTTGGGCATGAACGCCAGCGCTAGGCACCTCTGCCTGCCCCACCTCTGGGGGACAGGCGAGGGGGTCGGGACCCCAGGTCCTGCTGCCCAGGCTGCTCCAGAGTCCAGAGTCCCATGCGATCCTCAGCCCCCAGAGCTACACCTGGAGGAGAGAGTCATGCTGGGTCAGGCCAGTGGCCATCCAGCCCTGCGCTCTGCCTCTGACAGGGGCCGGGGCCAGGTGCTTCAGAGGGAATGAACAGAACTCAGCAATTATCGAATGAGCCAGCCTGTCACCCATTCCCAGCTTCTAGCAGTCAGAGGTTTAGGGACACCCAGAGCAGGCTAGTAACCTGGCTAGTAGCCATTGCTGGACCTATTCTCCAGGAACTTATCTAGTTCTTTTTTGAACCCAGTTATACTTTTGGCCTTCACAGCATCCCCTGGCAAGAAGTTCCACAGGTTGTCTATGTGTTGTGTGAAGAAATACTTCCTTCTGTTTGTTTTAAATCTGCTGCCTGTTAATGTCACTGGGTGACCCCAGGCTCTAGTGTTATGGGAAGGGGTAAACAACACTGCCCTATTCACCTTCTTCACACCAGTCACGATCTTATAGACCTCTACCAGAGCCACCCTTAGCTGGCTCTTTTTCAGGCTGAAAAGTCCCCGTCTTTTTAATTTCTCCTGGGGAGAGAGTTACCGCCACCGGCCTGCCAACAGTCCCAGCCCCACCCAGTCAGGGCAGCATTCACTACCCGGGTAAGCAATGCCCTGCACACACCACTCCCCCCCCCAGCAGAGCCGGGCAGGGCGGGCACCTGGGCTGTACCTTGTGTATCTGAGGCGGAAGCTCATCCTCTGAGCTCTCCTCTGGAACCGGCTCCGGGTGTCGCACCGACTGTCCGTCCTCAGCCCAGCCCCCGAGAGGCAGGCGGGAGAAGTGCGAAGGGGCTCTGTGCACTGTGCCCGGATCTGCGGCATGGGCACAGAAGAGTCAGCAGAACATGTAGATGCGGGTGAGACAGGCTCTGGTGCCAGCAGGACACCAGTCCGGGGGCTCTACGCCAATCTCTCCAACCCCCCGAGTGAGGGAGGGGCTGTTACTGGGTGGGAGCCAACAGCTCCCCGGTAGAGGCTCCTCCCCAAAGCACGCAGGGTGACATGGGAACATCACGGCAGGAGCCCATGGCACTCTCAACACACACACTGCCAGCCAGTGGCACCTGCCAGCCACCAGCCCCAGCTGATCTCCTGGCACGTGGGGGGGAGGGGAGGGGAATCTCCAACACTTCGCTGGCATTTAAACAATGACCCAACGATGACAAGCCAGTGCGTGGACCCACGGCACGTTCCGAACTGGCCAGGGAATATCCTGAGAGGTTCCCAGGCTCCGCCTGGAGTGGGGGACCTGTCTGGAGGGAGGTCCCACAGCACGAGGCCGCCCCAGCCGTGGCGCCCAGCGGCCCCAGCACGTACCTGTGATGCCGCCGTACCGGCGCTGGAAGCCCGTCTGAAGGGTGGCTGACTCCTCCACAGCCTGGCGCGGCGAGGAGAAGGGGTAGCTGGCAGAGCGGGGGATGGCGGCGGGGGCGCCCTTCTGCGCGTCCGGCTCCTCCGGGGCACTCTCCCCGCTCTCGTCGCTCTCCCGCCGGTGCCAGACGTGCCGCTCGGGCTCGCTCTGGGTGTGCTGCTTGTGTAACTGCGCACAACACGACGGGGGGGGTCAGGCAAGCGGGGGGGGGCAGAGCCACGGCCCCACCCCACATCCAGCCCGCAGGAGCCCAGGGCGAAGCGGCCCCGCCGCCGTGGCAGCCCCACAGTGGTGCTGGCTCCTTCCCCCTCCCCCTGCGCTGCCAGGTCCCACCGCTCCCTCTGCGACTCCAGTGCAGGATGGGGGCCGTTCTGCACTAGCCCTCGCTCTCCTGCGCTCCGGGATGGCACGTGGGGCCCTGCAGAGCCAGCCAGCGCCGGGGAGCACCGCAGAGAAGGATATGTGCCTGGCTGTCTCTGCAGGGCCTCCCTTACGCCCCGGGTACAGCACACCTCTCTCCAGCTGTCAGGCCGCCCTGCACCCCCCCGTGCTGCGAGCCTGCCTCGGCAGGCAGACCCCCACGCGAGCTGCCCTCTCCCGCCCCGGCCCCCGGTGTCTGAGCCCTGGCCTGGGGCACAGGCCGCTCACCTCATGCATGTGGAGCGCATGGAGGCTCATCTCCGTGGAGGCGTATTCCGACAGGATCAGGCTCTGTAGCTGGGCCTCCCAGGCACTGCTCCCTGAGCTCGCTCTTCTGGCATCTGTGCTGTAGCCGGGACACAGAGAAGGGCTGGGGGGGCTGGGGGGTCTGCTGCCCAGGGCCGAGGCCCTAGTAAGCCCATGGGCTCCAGCACAGCCCTTCTCGAGCCGATCGGGGATGTGCCCCTGCCCAGCCCCACTGCACTGCTGGGCTACGGGGTGTCCCACGGTGCCACCTCACCCGCTCCCTGCACCGGTTCAGAAAGGGCCCCCTCTGCCCAGACATGTAGGCTTCGCTCAGTGGGGTCCAGCCCCAACACAGGCACCCCCCAAGGGTCACAGATCCCAAAGCAGGGGACTGACAGCCAGTGTCCGAGGCTGCGGCAGTGTCCCATTGCAGGGGGTCAGGAGTGCTCCAGCACCCCCTCCTGGGGCGGAGCAGTCACTTAAGGAGCCAGCCCTCGGGGCAATTCCTGTTCTAGTCATCTGTGTAACCTGCTCCATTGCAGGGGAGGGCTCAGAGCAGCCCAGTTTCCCCGCCCCTTCAGGGACTCATCCCCAGGCTCGTGGGCGAGGAACGGACCGCAGAGTGTGCCAGCAGGAGGCGCTGTGAGCTGCTCCCGGCAGTGCCCAGGGGCAGCATGGGCCCAGGGGAGCAATCCCTTCGATCTCAGGCACACGAGGGGCACCCAGCACCTCAAGAGCAGGGCCTGGGCTTCGCAAGGTCTCTGATCACCGAGTAGGTGCCTGGCGCAGCTCAGCAGACTCTTACCCGGAAGCCGTCATGGTGCTGTGGGCCCGGGGCGGTGCCCCCTCCACATGGGACCCAGACGTCTGGAAGCTGCTGTGACTTTGCTGGGCTGACTGCAGTGGGGAGAAGGAGCGCAGGGCAGAAGCCACCTCGGAGAGCTGGCGGGAGGCCTGCAGCTCGTGGCTTGCGTACCCCAGGGCCGAGGAGCCCGCGATCACGTTGGCAATCAGGCTGTGAGGCTGCAGTGAGAAGTGGGGGAGTCACAACCCTGGACAGGAGGCCACCAGACAACAGGACAGGGCCACTCCCCAACCCAGCTCCCTGGGGCACTCCAGATTCCATAGCCCCCCATGCTGCCGGGCAGAACCCCAGAACACCTCACCCTCCACGGCAGCCCCTCCTGCCTGATCACAGGCCAGAACATGCTGACACCCTCGGAGATGGGCCCAGCCCTCCCTGGAAACCCAACCCCAGTTCAGACCCAGGAAACTCACTGCACCGGCCACCTGAGCCAGCCCCGCTGGGCTAGCTAGACAATGCGGGGCTACTGCAAGACCCCTGCCCTCCAGGCAGCCTTGGAGCACCAGAGCCCTTCCTTTCCCGCCCACGCATGACCGCCGCAGCTGGGGCACCTCGGACTCTGACTGCAGGGACTGGATGGAGGTGAAGAGGGCGTTGTCAGGCAGCACGGCCTGCTGGGCCAGCGCCATGCTGCTGTCGCGCAGCACGCGCTCCTTGAGGAAGCCGATGAAGGCCGTGCTCTCGCGGGGCGGCTGCCACTTGGGGTTGGTGATGGCGAAGTGCATGAGGGACAGCTCAGTCTTGCCATCCTCGGCCTGCTGGTAGATGGAGGCCTCGGTCTTTCCCGCTGACATCCACTGCAAAGCACACAGGTGGGGTGAGGGGTCCACTCCACACCCAGCCTTGGACCCGCCCAGGGCCTGCTATACACCCACCGGGGGGCCTGGGGAGCCCCAAAGGGCCAGGCTGCACAAAACCCATCAACGCACAAAACCAGGAACCCCCGCAGCAGCTGCAGCTCGGCCTCACGCAGACGCTGGGACACGGCTCGCTGGAGGAGAAGCGCGCCATAGCCAAGCACGCCCAGCTCCAGGGCCTTCCAAGGCCAAGGGGCAGCATCACGGGCCCCAACTCCAGGGCACAAGCCCTCACCTGGCCAGCTGGGCTCATGCACCCAAGGGACAGGGCACCCCACAGAGCGTGCCCAGATGTTAGATATGAGATTGCAACAACACAGCCCACTGAGACTACAGGTCCCACCATGCAACGCTTCAGCTTGATTGGCGCAGCCTGGCCTCAAGTATTCTGGGGCTGGCAGCCGCTGCAGAGGTGCAGCGTGTAAGATCTCTCTCACTACAGGCTGCTTGGCAGAACTCCATGGGTGATGTCAGCCCACGCCTCGGTTCCAGCCACAGGCAGGACCCCCCATGTGCAGGGGGAGGGGGAAGGGAACGCGCCAGCAGATGCCATGCTGCAGGCAGGCCCTACCGCCGGGTGCCCATGCTGGCGCACGTCCATCTGTGCGAAGGAGCAGGTGTCGCCCACACCCACCACCTCCACGGTGAAGTTCCGGAAGAAGTCAATGATCTCCAGGGACTTGGGCCGCAGGCAGAAGATGAGGATCAAGGGGGTAACGATGGGACTCAGCAGCTCCTCCAGGATGAACACCTGGGAAGGGAGAGGTGGGTGCTCAGCAGGCAGCGACAAGAGCAGCCCGGGCAGGCCGAGGGGGCTGCTGCACGGTGACTGTGAGGGGCCGCCCAGGGAACATTCCTGGAACAGCAGCCCCACGTCAGCATCGCCCCCGCAGTGTTCTGCCCCCAGCTGACCAATGGTCCCCCACCCACACACCCACGTCCCTTGCTCTGGGGAACCACACAGGAGCTGCTGAGCCATCACACACACGGCCCACGGCCCCAGCCCCGCCCCTTCGCATGCACCAGCCTCTCTGGGCATCACAGCCCGACAGACAGCGGCCCTGAGGTGGCACCCGTGTGTCAGAGACCCCAGCCCTGCCCCCCCGGGCGCTGCGAGTGCCCCTAGCTGAGCGCCGGAGCCAGTCCAATCCCGCCCCGGTTCCGAGCTAGCCAGAGCGGCCGGGCTCACCGCTTTGTACTGGAAGAGCTGAGAAAACTCGTCCCGGGTCTCGTAGCGGTGGGCGTTGGCCTGCCAGTGGTCAGGCATGTAGTGGATGTGTGCCAGGATCACCCGCAGCAGCTGCTCTGGGCAGAACACCAGGTGCTGGTCAGGGATGAAGGACCTATAGGGGAGCAGGACAAGGATAGGAAGGGCAGCACTTCCCAGAGAACCCCAGCCTGGAGTCTCATGCTGGGGGGAGAGTACGCCTAGAGAAGGGCTGCGAGAGCTTCTCCAACAGCCCTGCCGGTGCCCCTCAGTCCCGATCCGCAACCCCCAGCTACCCCAGCCCTAACCTGCAGCCTCCTGCTACTCCAGCTCTGCTCACTCCCAGCCCTGCCAGTGCCCCTCAGTCCCGGCCTGCAGCCCCCTGCCACCCCAGACGGGCCCCACACTAGCTCTGCCAAAGCCCCTCAGTCCTGATATGCAATCCTCCCTCCCCCACCAGGATTTTGGCCCCAGCCTCTTCTTCTCCCCCCCCCAAAAGATTTTTGCCAGTGCCTCTCACTCCTGGCCTGACCCACTGCTCCCCATTTCCAGGCCTGGGCCTCCCGAAGCAGACTTATCTTCACTTGTGGCCCAGGACAGATCTGCAGCCTCCGGGGGGCTGGGAGCAGAGGGCCTCCCCCTTCCCCCCAGGGCAGGCGGGCGGCGCCGGCCCGTCTCACCTGCAGATGGTGACGCCCACACCCAGCAGGGTGACGGTGGTGAGGACGTGCTCCACGGCCAGCACGTCCTCGTCGTAGATGGTGAGAGCGATGAGCACGGCCAGGATGGAGCCGGCGAAGAAGGCCACATTCTTGGCCACGATGGTGAGCAGGGGGGAGATGAAGCAGTTCATGTACTTGGAGGCTGGCTTGTACCCCTTGCTGAGGCGCGAGTGCAGCTCGTGGTCCAGCTCGTTGAAGTGGCGCAGGTAACAGCGGCCGTAGAGCGACCAGCAGCGGGCGCCCAGGCTGCCCGGCTCCCGCTTCAGGATCTCGGTGTAGCTGAAGAAGGCATAGAGGATCTGCCAGATGAGGATGAGGGGGCAGAGGATGAAGTTGGCGATGCCGATCCAGAGGATGCGGGCGCTCAGCTTGTCAGCCAGCTCCAGACGGTTGCCGCCCCGCTTGTACTCCGCCTTGAGGCTCCACTCGTTCTCAAAGAGCGAGCCGGGCCCCCAGAAGAAGATGAGCTCAAAGTTGTACTTGAGGCCGCGGGTGTAGAAGATGGTGTCGCCCAGCCCGGGCAGGTGGAAGCGGATGGGCAGCAGCGACTTGTTCACCATGGCCACCATGTAGTTCTTGAAACGCAAGATGCGGTGGTAGATGTCCAGCTCTGTCAGCTCCTTCTTGTGGATGCAGATCTGATGCTCCTTCTGGATCTGCACAATGCGAGCCTGCACCTCCTGCCAGGTGTAATAGGGCAGGTTGGACTGGCCGGGAGGAGAGGAGGCAGTGTTAGAACCTGGGGAAGACCAACAGGGGCCTGCAGGGTAAGTGCTGCACGGGGAGCGCTACAAAGCAGCCAACAGAAACTACAGGTCCCAGCACGCACTGCTCCAACGTGCCACAGACACGGGCCGTGCTGCAGGCTGGGTGTTTCCGTCTCACATCAATGCTGCACCCTGCTCAGCAGGATGCTTGCTGTGTGCTGCTCTGGGGTTCCCAATGAGGGATAAACGCAGCCCTTGGGGGGGTGGGGAGCCTCATTCACCCCACCCGGGCTGGCAGGAAAGAGCTAGAGAACTACACGTGTCATCGCCACATGCACGCAAAGGGTGGCGTGCCGATGTCTCCGTTCCCGCTGAGGCACTCGTCCCACTGAGAGCTCCGAGCCCTTCATAGCTTCCCCCTTCCCAGACAGAGAAGTGATGGGACATGCCCAGTGCCCCATGGGGAGCTTGCAGCTGTCTGGGAGGAGAACCCAGGTGTTCGAGTCCCAGGCCCTTGCCTATTCCACATAGCCTCGCAAAAATTAACGTAAAGCCTATTAACGTAAAATTAAAAATTAACGTAAAGCCTCATAGCCTATTCCTTATAGCCTCGCAAAAATTAACGTAAAGGATCCTGCTGTTACTCAACTTATCCAAGTTCTCTCTGAGGGAGACCCTGGGCTGGGACTTGGGGCTCAATACCCAGCTCCGCCAGACTCCCCCATGGCCTTGGGCAACGCCTAGCTGCTCCATGCCTCAGTTTCCCTACCTGTACATGGGGAGAGAGATCCTGCCCCACCTCCTGGGGAAGACATGAGAATAAACTGCTTTACACCTCTGAGGCTGTGACACTGCTGTGAGCGTGGCAAAGAAAAGCCTAGAGGTTATAAAGCAAAGTGATTGGCTGGCAGATAGTCAGCAGAACAGAGCTGTCCCACGACACACCCAGACACACACAGCGTGCAGGGGCAGGTTTGCCTGAAAACAAGCTGTAAGGAGATACACAGGATTACTTAACTTGCAAAGGAAGTCCGAAAGAGGGAGAGACCAAAACCCTTGAGGGCAATGGGTGGGTGAACCCCTCTCCTACAGCTTCAGCAAGGCAACCCTGAGCTGGGGGGTGAAGGCAGCGGGAGCTCCCTGCTTAGCCACAACAGCCCACTTCTCCAGCCCCAGGGTCACTCACCATAGGGATTTTGAGAGCGTTGATGTAGAAGGAGTGAATCTCCCAGTAGCAGCAAATGTTGTAGATAAATTTGATGAGTCGATGGATCCAGAAAACCCCCGCTATCACCAGGATGCAAATGAGAAATCCATTCTGCTGGATTCTGCAAGGGAGAAGAGATTCACAGCAATGCTTCCCTTTTGGCATGGAATCATAGAATATCAGGGTTGGAAGGGACCTCAGGAGGTCATCACGTCCAATCCCCTGCTCAAAGCAGGATCAATCCCCAACTAAATCATCCCAGCCAGGGCTTTGTCAAGCCTGACCTTAAAAACCTCTAAGGAAGGAGATTCCACCACCTCCCTAGGTAACCCATTCCAGTGCTTCACCATCCTCCCAGTGAAAAAGTTTTTCCTAATATCCAACCTAAACCTCCCCCACTGTAACTTGAGACCATTACTCCTTGTTCTGTCATCTGCTACCACTGAGAACAGTCTAGATCCATCCTCTTTGGAGCCCCTTTTCAGGTAGTTGAAAGCAGCTAACAAATCCCCCCTCATTCTTCTCTTCTACAGACTAAACAGTCCCAGTTCCCTCAGCCTCTCCTCATAAGTCATGTGTTCCAGCCCCCTAATCATTTTTGTTGCCCTCCGCTGGAGTCTGGTTTCCAGTTTTTCCACATCCTTCTTGTAATGTGGGGCCCAAAACTGGACACAGGACTCCAGATGAGGCCTCACCAATGCCGAATAGAGGGGAACGATCACGTTCCTCCATCTGCTGGCAATGCCCCTACATATACATCCCAAAATGCCATTGGCCTTCTTGGCAACAAGGGCACACTGCTGACTCATATCCAGCTTCTCGTCCACTGTCACCCCTAGGTCCTTTTCTGCAGAACTGCTGCCGAGCCATTCGGTCCCTAGTCTGTAGCGGTGCATTGGATTCTTCCGTCCTAAGTGCAGGACTCTGCCCTTGTCCTTGTTGAACCTCATCAGATTTCTTTTGGCCCAATCCTCTAATTTGTCTAGGTCCCTCTGTATCCTGTCCCTACCCTCCAACGTATCTACCAGTTTAGTGTCAGTACAGCCAGCCTCCAGATCATTAATGAAGATATTGAACAAAACCAGCCCCAGGATCGACCCTTGGGGCACTCCACTTGATACCGGCTGCCAACTAGACATGAAGCCATTGATCACTACCCGTTGAGTCCGATGACCTAGCCAGCTTTCTATCCACCTTATAGTCCATTCATCCAGCCCATACTTCTTTAACTTGCTGGCAAGAATACTGTGGGAGACCGTGTCAAAAGCTTTGCTAAAGTCAAGGAACAACATGTCCACCACTTTCCCCTCATCCACAGAGCCAGTTATCTCGTCATAGAAAGCAATTAGAAGGCATGCCCCACAGCAGAGCCTCATCCCACAGGAGCCCAAGCTATACACACTGTCAAGGGATCGCTTCACCCACCACCAGAACGTAGCCACAGCTGGGGAGGGATGCACCAGCTGTGTAACAGCACACAGCAACCCTGCCATTAAGCACATACCCAGAGACGCATCTCCTGGCGATTACATGACCCAGAATACAATGCAGCTTGGCCACTCAGACCAAGACAAACCAGTGACTTGCAATCTTGGCAGGCTACATGCCTCTACCGATGATGAGGGCAAGGGCTGCCATGGGTAAGGTTTGGCCACTCCCACTGGATCTTTAGCTCCCGTCTGGAAATGGGCAAAGAGGGAGCTCGCACTAACATGGCCTTTGGAGGGTGGCAGGCTGCCAGGACTGGGGGAAGAGGTGTGGCTGCTGCCCTTACCTTGCGCTGCACATGCTGGGAGGCAGAAAGGCATCTGGCAGCGTCACCTTGACAAGCTCGCTGGAGAGCTGGCTGTGATTCACCATCTTGTTGGCAAACAGGATGTCGTAGTCAACGCAGCTGACGAGGAAGGTGGTGAAGGCCACCACAAAAATGAACTGCCTGTGGGAAAGGCAGCAGCCATGAAGGGCAGCCCAGAGGGATTCCCCTCCTCCTGCCCCCAACTCCTAATATACCACAGCCAGGAGTGGCTACTAGGTTACATCCCACTGTCCGTGGCATGACGAGGGGATCTTCCTGGGGATGGAGATGGCCAAAAAAGAGTGGGGGAAGAGAGGGAGACAGGTCCTGATTGAAAGGGGAGTGGCCTGACCACCTCCCACCTCACCTCTTGAAACCCAACTCTCAGCCATGGCTGTGCAGGGATAGCGGGAATGCTGGGGCCCAAGGGAACAAGGCCCTTCACCCCAATGGCAGCGAGAGCATGGAGAGAACCTGCCGCCTCCCCGGCATCCCCACCCCCAGAGCAGGGGGACTCCAGACATACATGAGCTCAAAGATCTCGCCAATCAGCATGCAGGTGAAGCCGTTCTTCTGATGCAGATTATAGACGTGGGAGCTGCAGTCAAGGAGAACAGCCTGGCAACCCCTCCTCTCCGGCCACCAGTCGAGAGAAAACCTCTCCCATGCCAAGCCACCCCCTAGCCACCAGTCAGGACAGAGGCTGCCAAGCAAGTGTACTCTCTGCTCAGCTACAAAATGCTGGTGGGTCCAGACTCCATGCCTGTCCCAGGCTGAGGGTAATGCTAGCCTGTCACAGAAACCCAACCCCCCACCACACCCAGCAGGGGATTGTGAACACTCCAGTCACAGACCAGCCCCCCGGAGCCCTCTCTAAAGTCTGCAAGGGCAGGACCTGGCCAGCACAGAGGGAGGTAAAGACATATCCAGAGCCTAACAATCAGAGCGACAAAGAATGGCCAGGAGGCCATCATCAAAGGGCTGGAGAGACCCGTTTCTGTCCCCCTACAACCCTCTCCAACAAGGGAAGGGGTGGCAACGCCTCTGCTTGGCCTGTTTGGACTCCACAGGGCAGGGAGCAACCCAACCCAGAGGAGACGGGACGTGCGCCGACTATTCCAACTCCGATCTGCGCCAGATGGACGAACTGTGTCAAGCTGATGCTGGCCTGACCATCCTGCTAGGGCTGGAGCAGCCACCCCCCCCCCGGCATGCAGCAAGGATATGCGAGAGAAGAAGAGGTCCAGGTTCTCTATGTGATGCCAAGGAGCTGTAGGAGAGAGAGGAGGCAAAGGGGGTGACTGGGGCTCGCTACGTGGTGGTTTGCCCAGCGAGGGGGGTCAGTTGGTTGCCACTGGCTAGTTATTCTCGTGACACAACCCAGGGCACGAAGCGGGCTGGGGCCCCGCAGTCGCCCCCGACTGGGGCCCAGGCTCAAAAGGGCGGCTACTGCGCTTACACAGGGCAAGGAATAGGAGTCCCCACGCCGGATCAGACCCGGCGTCTGGCCTGCAGCAGTGGCCAATAGCTAGGGGCATCGAGAGGATCCCCCGCCCCACGGAAGGGCTTGGGAGACGGGGGCGTTCCGCTCTGCCCCTCGCCCCGACCCAGGGGAGCTGCCCCGCCGGGCGTGTCAGAGACCAGGCCCCGGGCCCCGCTCACATTTGCTGCCCTCGGGGACGTGCACCAGCAGATCCTCCTCGCCCGGCGGCGAGTCGCTGTAGGAGGCCTCCAGGCGCTGGTACTCCGTGTCGAAGTGTGCCATGGCGCCGGCCCGCCAGGCCCTGCGGGGAGGAGGCAGGGTCAGAGCAGGGGGGAGCAGGACTAGCCCCCCCCGGCCCGGGGCCGCCCCTCGGGGGGGGAAGGGAGAGGGGGGTCAGGGCGGGGGGGGAGCAGGACCAGCCCCCCCGGCCCGGGGCCGCCCCTCGGGGGGGGAAGGTGGCAGGAGCGGGGGGGGGGGGGGTAGAGCAGGGGGGCAGGACCAGCCCCCCGGCCCGGGGCCGGGGGCGGAAGGTCAAGGGGGGGGAGCAGGACCAGCCCCCCCGGCCCAGGGCCGCCCCTCGGGAGGGGGGGGGGAAGGTCAGAGCGGGGGGGGGCAGGACCAGCCCCCCGGCCCGGGGCCGCCCCTCGGGGGGGGGGGGGGAAGGTCAGGGCGGGGGGGGGCTCGGGCCGGGACCCTGCGGCCCCGGGCCGAGCCCGGCCGAACTCCTGGGTTCTCGGCGGGGACCCCCCCTCACCTGCCGGTCTCCCCGGTAACCGGCCCCAGCCGCCCCCTCCCTGCACCAGGCCGGGCCGCCGCCTCCTGTGTCACTACCTCCGAACGGGCGGCTCCGGCGGCCAATCGGCGCCTGTGGGCGGGACCGCGGGGGCCAATCCGAGGGAGGGTGAGAGGCGGCGGGGGCGGGGCTACAGGGTTGTCCCCGACGGCGCTCCGTCGTGGGGCGGATGTGACGTCCTGCGCGGCTGCCGTTGGCTTCCGGGTGAGGCGCTACCCGCTTCGCTTCCCCCCGGGACAGGTGAGCGCCGCCCTCGCGGCCTTCGGGGGGCAGGGCCCCTCTGGCCCCGCGCGGGGCACGGTCGGGAAGGGCTGGCCAATGGGGGGGGTGGGATCCCCTGGCCAATGGGGGGGGGCGGGGTCTCCTGGGATCCCCTGGCCAATGGGGGGGGCGGGGTCCCCCTGGCCAATGGGGGGGGGCGGGGTCTCCTGGGTCCCCCTGGCCAATGGGGGGGGCGGGGCTTCCTGGGTGCCCCTGGCCAATGGGGGGGGGCGGGGTCTCCTGGGTCCCCCTGGCCAATGGGGGGGGACGGGATCCCTTGGCCAATGGGGGGGCGGGGTCCTCTGGGTCCCCCTGGCCAATGGGGGGGGGCGGGGTCTCCTGGGTGCCCCTGGCCAATGGGGGGGGGCGGGGTCTCCTGGGTCCCCCTGGCCAATGGGGGGGACGGGATCCCTTGGCCAATGGGGGGGGCGGGGTCCTCTGGGTCCCCCTGGCCAATGGGGGGGCGGGGTCCTCTGGGTCCCTCTGGCCAATGGGGGGGGTGGGATCCCCTGGCCAATGGGGGGAGGCGGGGTCTCCTGGGTCCCCCTGGCCAATGGGGGGGGACGGGATCCCTTGGCCAATGGGGGGGGCGGGGTCTCCTGGGATCCCCTGGCCAATGGGGGGGCGGGGTCTCCTGGGTCCCCCTGGCCAATGGGGGGGCGGGGTCTCCTGGGTCCCCCTGGCCAATGGGGGGGGGCGGGATCCTCCAGGCTCTGCTGGGCAGTCAGGGCACAAGGTCCCCGTGGCCTGTCCTGGCCTGCGCTGACCCCTCTAACTGCATTGCCGCCTTCAGGAGATCGACAATCGTGCGTCGGACCCTCAGGAACCCGGAGATTGGCCCCCAAATGGCGACATTTAAACCCAGATTTAATTGTGTGTTTTCGGCCAGTCTCGTGGTGTTTGAAACCCCCCTCGCACCCCTTCCCAAGGTGCGTGTGTGGGGCAATTAGTGTCGCCCGCTCCCCCACACGGGCTGGATATGGCCACCGGACTCCTCGTTGTTTTTGTGGATACAGACTGACACGGCTCGCCCCGAAACCCAGCTGCAGGAGCTCTCACCCCCACATCTGCAGTCTCCTGCCCAGCACTTTATCCTGTCCCCCAGCCCCCACCAGTTCTCTCCTCACCCAACCCCCCCTTCAGCACCCCTCAGTTCAGTCCCCCTCTCCCATTGCCTCCCACTACCCTTAGTTCACCCTCCTAGCACTCACCCCATCTGCTCAGAACCCCCTATCAATACAGCCCTCCCCCCCATCAGCCCTCCCCCTCCTCATGGCAGCCCCCAGCCTCACCTCTGCTCCTTAGGGTTCTTCACCCTCTCCAGACCTCGGGGAGGGGGGCAGGGCTGCAGTGGGGTCCCCTCTCCCACTTCCCAGGCTAGCAGGGGAGCAGCCGCCTGGGCTGACAGCCAAAGCCCTGCTCAGGCCCGGGGTGGCTGACAGGATTTCTAAATAAAATTAAGCCTCACTTTTAGAACTCTCATTTTTTTCTAGTTGATTCAATTGCTTATTTGAGGGTTGTGGAGGGGGCCCCCCCCAGATGAATTTTCTCTTCCCTGCTGGAGTGTCGGCTCCTGTCTCTTGTTAGGTTGACAGCTTTGTTTATCAGAGGTGTAAATGAATTCTCATTGTCTTTCAAAGTACTTTGTAATTAGCTGCCTGGTGGAGAAACCGCATTCCTTTGTCCAGGGCGGGTAACTCCTGTTTGACTGGAAAGAATCATCCTGCCATGTGAGCGTTCTCTTCCCCAAGAGTTGGCACGTCTGCGGCGGGGTCATGATGTGGTTGGTGCCTGGTGTCCGTGGCGCAGCCCGTGGCAGGCTCCCCAGGCACTCGGCGGTCACATGGCCGCAGTGATAGAACTTGGGACCTTTCGCTCCAAAGCCAGCAGCCCTGTCCTGGAGGGGAACCTCCATCACCAAGAGCAGCACTGCGGGCTCTTTGCCCCGTGTCCCCCAGCTAATGAGCTCTCACCCCCACATCTGCAGTCTCCTGCCCAGCACTTTATCCTGTCCCCCAGCCCCCCACCAGTTCTCTCCTCACCCAACCCCCCCTTCAGTGCCCCTCAGTTCAGTCCCCCTCCCCCATTGCCTCCCACTACCCTCAGTTCACCCTCCCAGCACTCACCCCATCTGCCCAGAACCCCCATCAATACAGCCCTCCCCCCATCAGCCCTCCCCCTCCTCACGGCAGCCCCCAGCCTTTTGTAGTGATAATCACCCATTTTTTCATGGTTTGTGTGTATAAAAACGTCTTCTGTACTTTCCACAGTATGCATCCGATGAAGTGAGCTGTAGCTCACGAAAGCTTATGCTCAAATAAATTGGTTAGTCTCTAAGGTGCCACAAGTCCTCCTTTTCTTCCAGCTAATGGTGCGGCACAACTGCCCATCCCCTGCCATGTCACGGGTGCCAAGTCACAGGGCACGGGAGCCTGTCGATGGCTCTCTCTGCCTCACTCTCATTCCTTCTTCAGACTCCTGCTGGAAACAATGCAGCCCCTCGAGGTCAGGTCTGTGTTTGAGGCTGCCCAGGACCCCACCTTCCTGCATGGACTCTCCCTCGTCAATGGCGTTTCAGAGGACGTGCGGTCCATAGACTCTAATGCCATAACGCAAGGTAGTGCATAAAAGCCAGTGAGCTGGCTAGAGGGGTAGTGGAGCCAGCGGAGGGGCTTCCTGGGGGGAGGGTGGGAGAGTGTCCAGTGGGGGGATTTTGCTGCAGTCCAATACTAAGAGGTATCCCACTCTCTGGGGCTTGGTGGGGTGATGGGCTCTGGTTTGAGCTGCTTTACCCCAGTCAAGAGCCTTCAGCCTGAGGAGCGCAAAACACTTCACACGCACACTGAAACTAATCCTGTTTGGTGGGTCGGTATCATCCCTGTGTTACAGGTGGGGAAACTGAGGCACAGAGGTGCAGTAACTTGCCCAGGGCCATGCATAAAGTGAGTGGCAGAGTCAGGAACAGTCAAACTGACTCTTCACAGTTTGCTCTAGCCACACTTTGGAGTGATCTGTCTGTCCTGTAGCCCTCTGTCCCTCTCCAATGGAAGTGGCTTATCTTCCCTGAGCTCCTCTCCCTCTTTCAGAGAAGCTAGTGGTGGCCATTAGGGAGGAGAGAGCCCGAGGGGTCCCAGAGATATCGGACCGGATGTGCTGCTCAGCCTGCTCCCGGGTGTTTGACAGCAGGGAGGAGCAGGTAGGCAGCAGCCTCGGGGGTGGAGGCGGAGGGGTGGTGTGTTTTCCATTGCCCCCAGCAGGCAGTGCTGTGAGCGAGCAGGCAGCTGGGGAAGCCGGGTTGTGTGAAATGGGTATGTGAATGGCCGAAATGTGGACCATGGAGATCTGCAGTTGTGGCCTGGGTACGTGGAGATGCAGCCCAGAGACTACTGGTCCTGAAATGCAGTGCTCCATTTTGGGCTTACCCACTTGGCACAAGGTGGAGTATTTCACGCTGGGATTTGTAGTCTCCATCAGCCGCACCCACAGAACGAGGGAGGCTGCAATTGATTCTTTTTTAAGCCAGTCAAGTGCATTCCTCAGGCCCCTGGTAAACTGCGGCTGCATCTCTCAGCTGGGCAGGGTCTGGGAGCTCTGGCATAGCCACATTACCAGCTTCCACACGCTGCAAAGCCCTGGGCCAGAAAGCTGGTGCCAAGGCCCTGCAACCCTGAGGGCAGGGTGGGAACTTGGCGCTAAGGGCATCAGCTAACCAAGTGACCATGACGTGCCAATAAAGCAAGGCAGCTTCTGCTGATTCCCAAGTCCCCGGCAGGCTGGCATCTGGCTGAGGGGACCTCCGCACTGTCCAGTCCCGGGGCATGGGTTGGTGCGCTTCCATTCATCCGACCTGGGGGATTATCAGTATGGGAGGCCCCTTCTCACTCCGTTTCCTTCCCAGACTGAGCATTACCGCCTGGACTGGCACCGCTTTAACCTGAAGCAGCGTTTGCTGGGGCGCCGGGCACTTGCAGCAGAGGAGTTTGAGGAGAAGACCCGTGCAGGTGAGGGGGGCAGACGGGAAGGGCTGCTGTCACGGGCTTGCTTGAGCTGGTGGAGTGCCGCACGAAGCAAGCACCCTTTAATTATCAGTTGATATCCAACGCTAGGTGTCCCCTGCGCTGCAAATTCTGCAACATAAAACAATCTGTCACTGGCTCAATCCAAAGGTGCGGCTGGGGTTAGGCCCCTGACCAGACTGGCTTTTGGGATCAGCTGGAGCAATCATAGAATCATAGAATCTCAGGGTTGGAAGGGACCTCAGGAGGTATCTAGTCCAACCCCCTGCTCAAAGCAGGACCAATCCCCAACTAAATCACCCCAGCCAGGGCTTTGTCAAGCCATGACTCCAATAGAGCCATGCGAGGCATCCGAGTTCCAAGCATCCTGCGTCAGCAGGGCAGGAAGGGCTTTGTGGAATGGAACCAGATGGTTCCTCCTGGAGCTGCATCCAGTCCTGTTTGAGTGGCGCAAGGGTCACTGCACTGCAGGGCTTTCAAGGGGGCACCCTGGATTCCTCCTGAAAACCCCTCTGACGAGTAGAAAAAGTTGTGTGGTGGATCTTGAATTACCTGCATCACCCACAAACCAGGGCCACCAGTAATAGTCTCAGCAAATAATCCAGTACCTTTCCAATCCAGATACTCTTTGAAACACCAAGGGCCAATCAGAGAGAGGGTCTTAAATTGTGACATTAATTTAAAAATTCTTCCCCTTGGCTGACAACGACATTCTACTAGGTCAAACACTGCTGTGACCTAACCATGAGGTTGCTTTAATGGGAGGTAGTAATGGGGAGAAACACAGAAGAAGGTTGATGAGGACACTTCATCAGTTTAAAACAGAAGACTAATTAATTGCAGTGATTCTGTTGAGTCTTGGTAGATAGCAGCAGGACCACCTGGGGGTAAATGATGCAATGCACGGCTTCGCAGGCAGCTAGACATATCCACACCACTGGGTGCTGCCCTTTGTGGCCAGCTGCTGGTGGAGCTGCCTTCCACAGCAACAGTCAGGAGTGGAGCTGGACGGGCAAGTTGCTGCCACTGACGGTGGGAGAGTCCATGAGAGAGAGATGGCTAATCCTTGCTAGTTGTCACCAGGGGCCTGGACACCGCCCAGCTTCCCCTTGGAACTAAAACGTTCCCTTCGCCCTCTGACATTTTCACTTCTTAAAACTCTTTGTTCAGCCCCAGCTCCTGCCTTTGTTGTTTTAATGCCTTGTGTGGTCTTTATTCAGAGTTTTGCAGGCAGGCAGCCCAAGGCGCTGCTTGCTTTCTTAGAACTCCGGGGATGGTGTTGGCTGCTCTCACTGAACACTCAGCAGAGGATATTTATATATTTTTAAACGGATGAAGTAACCATGTAATTACTCTGTGATATTAATTACACATCACCCAATCCTTCCTCCCCATCCTAGCTTCACCTGCAACTGGCCACTGGAGGAGGCAGCTAGCTGTTTTTATCTTGGCTGCTGGGCCCTGACTGGGTTTTGCCCACTCCTGGCCTTTCTACCTGCTGGAGGAACAATTCTTGTTGGCTCCACTAGCAGCTGATCCTAGGGGTGGCCTTTCTAGGCAGCTCTTGGAGGTTTAAACTTGCTACTTTTTTCTCCCCAGAGAGCATGCCTTCTTTGGATGGAGAGGTGGCAATGTGGCAGGGGCATCAAATGTCTGGTACACTCCATCACAGCAACTCTTCAGCAGGGCCCATAGGCAGCAGGAAGCCTCTCTGCTGGCACCTGACTGTGTGGAGAAGCTCTGAGCACCAGTCCCACTTATTTTCTCCCTAGTAGCTGCCTGCTTCCTGGATCCCTTTGTTTTCCTGCCCCATGTGGGAGGCTCCTCTGAGATGAGTTCAGGTCCTGTCATGTCATGTCATACATTACCGCTATATAAATCCATAGTATGCCCACATCTTGAAGACTGCATGTAGATATGGTTGCCCCATCTCAAAAAAGATTTGCTAGAAGCTGGGAGTGGACAACAGGATGGATCACTGGGTGATTCCCTGTTCTGTTCATTCCCTCTGGGGCACCTGGCCCTGGCCACTGTCGGCAGACAGGTTTCAGAGTCGCAGCCGTGTTAGTCTGTATCTGCAAAAGAATAAGGTGCCACAAGTACTCCTGTTCTTTTTGTCGGCAGACAGGAGACTGGGCTAGATGGACCTTTGGTCTGACCCAGGCTGGCCTCTCTTCTGCTCTTTGTGGTGAGGTTTGTTCTAACCCCTCCTCTGCCCCCTGGAGCTGGCTGGCTCTGACCTGTCAAGTGGGACCAGGCCATAGACGGGTATCTCAGTGAGGACTGTATGTTCTGCGGGTGCCTCCCTCCTCAAACACTCGCTCTCCCCGACCCTAGGATCCTGCTGCACCCCAGAATGTGGTGCAGTCCTTCCACAGCATCTGCCTGGTTCGCTACCCCAGGAGCGCCAGGTGGGTTGTCTCCACACTGTTCACATTGGCTGGGCTGTGAGAGGCCATCGCACATGACCTAGAAGGCTGGGGGGAGGGCAATGGATATTCGCGGGATCTCTAGGTCTCCAGGTGGGACGTGGAGGAGGTGGCTCTGTGATCCTAGTGGACTGGGAATTGTTCCCTCCTCTTCATTTTAGGACTCGTGCCTTCCTCGGGCACCTTAGCATCTGACAGCCCTGTCCCCCTCCTGCCCCGTTTGCAGGTGATGTCTCCAGCATCTCCGGGTCCGATTCTGACAACTCCGATTCGGGCAGCGAGACCAACCTGCTCCCTCCCCGAGGCCATGCAGACCCAGGGAGCGGCCAGCAGAGCCACCGCTCGGCTAAGGTTCTGTTCCGCAACTCCCAGGGCCAGCTGCTCTCCGCCTACCGCTGTGTGCTGGGCAGTAAGAAGGTAAGCGACGGCCCAGCAGTGCTGAGCCCCATCCCCAGTGACCTGCCAGAGGTCCTGGAACAGGTCATGGTCCGGGATAGCCCTGACGGGCCAGCAAGCGGGGTTTGGCTGGGACCCCTGACCCCTCTTTGCCCCCTATGATCCTGCGGGCAGCTGGACGCGTGTGCAGGGGAGCCGGGCGCCAGCTCTGTCGGGATCTGGCTGTTCCATTGTACAAGTGGTCGGGGTTTAGCTGGAGCGGTGCTTGCCAGAGGATCCTTGTCCAAGTGCAGGGGGGTGGCCAGGCCCAGCTCATCCGGCTGGAACCAAGGCTTTAGTTGGTGCATGATGAGCCCTGTTCAGATGGGAGCTGCTGCTGCCATGATCACCTGTCTGGCCTCAGCAGGAAGGGGCGACCCCTGCCACGTGGGTCAGCCCCCAGACTGCCCCTTCCTCGACTGCCTGCAGAGCCCCTGGCTAATGGCTCCCAGCTGGCAAACCCCGCTGGGTCATCGGCTCCAGCAGAGGGAGAGCCTGTGCCACCAGGCTGCTAACAGGAGGGTTTCCTTGTGCCAGGGTGGTGGTGAGCAGCAGGCGGAGCTGGTGGCATCTCTGCAGAGCCTGGGCGCAGGCACCTGTTGGGTTATCCTGATGACAGGCGGTGGACACTTTGCAGGAGCCGTCTTCAGGGGGTGAGTGTCCCAGTCTGGCCCTGAGCATGGGGCTGGGGCAGGGTCTGCTGCTCCAGTGGGCAGAATCCTGTGAGGGCCTTGGCGTGGGAAGGAGAGCTCTGTAGCTTGTGGGTGGTTTGGGGCTGTTTTTCCCTGGCAGAGGGGATCAGAGGGGACGTGGTGAGATGGGCCCTTGCCCCCTGTCTGCTTGTGGGGCTGGCCCAGAAGGCGTCTCTCCTCTCCCCAGGGACATGTGGCACTCCCAGAGCCTTCACGGGCCCCTAGCAGCAGCAGCTCCTGGGATACCCTTCTTCTGCCCATCTGTCCCCCGAAGCTGGCAGTGTGCTCTGGCTGGAAGAGGAGTGTTCATTTCCCTTCTGTATGGAGGCCCCAACAGGGGCAGGAGCTCACCCGGGTCCCAGAGTGAGTCAGTGCCGGAGCTGGGAAGAAAACCCAGGAGTCCTGACACCCACCCAGTGTGTGCCGCACAGACCCATGGCCAGGCCTGCCCTCATGGAGTGGGGCTTAGGCCCTGTTCCCCCATGGCAACAAGGGTCTGGGTCCTGCTGCCCTGGCCCACTCTGCGGTTTCTCTCCCCCAGGCCTGAGGTGCTGGATCACAAGACCTTCCATCGGTACACGGTGCGTGCCCGCCGCGGCACGGTGCAGGGAGTGCGCGATGCCCAGGGCCAGGCCTCCATGCCCAAATCGGCTGGTGCCTCGCTGCGGCGTTACAACGAGGCGGCTCTGCTCAAGGTAGGGGCGAGCGCACGGGCCCAGTTCAGAATTGGGCCCTCGGTGCTGGCCACGCCACTGTTCTGGGGCAGCCTCTGGGTGGGGGCTGCCTAGGCCATGAGCAGCCCCTCCAAGGCCTTGGCTGCAGGTGGCTCCGTGGGCAGAGGCTGGACAGGGTGTGTGCTATGGCTGGAGTGCCCGGGAGTGGGGATGGAGGGGGCGCGCGGGGCCTGGCAGGGAGGCTAGGACAGTGCCATGCTCCCCACTGGGATGCCACCCTGGGTTCCAGTCCCCCTGCTTAGGGGCTGGGGCATGAGAGAGGCGCCCCTGTGCTTGGGATGCCCTGCCTCCTACCCCAGGGCCAGGCCTTTGGGCTCCCTCTCCAGGCTTCTGGCAGTCCCTGAGAGAGGCATTTAGGGATAACGCCCCCCCCATCCCAGGATCCGAGGCCAGCCTGCCAGGCGCCCTGTCAGATCTAGCTGAGTGCCCCTTATTGGCTGGCATCTGAACAGTCCAGGCGCTGCCCTGGCTCGGGGTGTCCGGCGCACAGTGGAAATGCAGACCCCTCTCTAGCTCCTCCTCCCGAGAGCTGAGACCTCATGGGCCCCTGCCCAGCCCCGGGGGACTGCTGCTGGCCCCTCAGACGGGCCCCATCGCTTAAACTCAGCCCCTGGCAGACCTCCACCGGCCGGGCGCTCTGGGGTCACATCCCCGCACAGAATCCTACCCACCACTGCTCTTCACTTCACAGCTCGAGAAATGCCCAGATCTAGACCTAACCGATAATCCCTACACGCATCTCCCTGCCCCAGCTTCCTCCCCGCTGCAGCGTGCTCTGCAGGGCCCTGGTCCTCGGGGGTCCAGGATCTTCCTGCTACAGAGCTTGGCTTGACTTCCAGGCCGGCGCCCTCTCTCCACCATGGCCTACTTGCTTTCTCGGTCCTTGGGTGGTCCCACCGCTGCCCCAGGCCCCCTGCTGCAAAGCCTGCCTGTCCCTGTCGTGCCAGATCTTCCTGGATCTCTCTCCAAAGCTTCTCCCCAGGAGTCCTTTAACCCTGCTTTGTCACCTCTGCCTCCGGGAAGTGCCCACTCTCCAACCAGCTGTGGCGAAAACCTGTGCCTTCAGCCAAGCCCCTTTGTGTACCCGTTAGGCATCAGAGCAGTCGTTAAGGTTAATGAGTCCCCATTGTCCCTAGGCTGGGGGGAGGGGCGGCCGGCAGGCAGCACACGGGGGATCCTGCAGCGAGCACCATACTGATGCCTTGATAATAGCAGAACCACTAAGCTGTGCGGCCACAACCTCTGAATCCCCGTCCCCCCCGCCCTGGCACCCCCCAGCTGCACAGGGCTGGCTGTGCTTGGCCATACCCCAGTCCAGAGGAGGGCTGGCAGGTGGGGCCCAGGAGCTAGCGGTGATCCCTCCCCTTCCACCCCCAGGACATCCAGGACCTACTGGCCGGCTGGGCACAGCATCTGCAGGGAGCCCAGCGCATCTTCCTGCGTGCCCCCCGTGCCAACCGGGCACTGCTCTTCGGCGGCAGGAACCCCCCTCTGCACAAGGACGACCCACGCGTCTACAACATCCCCTTCAGCACCCGCAGAGCCACCTTCAGGGAGGTGCTGCGGGTGCACGTGGCCCTGGCCACCCTGCAGGTGTATGGTGAATACTGGGGTGCGGGGACAGTGGTGCTGGGGGGCCAGGCGTGAGTGGTCTGCTTCCCTGCTGCCTGTTCCCCTGACCACCAGGCTGGGATGGCATTGTTTCTAGACTCTGCCCAGGCCAGGGTAGCGGTGCCAAGCTGCCTACTTCAGGTGGGGGGCAGTGGGTTCCTCCCCCAGGGATGGTGGTTGGCTGCGATGCCCCATCCCGCTCTGTCTGCAGCACCTGCCCTGCCCCACGCTCTGTGGAAGGGGGGTGGGCTGGCTCCCTGCTCTGCCCTCTGTCTGGGGATGGTCTCTGCGGGGCCCAGCTGGTGGCCCGCAGCCCCAAGGCTCCTGTCCCGCAGGGAAGGACACAGCGGTGGCGGATCTCGCTGGCTCCCCCCGGAAGGGCTGGAGGAAAGTGCCGTGTGCGCCGGTGGAAGAGCCCCAGCAGGGTGACGCCAGCAGTGAGTGAGGGGGAAGGGCACCGGCTGACTCCCACCCCCAGCGGTGTTTCCTGAATCGGGGAGGGAGGGTGCCCAGCACGGGACCTGCTCTTGTTTGTGCCCCAGCCTTGTGGTCCCCTTGGGACAGCAGGTTCCAGGCATCTGGGCACCCCGTAAGAGCACGGTGCCGCAGGGCACGGTCTGGGCGTGGGGGGCGCTCCTGGACTGCTCTGATCCAGGCACAGTCCTTCCCAGCGGGCCCTTCCCCCAACTCACCTGCAGAGAAGGGGTGGGGCCTCCTCTGGCCGAGCGCACGGGCGGGCCCACCAGCCCCAATCCCACCTGTCTCCCCCAAAGCCCCGTCGGAGGAGGAGGAGAGCCAGGCTGGGGAGCTGGAGACGGTGGAGGTGACGCTGAGCACGCTGCAGCTCCAGGAGTTTGAGGTGATGCCTAAGCGAAGCCGCAAGAGGAGGAAGAAGAAAAACAAAGTGGGGAGAGGTAAGAACGGGGGGTTCCCCTGGGACGGGCGCTGCTGGTGGCCCTGCCAGACCCACTCAAGGGCAAAGCCCTCGCGGCACAAGGGGCTAACATGGGTGTCCTTTGGTGTGTGTTGGTGGGGGTGCATGAGCAGGTGGAAGCTGCTGGCTTCCCTGCCTTTGCCTCTGGCGCTGGGGGCAGCTGGCACCTGGCCTTTGCTGGCAGGGGCTGGGGGAAGCTGCATGCCCCCGGGATGGGGGGAAGGTGTTGGCCCCGGACCGTGTTTATCCCTCTCCTGGTCGTTCCCGGAGCAGGGGCCTGCGCCGAGGGGCCAGGAGGCCACGAAGAGCCCGAGGGCTCAGCACCGCAGCCAGGAGCAGGGATGGTGGCGGAGCCCCAGGATGGGCCTGGGGCAGAGCCTGCTCCCTGGGAGAATGGAGGTAAGTCAGGCTGGGCCATGCTGCTGTCTCTGCCCTGCCCACGTGTGCCACGTCGGGGCTCTGTGGGCTCAGGCCGCTCCTCCCCTGCACCCCATTTGCCCTGTCAGACCCCCCCAGCTCACCCCTTCCATGTGCTGCTGTGTGCAAGCAGGGGTCGAGGGGGGCCAAAGAGGCAGATCAGCAGAGTGGTGGCCATACTGAGCGATCCGGATCGCCCAGTCTGCGCTGTAATATGGACAGGTGGAAAGGCCCACCCCTAGGAGCGAGGCTGCAGGCCACACCATGGAGTGGGGGCCTCTGGAAAGGACTCGGGGGTCAGTGGTAAATGGCTGAGCATGAGCTCCCAGGGTGGTGCTGTGGCGAAGGGCTAACGTGCGGGGTGTGAACGGGGGATTTTACCTCTGTACACAGCCCTGGGGAGACCGCCCCTGGTCCTGCGTCCAGTTCTGGGCTCCACAGTTTAAGGAGGATGTTTGAAAAAACGGAGAGGTGCAGAGAAGCAGAGGTCTCTTGCACTGAGACCTGTGGGGAGCACCGTCTGCATCCCTTCTGGAGCGGTGGTGATCGCGGTGCGTCACTCCTTGCGGGAGAGCCCAACGGGGGCTAACAGCTCCTCAGGCCAGCCGAGACAGGCAGAGCCAGAGCCAGACAAACGAAAAGCTGGTGCACCTCGCTAACCCTGCAGGTCGTTAACCATGGCATCTCCTCTCTGGCTGGCTTTGCATCTGGCCTGGTGCCATCCTGGCCCATGCTTTAGCCACAGCCAGGGGTGACGGGCCGGGGGCGCACTCTGGTGTATGCCGCACAGGGGTCAGACCCCTGTGCTGCTTGGGCTGGGGGGCCCCTGGGGCCAGCTCTGAGCTGCTCTGTCCTTCCCTGCCAGAAACGCTGCTGGGCCAGCTCCGTGACGCCCTGTTCACGGCCTGCAAGACGGGGGATGCGGGGACGCTGCGGCGCCTCCTGGGTGCGGCGGAGAGTGGGGCCCCCCCTGCGGGCAGCGAGGATGGTGCTGTGGGGCAGCCCCAAGGCCACCCTGGCAGGGTGCAGAGTGAGGGGTCAGAGCCCACCTGTGCGGCCCCTGGGCTCCTCTCGCTGCTCAGCGAGCCCATCGACGGGACCGGCTTCACCCTGCTGCACGTGGCGGCTGCGGCAGGGAAGGGGGCGGCCGTGCGACTGCTGCTGGAGGCTGGTGCCGACCCTGCGCTCAGGTACAGCGACCCCCTGAGGCCAGCGCTCTGGGCAGTCACCACCCCCCCCCCCGCCCAAGGCTGGCCCTGCCTGTGGGCCCGGGGGTCTGCAGCTTCCTCGTTCGCCCTTCAATGCCCTGTCTGGTCTGGTCCCGGGGGCCTGCGGGAAGGTGCCCTCCGCCTGCACCGCTCCAGCCTCTGGGCCCCCCAGCCTGCTCCCTCTCCCCTGCCCCAAAACATCTAGCCAGCTGGGTGGGTGGGCTGGCCAGGGAGCAGGGCGGGGCGGGGTCCCCTTCCCAGTTCTCCCCGGGGCCTGGCTGGCTCGTGGGGCTGCCCGTCCTGCAGGGGCTGGGGGAGGGCAGCAGCAAGCCCTGGCCTATCCCGGCCCTGAGCCGCTCTCTGCTTGGCTCCCAGGGACTGGCAGGAGCGACCTCCGTATTGCGTCTCTGCCGACAAGTCGACACGCAACGTCTTCCGCAGGTTCATGGTGGATCACCCAGCCAAGTACGACTACAGGCGGGCCAAGGTGGGTGCCTCCCGCTGCCCTTCAGCCCTGAGGTCCCTCCCTGGCGCCCTCGGACAGCTGGGGGAGCTCAAATCCTCCCACCCCGGGGTGCCTGAGCCCTCCCTGGGGAGCACCAATCCGGCTCCAGGCTGCTGGCCCCCTCCCCCAGGCTGGGGGGCCCTGCCCCTAGGCTGCACCTGCCCTGCTCTGAGTTGCGGGGGGAGCCGTGTGAGGAGCCAGGAGGGGCTGTAGTGTTAAGGCCCCTGTGTACAATCGAGGAACCCAACCCCCGGCCCACCGCGAGCCAGCTGTGGGGGCTGTCCGCAGAGACGGGCCGGGGAGCCAGGACCCCCCCGGCTGACGGAGCTCGTCCTCCCCAGGTGCCCGGGCCCCTGACGGCGGAGATGGAGGCCGGGCGGCTGGAGAAGCAGCGGGCGCAGAAAGCACAGCGGAAGCAGTGGGCGCAGGAGCAGGAGGAGAAGCGGCGCTTTGCGGCCCTGCCAGACCGGGAGAAGGTGAGGCCTGGGGGGCCCAGGCACCCCGACCCCCATGGGGGGCTCCCTGCCCTGGCTCTCGGGCTGCTCAGGCCGGGGGACAGGGCTCACCCCACTCACTGGGGCTCTGGCTCTCTGCTCCTCAGAGGGCCCTCGCTGCCGAGCGGAGACTGGCTGCCCAGCTGTCGGACACGGGCGCGGCTCTCGCCAACACCAGGTAACAGGCACTGAACCTGCTGCGGGCCCGGGGGGGCAGCGGGGAGGCCCTGTTCCCCTGTGGGGCTGGCAGCTCCCCTGTCCAGTTGCTGGCAGGGAGCAGGCCTGGCCCCAGACGCTGGCCCATGCCGTACCTTCTGGTTTGTGTAGACGCTGCTGGCAGTGTGGCGAGTCCCTGCTGGGCCGGATCCCCTTCCACTACCTCGACTTCTCCTTCTGCTCCACGGGCTGCCTGCAGGCTCACCGCCGGGGCCGCGCCGGGCCCACCTAGCGCCCGCGCCGCCGGGAAGGCAGGCAGCTGCCGAGCGCAACGGGGGTTGTGTGGAAGTGGACAGTCGCCTGCCAGGTGCTGGGGGGGGGGCGCTGGGAGCTCCCGGGGGGCTGAGCCCGAGTGTAAATCCCTGTCGCAGCTCAAGGCCTCCTTCCCAGCACGGGGGGCAGCCCCATGCCCCTGCCTCAACGGGAAGGGGATCATGGCGCAGGATGGGTTGGGTGGGGGGCGAGCACCGACCCCTGGGCAGGAGCGTCACCGGAACACGGGGTCAGGGTCCTGTTCTGGGGCAGGGGGTGCTGAAGGGGCAGCGTGGCTGGTGGATCGATGGAGGAGGGACTAGACGGCTCAACGCTGGTGCTGTGCGATCCACCTGAGTGTGCCCCACAAGCTGGGCTGAGGGTGGTTAATGATGGGCAGCTTGGCTCAGGGCAGCAGCCCCTTGCCCTGGGGGGAGCTCCCTGCAGCACCCTGGGCCCTGCCCGGCACCCATGAATCCTCCCCTTTACCCAGGGGCTGAGCTGGCTGGCCCGGGGTAGCCCAAGCGGTGACTGACTCAGGACGCTGCCCCTAAAGCTCAGCCCAGCACGCGCCTGCCCTTGCTGCTGGATCTGGGGAAGGGGGGGAAGGTGATATAGCCCCCGCACCGCTTCCCCCTTGTCCTGCAGAGGTGGGGGAGGAACCCCCCCCCCCCCAGTGCCCAAGGTCCTAGTCACCCCCTGGGTGCTGGGGGCCATGTTGTGGACGGGTGCCCGGTTTTTCCCCAGGGTGCAGTACCTTGACCCCAGTACCCTGAGCAAGCCCCCAATGGCCCTTGAGTGCCCCCCGGGGCTCTGAACCCGGGCTCTGGCTCAGGGTGGCTCGGCTGGTGCCCCCGTGGTCACTCAGAGCTGTTCACGACCCGTGAGGTTTGCGGTGAACCACCCTGGGGCGGGCACGGCGCCAGGGTGACAGAACACGCCGGACACGGCAGGGAAGGCACGAGATTTTCTTTGTTTTACCAGGTAATAAAATGTAACCCTTGGTGCCCAGCCTGGGGGGGGAGTCGGCAGGCGGGAAACCAGCGCCGCAGGAGTAGCCCCCGCGGCACGTGGCCGCAACACACCCCGCACCGGGCAATAAAGGGCAAGCCAAAGCCGCAGGCAGTGAACGCTGTGTCTCCATTCTGCGGGGCACGGGGGCCCCTCGGCTCGTCCTGCTGCAGGCAGCTGGGCCGGGCGCCTGCCGGGCCCCAGGGGCGGCACTTGGGGTCTTCCACTGGTGGGGGGACAGACTCTGCCCGCTGGGGGCTGGCCCAGCTGTGGGGGGCCATGATGAGGTTCTGGGCAGCCCTGCCCCAGCCAGTACCTGCTATTTCACCAGGAGCAACGCTGCCCCCCGCCTCTGCGGCTGCAAGGGGCCCCCAGGCCCTGCCCTCCGCACAGCTGGGCCAGGGTGAGCCCTCTGGGGCCCAGGAGACACTGGGGGGGGCGTGTTAGGGAGTCAGCAGCTTGGCCCCAGTCCCGGGGCTGGCGGTCCGGTTGAGCAGGGGCCGGTCCAGGAACAGCAGGAAGGGCCTGGGGGGGGCCCCCTCCAGCTCCAGCAGGGTGATGTTGTTGGGGGCCGAAGCGTGCAGCAGGGAGCCGGGCACGAAGAGCGTCTGCTGGGGCCCCTGTGCCGGCCAGTACCGGCCCAGGTTGAAGCCATTTATCCAGAGCTGGCCCTGGAGGGGCAGAGAGAGGGCCTGAGTGTGTGTGTGGGGGGCATTCTCAGCCTGGCACACTGCCGCCCCTGCCCACTGTCGCCCCGCACCCTGCCTGCCCACTGCCTCCACCCTACACACCCACCCGGTGCCCTCTCCCCTGACCCCCCCCCCCAAGCAGTGGGCAGAGGGGAGTGAGCAGCTGTTCCATCGCAGCCAGGCCCCAAGCCGGCCCCCCGCCTCCAGCCGGCTCCCCTGCCCCCAGCTCTCCCTCTGCCTCGGTACCTTGCTCCAGCCTGGGAACTTCACGAAGGTGTCCCAGGCGATGCCAGGGGTCTGGAAGGTCCCCGTATAGAGAGCCGGCCGCAGCGTGGCCCTGCTCCCCTCAGCCTGGGGGGTGGGCAGGGGCCAGCCCCGCACCACGGCCGCGTCCACGTCCAGGGGGTAAATCAGCCAGTCGCTGAGCAGAGCCGAGTCCAGGGAGAGATTCCGGAGCAGGCCCTGCCAACACGGGGACGGGAGACCGGTGGGGAGGAGCAACGTCCTGGGCACTGACGGCTCCGCCCGCGGGCTCCCCACACAGGGCGAACCCTGCTCCTTCCGCCTGGGGAGGCTGCCCAGCCCTGCTCCATGCCCCGGCTCCACCAGCTGCTGCCCCGTCCCTGCCCAGCCCCTCCCCTATGTCCGCAGGGACAGCAGGCATTGAGGGTGCCCGGCCCAGCGGGCACCTGGCAGCAGCGCGCCCACCTCCCGCCCCTCACCTTGAAGTCGCTGGTGTTTACACCAAAGTTGATCCTGCCCATGTTCTCCACCAGCAGGTCCAGCGTGGCACCAGCCTGGCCCGTGAGGTTCAGTGTTGTCTGCCCGTCGCGCTCCAGCCTCCCCTGGTACTCCTGGCGCCAGGCAGGCATGGGGAACTGGGTCAGCACCAGCCTCCCCTCCCCAGAGGCCCCTTGGTGCCAGGCCTTCCAGGTCCGGTCTGGGCGCCCCCACTCCCTGCACACACCGGGACAGGCAAGCGACCAGATGGACTCTCCCCAGCGGGGGGCGGGCGGAACCAGCTCCCAGGTCTCCCTCCCATATGGATACCCTGGGGGGGTGAACGCCAAAGCAAACCCCCCACAGATCCGCCCCCACAGCAGAGACGGGGACCAGGGCAAAGGCCCACAGACAAGCAAGCGCCACAGAAGTGCCCAGAAGCAGGGACCCCTGCACAGCCCCCACCCCAGGCTGTCTCCAGCACTGCCAGCCCCTCTGCCCCATGGGCACTAACCCCCCTTCTGCTGCAGAGAGAGGGGCTGGGCATCGCCCCACAGAGCTCAGGGCCCCGGAGTGGGCCGGTACGCACCCCGTTGAGCAGCACGTAGGCGCGGTCGCAGACGCTGTTGGGAGGGGAGCTCAGAGGGGCTGGATCCCAGACGTCCCGGGGCAGGCGAGTCCGGTAGAGGACGAAGCCGTGAGCCTGCAGCAGAGTGGAGGGTGAGAGCCCCATGGGAGCAGGGGGCCGAGGCGCTGCCCATGGGAAACCCTCCCCAGGGCCTCCCGGCTGCAGCAGGCCCAGCTCCTTCCTTCCCAGGTAGAGCCTTGGCAGAGGCGAGGAGTCTGGCGCCAGGACCCCGTGCCCACCCCTGCCCCCTCACCTGCTTCACGGCCTCGAAGGTGAGGGGGAACCGGCTCCGGATGGGCCCGCTGGGGCACAGCACGTCCAGCAGCTCCAGCACCTCGCCCTGCTGCAAGAGAGGAGAGAGGGTGGGTGGCTGGGTGGGTGGGTGGCCGCCTCCTGGGGCCGGGCGGGGGGAGCTCCCAGGGCAGCCACTCACCTTCCGCAGGGGCACGGAGCCGTAGGCGTACTTGGGGGTGGCGGGCGGCATCGGACCCTCAGGCAGGGGCTGGAACTGAACAGCAAACCCCCATTAGGAGCCGGCCAGGCTGGGTCAGGGGCACGGTGCCCCCTCCTGATGCCATGGAAGTGGGGCAGGGGGCCGGAGCCATCAACCCAGGGGTCGCGCCGGGGGTGCCCCCCTCCCTCCGCCCTGCGAGCCGCCCTCGCCCCCAGCTGTCCCCGCGGAGAGCAGGGCGTTACGGTGCGGGCAGGACAGAGCCCTGTCCCCAGACACAGGCAGCCGCACCGGCTTTGCGCTGTGCCCGGGGCTGGTTCCCCGCCGGCCCGCTGGGCTCGGTACCTTGCTGATGACCGTCCGGATGGCAAACAGCTTCTCGGTGGGGTCGCCGGCCTCCGAGAGCGGCGCATCGTAGTCGTAGCTGGTGGTGACTGGCTTGTATTGGCCCTTGTAGTCGGCACCTGGCCAAGGCAGGCGCAGTGAGCCACGGCTGGGCCCCAACGGTGCCCCTTCCTGAGCCCTGCCGTGCCCCCCACTGGCTCAGAGCCTGGCAAGCCGAGGGAGACAGGGGCAAGGGCCAGGGGCCGCTGGGCTCCGGGAGCCCCATGGGAACAGGGCCTGGCCCGTGGCACGGAAACCACATGGACCGTGGCCTGGCACGTTACTGGAGGATGAGGGCCGGTGCCGGCATGGGCTACAGGGCAGAGAAGGGGCTCGCTGCACCAGGCCCCAGTAGGATGGGCCAAAGCCTAGGTACCACAGCCCTGCAGGGACCCGCCAGGCAGCCGCTGTGACAAAGCGGGACTGTTCTTAATGTTTCCTCTGAATACAGTGGGGTGCCTCAGTTTCCCCTATGCATTTCTTACGTCTCTAGGGGGTGGGATAAGGGGATGTAATTGTTGCAGAGCAAAGGGCCAGGGTCCATAAATGGCGACACTCTGTCTCCTGGCCACTGATGCCCTGGGCCCTTCCCCCTGCAAGGTGAGAGCTAAAGGGCTGGAGAACAAAGGAATCAGGTGCCCTCCTGGCCTGGGAAAGGGACAAAGCCCAGAGGAGGAGGGGCTGGAGGGAGTTTCAGTTTGGGGCTGGCTGGGGACAAGGAGTGAAGGGCAGACGTGGTGGTCTGGCTCACTGCCCCCCAAAATGGACCCAGCTGAGGGGTCCTGTTCTCTGCACCTACAAGCTCTGTGTTAGACCATGTTCCTGTCGTCTAATAAACCTTCTGTTTTACTGGCTGGCTGAGAGTCCCGTCTGACTGCGGAGTTGGGGGGCAGGACCCTCTGGCTTCCCCAAGTCCCCACCTGAGCGGACTGGCTGTGGGAAGCGCACGGTGGGGCAGAGGAGGCTGAATGCTCCGAGGTCGGACCCAGGAAGGTGGAGCCGGGTGAGCTGTGTGTCCTGCAGACAGGCTGCTCCCCGAGAGGAGACTCCCCCAGAGTCCTGCCTGGCTTCGTAGGGAGCCATCCCAGCGCATTGCCCGGGGATGCCGGGACAGCCCCCCCAGCCCTGTGCCCTCCCTGGCTCCTCTGCTCCCCAGGGGCAGGGGCGGGGGGACTCACCGCTCCAGTAGCCGAAGTTGGTGCCTCCCTGGAACATGTACCTACGTGATAACCCAGAGGGGGCCATCAGCCCCCAGCAGCTAGCCCAGACAGGCCTGAGGGCTGGGCAGCCACCCTCCCTTCAGCTACCCCCCATCACCTCCCTCCTTCCTGACCCCCCAGTTCCCAAAGAGGGACCCAGCCCCACCATAGGCTGGAAATCACCAAATGCAGCCAGCCGTGTAAACCGGCTACTGCCCAAGGGAAAGGGCCAGAGCCCCTGGGGAGCATGGGACAGAGAGAGACCCCGGGAGGGGGGACAGGGACCGAGAGAGACCCGGGGGGAGGGGAGGCAGGAAGGAGAGGGCAGGTTGCATTGACCCAGGGCTGCACTGGGGCCTCCTGCCTGGAGCAGGGAAGGGGAAGCCCCTGGGGCCCTTTGCTACCAGTCCCCGTGCAGGGAGTGCAGCGTGGCCCAGAATCGTGCCAGGGCCACGGCACCGACCTGCATGGCAGGGCTGGCACCTGGCTCAGCCCAGGGACCCCTGGGTGCTGGGGGTGGTGCGGAGACGGGGAACCAGGGACAAAGGAACTGGCCGCACGGGGCTCCCTGGGGCAGGGCCAGCCGCACCCCACTGCCGAGGGCGGCTCCTGCGGGGCTGGCCAGACCCCAGCAGAGGATGGCCCTGGCCCTCCAGCACGGCAGCACCAATCCCCCTCCCTCCCGCACGAAACAGCTCTGGGGCCGGACCCGGCAGAACCTCCCCAGGCAGCCTGGGGCAGAGGAACCCCCGGGCCTTGGGGGCCTGGCGCCCGCTGGGATCCGGCAGCAGGCGCCCCATGGCCAGGGGTTCCTCTGCCCCGCCCAGCCCCCCCCCCCCCTGGCCCGGCCCCCCCCCGCGGCCGGACAGTCACATGTTGACGTTGGCTCCCAGCTGCAGCATGTCCTGGAGACCCTGAGCCACCTGGGCGGGGCTGCTGCTGGCATGCGGCTCTCCCCAGTAGTCCAGCCAGCCCGTGTAGTACTCCGAGTTCACCTGGGGCAGACGGGCCGTTACCCACAGCCCCGGCAGCCAGCCAGGGCCCCCCAAGCCCCCAGCTCCCAGCAGCCACCAGAGGGAGTCACTCCAGGCACCGGGCAGCCCCCCCCGCTCCCCGCCCCCAGCACTGAGCCTGCAGGAGTCGCTTCTGAGACAAGGGGGTCCAGAGCCCCCTGCCCAGGCCCCCTGTGCCCCACAGAGCCCCCCCATCCCCCACAGAGCCTCCCCACGCCCCAGAGCGACATCCCCCAGAGCCCTTCTGAGCACAGAGCTCCTGCCACAACCAACCCCCAACTCCTACAACCCACAAAGGCCGAGGCAGCACCCGCCCCCCATGCCCACGGGGCCCACTCTCACCAGAGGTCCCTTGGGTTCATAGAGTCGCTGAGGGGCAAACGCGGCTGTGACATTGGGGCCTGGGGGACAGAAGGGGGCAGGTCAGTGCAGGGCTCTAGGCCCCCATCGGGCTTGTCTGCCAGCCCCCCTCCCTTATACCCCCCCGTCATCTTGCCCCACATCCGAGCCAGCTCCCCCCGCCGTCCTGCCCCCATCCGAGCCAGCTCCCCCTGCTGTCCTGCCCCCCATCCGAGCCAGCTCCCCCCGCCGTCCTGCCCCCGTCTGAGCAGCTCCCCCCCCCCCCCCCATCCGAGCCAGCTCCCCCGCCGTCCCCCCGTCTGAGCCAGCTCCCCCTGTCCTGCCCCCATCCGAGCCAGCTCCCCTCCGTCCTGCCCCCATCCAAGCCAGCTCCTGCCGCCCTGCCCCATCTGAGCCAGCTCCCCCTGCCGTCCTGCCCCCCATCCGAGCCAGCTCCCCTGCCTGCCCGCTCCTGCCCCCCATCCGAGCCAGCTCCCCCCGCCGTCCTGCCCCCCATCCGAGCCAGCTCCCCCCGCCGTCCTGCCCCCCATCCGAGCCAGCTCACCCTGCCGTCCTGCCCCGTCTGAGCCAGCTCCCCCTGCCGTCCTGCCCCCCATCCGAGCCAGCTCCCCCTGCCGTCCTGCCCCCCATCCGAGCCAGCTCCCCCCGCCGTCCTGCCCCCCATCCGAGCCAGCTCCCCCCCCCATCCGAGCCAGCTCCCCCCCCGTCCTGCCCCCGTCTGAGCCAGCTCCCCCTGCCCCCCCATCCGAGCCAGCTCCCCCTGCCGTCCTGCCCCCCATCCGAGCCAGTCCCCCACCGTCCTGCCCCCACCCCCACCCCCACCCCCGCCCAGGGGCACCTGGCCCGAAGTCCACGGTGGCGTAGAGCCCCTGCAGGGTGCCGCAGCGCAGCTCGGGGGCGCTGTTGCCGTCGGTGGTGAAGAGCAGCACGTCGGGCCCCAGCCGGGCGCGGAAGGCGGCCAGCAGGTGACGCAGGTAGTCGTAGTCGCAGGCGGAGTAGCTCCCGTATTCGTTCTCCACCTGCGGGGCCGGGCAGCCGTGAGGGGGGGGGCGCTGCGGGACCCTGGCCTGCCCCCCCCCGCTGTGCCTGCTGTCAGAAAGGGTCGCTACCAACCTGGCAGCGTGACCCCCCCAGAGCAACACGAGAGAAAGGGAACAAAGAAAAGGGACCAGGAGGGGTGGGGGCTAGTTGAGGAGCCCACCCTCCTTGCGAAATGGGTAGTGGGACAAGGCCTGTGCCCATGGGCAGGGGCAGTTCAGCGAGGAAAGCAGGATCAGGCCCAGACAAGCAGACAGGCAACAGATAAAGAGATTGGAAAACAGGTTAGGAGCCCTGAGGGGCATAGTGGCAGGAGTAAGGGAAGGAGTAAGTAAGTCCAGGCATGGGGATTTCAGATCCCTGGGACAATACTTGGAATGGTGAAATCTGAGTTGATGAAGGTGTCATTTTGGGAGATAAACAAGTGATGTAAGGACAGAGAGTGAGAAGTTAACTATGCAGAGGCTGGAGGGAACGGAACAGCTGAAAGATGGGGAAGTGTTACAGAAAGAGAATTCTTGGTTTCTTTGCAGCGATTCTGAAGGAAAAATGGGCCCTTTTCCAAAGAAATGTCTGTAAATAATCCAGGCACAGAGATAATCTGATTTAAATAATTGGACTATCGACAATTTAGTCAAATTCGCTAAAAGAAGAAGGGGTTTCTATTGGAATTTACCTGCCCCCAAGTGTATAAGAGGCTGCACAGCTGTGTGAGAATTAAAGCAGTGTAAGGGCTGCTAAGGAAAAAGCGACTGTAGGTACATATCGGGGGGGGGGGGCGTAAATATATTGTGTAAACGTGTATTTTACAACATTCCTGGTTTGTAAAACCCTGTTTTGTAGGTTTAAGATGAATTGGCTTTTTGTTTGTTTCTTTGTTTGTTTTAAGTAATACCACTAAAAATCCATTTGAATCTTTCACTCAAAGCTGCAAAACTGAGGGAGGCTTTTTGCCAGACACAGGTAACTAGTGGTGTTCGGCTTTGGTAGTTAGCATTTAACCCTTAAGATACCCCAGTGCTTTATAAAGTTCAATATTTTTTTATAGACCAAAGTCGGGGCTGTAGTAAGGGGCAGCCAGAACCGGGAGAACGGAGAGAGATTCTAACTTTTTCTTGTTAACGAACAGACGGTGCCCTCTGGAGTGACAGCAGAGGTGAGGTGCACAAAGAAACAACGTCAGGAACACTGATCAGGTGGCTCTGCGTAATCAGACTGTCACTGTGATAAGCGCACATGAAAACTCTCTGAGCTCAAAAGAAACAGTTACACTGTATGTAAAAACTGGTATGGCTAACGTTATAGAAGTTAAACTAGGGAAGGAAGGTTTCAGAATAGCAGCCGTGTTAGTCTGTGTTCGCAAAAAGAAAAGGAGGACTTGTGGCACCTTAGAGACGAACCAATTTATTTGAGCATGAGCTTTCGTGAGCAACAGCTCACTGAAGGTGCATTTTCCCCAGGACATGTGCAGTGTCTATTGTAGAAGGGGTAAAAGAAATACAAACAAAACATGCTACTTAATTAAAATCCTATTAGGACTCCAAAAGGAGCCACAGTAGGTTGTTGTGATAAATGAATGGGGGGTAGTTTCCTTTTATGGACACCCAGCCACCCAGTTAGCTAAAAAGTCCCTCTTGGTGGCTGTTCTCCTGCTTGCTTTACCTGTAAAGTATTAACAAAGTTCCCCAGGTAAAGGAAAAGGAGTGAGCACCGGACCAAAAGAGCCAATGGGAGGGCTAGAACTTTTTAAAATGGGGTGGGGGGAAAACTTCCCTTGGTTTGTGTGTTGTGTCTCTCCGGGAAAGAGGGCAACAGAGGGCAGCAGGAATTCTGTGTAAGGCTTGAACCAGATGTAAAAATGCATCTTCCATACCTAGAAGAAATTATTGGACAGGGCATGTTTAAATAGCCGCAATTAGGTTTTTTTTAGTTTATTTTGGCTTGTGGATCTCCTCTGGGCTAACCCCAGAAGCCTTAGTTTGCTTGTAACCTTTTTAAGCTGAACCCCCAAGAAAGCTATTTTGGGTGCTTAATTTTTGTAATTGTTTCTTTTAAGTTCTAGCAAAAAGCCTAAGTTCCAGATGCATTTTTTTCCTTTTGGTTTCTAATAAAATTTACCTTTTTAAGAACAGTGTGGGATTTTTGGTGTCCTAAGAGGTTTCATGCTTTGTGTGTATAAAAGATCTTCTACACTTTCCACAGTATGCATCCGATGAAGTGAGCTGTAGCTCACGGAAGCTCATGGTCAAATAAATTGGTTAGTCTCTAAGGTGCCACAAGTCCTCCTTTTCTTTTTGCGAATACAGACTAACACGGCTGTTCCTCTGAAACCTGTCAGTATGCTGTTTGAGTAGCTGATAGCCACAGCTAATTTCCTTTGTTTTCTTTCTCAGCTCTTCCCTGGAAGGGGGTGAAAGAGCTTGAGGGTACCCCACAGGGAGGAATTCCCAAGTGCTCCTTCCTGGGTTCAAAGGGTTTTTTTTTGCATTTGGGTGGTGGCAGCGTTTACCAAGCCAAGGCCAGAGAGAAGCTGTAACCTTGGGAGTTAATACAAGCCTGGAGCGGCCAGTATTAATTTTTAGAATACTTGCAGGCCCCCACCTTCTGCACTCGAAGTGCCAGAGGGGGGAATCAGCCTTGACAGTTGTGTTTTCTTTTTCAGATCACTGTGTGTCTTTTGGAAGCAGGAGTTGAAAGTGGAAAGTAATCAAAACTCTGGTGGAAGTTAATTGTGTCTCTTTTAAGACAGAGTCTCTGAGCTGCTGATGGCTTTGGAGCCAAAAGCAAGCCAGAAAGCGTCTGTGTTGATGCAAATTACCTAACTGATAGAGGAAGGAGAGAGCTGCCCATAAATGGCAGCACAAAGGAGCCACAGATAAAGGACATACCTGGTCAGCAAACAAACTACCTGAAACCAAAAGGCTCAAATTATGACCCTTTGGAAAGGAAGGAAGGAAAAAGGAGTCAAACCCGAGAATAAGGACAGGTTAACCCTAAGCAGAATTTTTTGTGTGCATGTGTGTGTATGCACAGTGCTGAAATCTATAGACAGATACAAAAGGGGTCTGCTGACATGCATGATCCCCCTACCGTGTAATTCACCTAAATCCCAAGGATATGATTAAATTAAAGCCTATGCAAAGATTCAAGAGGACATTGAACACACTGGCCTCACTGACAAATTGTCTAAGTAAGAGGCATAACAAGATATGTTTAAATGCCCACTTGTAATACATTTGATGCAAATGTTATTGTTAATATTAAACACTGGGATAAATGTAATGTTAACGAGTAACCCTGTAACAATGTATATGATTTTTTGGGAAAAAACTTTTAAGTCTGCTAGAAATGGTAATTGGAAACACACCTCGTGGTTTTAAAAAAAAAAAAAAAGGAAGAAAAAAGCATTATGATAATGATGCTTCTCAGCTATGACCTGGGAATAAACTTAACGCTTAGCACAGCAAGAAAGCAACCTAACAAAAATCGATTACAAACTTGGTTTGCTGTATGGAAAGGGAAACTGAGGTACACCACCTCATGAATTTAATGACTGAACAGTGAGATAATTCACCCTAAACCCTTAAAAGGTAGACGCCATTAAATCCTGGCCTGCCTATAGAAAAAACCAAAGGAAAGAATGTGGGGTAATTCCTCTGTTTTGCCTGCAATCCGCAAGGAGATTTGTAAAAGGAAGAGATATTTTAAGCCATAATCTGCCGCCCCCCAGAGGGGGTAGAAAAATGCTCTTTGTCTTTCAGAACTTCAGGGAAAGCTGCTACCCGCTGAAGAGCAACCCAGAATACCGCGGATCCACTGCCACGGCAGATAGTGTGTTTTGTGCTTTATATTTTGTGTTGTGTTGTTGTTTGTCTTGTGCTACCGTTGCTGTGTGTTGCGTTTTGTTTTTTGTTTTTTAACTACTGCAGTAGGCAGAACAGGATTAATGAGGATTTGAACTGTATTCACAGAAACCAATAGTGCAGAATGGCAGAGGTCAAAGGCAGAGGCGAACAGGGAAACATCCCCAGGTGGTAAAGGCACGTTTAAAGGCAGAACGTGCCTCAGACACAAGGTTTATCTGTTGGTGGGAATGGAAGGATGGACATAAAACATTTTAAGCTCAAAGTGAAATTACCAAGGGAAAGAAAAGTATGTGAAACCACTGGTTACCAGGGGCACGTGAACCCCCAGTGGGGGGAGGCGAACCCCCAGCCCCGCCCCTTCCACACCCTGCCAGAGCCCCACCCCCCACACCGCGGCTACTGGCCCAGTCCCATGACAAGCCCCCCAACCCCAAAGGAGCGCCAGGAGGGAGAGCGGCTTGTGGCCCCAGCCCCCCTTGCCCTGGAGCACGGGGGGCTCAAGGAGCCAGAGAACTGGAGCCCAGGGAGTGGTCACGGCAAGCGGTGGGGTCACGCCCGGCTGTTTTGGAAGGCTGAGCCTCCCCCAGCCTATGCGACCCGCCGCCCCTGAAAATCAGTAATAATCGGCATGCCTTAATCAACTTCCAGCACGCAAGCACAGCTGAATGCACCTGGGTGTTGTATAAAGTTGGAAGGAAGGGAAGGAAGGCCATTGCCACACCTTCCCTGATTACTATACGGGGCAGTACGGTAAAGGTAGAACTGCCCCAACATTTCCTCAGTGTGAACCACTGAAGGTTACTGGATTTGCCTGGCAGCCAGGAGGGGTGGGTAGCCTAGGCTCCCAAGGGGTGTACTGGAAACTGCTTTGGGTGGAACTGGATTAGGAGTTGAGTACTGGGTGCTGCTCACATAGAGGGATGGGGCAACAATGATTTTCTAAAATACTGCCAGTGTGGCAACAGCGAGGTGAAAAGGATTCGTTATTGTTGGCAGGGACTATGGACTCAGTACAAGGACACGTGTCCTGAGCATTCGCCTGTACGCGGGCCCAGGAAATAAGGCAGCACGTGGTCATTCAAATAATCTGGGAAGGCATGTGAGGAAATTTGCCTTTGGAAATAAAAACTGTTGTGGGAAAATGTTACAGAAGGGGAGAGACAATTAACGGCATGATGGAAATTGGTGAACTTTACCCTAAATAAAGATCAAAGGGTTCTATGAGCATATCTAGTAACTCTACACCCTCTCGCTACTGGTATATATCCAGTGGTACCTGTGGGAACCCGGCGAGCAAAAAATCACCATCCCTGGGCATATAAAGAAACCCAAGAGCGGAAAACCATTGACATGTTTCAGCGGGTAGCCCATGAAAATTTGGGGTATGTGTGTGAGGATCAAAATTTACAAGAAAGAGATGGACGTGTCTATGTTAAAGACAAAGGAACCCAAGCTGTATGTCTGAGATATTCACCGAACAAAAGCCAGCTGTTGTATAGGCAGGAAGGGGATGTGTTTGTGTTAGAAGTCATTGTCCAATGGCAGGAGTAGACAATAATGAATTGTATTTTATGACTTATTTAGTTAAGAGAAGTTTTTGCAACATTACAAAGGTTAAAAGTTATGACTGTGAACACTACGTATCAGTAAGGACTGTGAACTACTTTGAAGTTTAAACCACAGTTGTATCACTTTCAGCTACCTGCAGGGGGGTTCCAAAGAGGATGGAGCTCGGCTGTTCTCAGTGGTGGCAGATGACAGAACAAGGAGTAATGGTCTCAAGTTGCAGTGGGGGAGGTCTAGGTTGGATATTAGGAAACACTATTTCACCAGGAGGGTGGTGAAGAAATCTGATGAGGTTCAATAAGGATAAGTGCAGAGTCCTGCACTTAGGATGGAAGAACCCAATGCACAGCTACAGACTAGGGACCGAATGGCTAGGCAGCAGTTCTGCGGAAAAGGACCTAGGGGTGACAGTGGACGAGAAGCTGGATATGAGCCAGCAGTGTGCCCTTGTTGCCAAGAAGGCCAATGGCATTTTGGGATGTATAAGTAGGGGCATAGCGAGCAGATCGAGGGACGTGATCGTTCCCCTCTATTCGACATTGGTGAGGCCTCCCTCATCTGGAGTACTGTGTCCAGTTTTGGGCCCCACACTACAAGAAGGATGTGGATAAATTGGAGAGAGTCCAGCAAAGGGCAACAAAAATGATTAGGGGTCTGGAACACATGAGTTATGAGGAGAGGCTGAGGGAACTGGGATTGTTTAGTCTGCAGAAGAGAAGAATGAGGGGGGATTTGATAGCTGCTTTCAACTACCTGAGAGGTAGTTCCAGAGAGGATGGTTCTAGACTATTCTCAGTGGTGGAAGAGGACAGGACAAGGAGTAATGGTCTCAAGTTGCAGTGGGGGAGGTTTAGGTTGGATATTAGGAAAAACTTTTTCACTAGGAGGGTGGTGAAACACTGGAATGCGTTGCCTAGGGAGGTGGTGGAATCTCCTTCCTTAGAAGTTTTTAAGGTCAGGCTTGACAAAGCCCTGGCTGGGATGATTTAATTGGGTATGGGTCCTGCTTTTGAGCAGGGGGTTGGACTAGATGACCTCCTGAGGTCCCTTCCAACCCTGATATTCTATGATTCTATGACACACTGGAATGGGTTCCCTAGGGAGGTGGTAGAATCTCCTCCCTTAGAGGTTTTTAAGGCCTGGCTTGACAAAGCCCTGGCTGGGATGATTTAGTTCGGGTTGGTCCTGCTTTGAGCAGGGGGTTGGACTAGATACCTCAAGAGGTCCCTTCCAACCCTGATATTCTACGGTTCACCCCATTGTGGTGATCATTGGAATCCAATTGGCTTTATTAGTGAGCACAGTGGCTTTGGCTTGCTGGAGGAGGAGAACGGTTGGAAGAACACGGGAGGCTGGCCTGCAGTGTCAGACTCGTGGGATAGTAATGGCAGCTTTGGTAAAAGCGTCATTAAGGAAGGGACTGTAAGGCCTCAGGCCTTTTCCTGTAGCCATGTTGTAAGGCCTGAGGCCTTTGTCTGCAGCCATGTTAGGAAAGCAGCAGCCGTTCGCTGAGAAGCAGGAAGTCACATCCTCACATTCCAACTAATGACATTAAAACAATGTAATATCGGGCTGATAAGGAGGAGACCCCATCCAAATAGCATGCACCCTCACCGGATAAAGAAACAGATCTCAAGCTGGTTAAAGACAACGTAGTTTGATAGCGTCCTGTCTGGCAAGAAATCACTTCTCAATAGTTGGGGTTGCGAAATCCTCATGTCTTGTTTTATCTGCATGGTCCCCACTTCCCTATTGTTTCTGTCTGTTACATAGTTAATTTTGCTAGGTGTAAATTAATTAAGGTGGTGGGGTAGGAGTGGTTAGAGAATTTTGTTACAATGTTAGGCTTGGTTAGTAAAATGATTGGTGAAGGTACAGCTAAGCGAGATGCAAGTTTCACTATATAAACTGATGTCCAAAAGGAATTCTTGGGAACCAACTCCAGGACAGAGCCCCAGAGCTGCCAGACACCAACCCTCTGCCAATGACACTGGGCAGAAACTGGAGTCCCCCAGACGGACCTGATCCTGACTGGCCATCAAGAAAAGTTCATCTGTCTTATTGGGAGTGGTGGGGGTTGTATGTGTAGCATGCGCGTTCTGTTTTGGTGACTGTTAATAAATAGAGGTCAAGAGGCTATTACTGTGTGAGGCTCTTTCACTGGTAAAAGACTCCGTAAACCCACAAAAGATTAAGCCCTGAGTCCACAGGGAATGGGTGTTTGCTCTGAGCCTGGAGTAGAAGTGGAGCCATGAAGGGGTAAAGTTAGGTGCCTTTTGCCGGGAGCCCTAGGAACTGGGAAAGGGTTGGGGTGCTAAAATCAACTGGGTTACACCTTGAGCCCTAGGAACTAGGTAGAGGTGGGATGTCCTAGAGAGTGCAAGTAACAGAGAATTTTGTGCGGGTAACAACTGGGGCAGGGGGCTCTGTGGGGGACAGGAGTGATGGGAAGAGGGCTCCAGGGCAATGGGGGTTGCAGGGGTAGGAGACTCTAGTGGGAGGGTTATAGGGGCAGGGAGCTCCGGGGGGACAGCACAGAGGGCTCTGGGCTGCTGGGATAGGCTTGGAAAGAAGCAGTGAGCCAGGGAAGGGACCCTGAGCCCCCCACCCCACCCCACCTGGATGCTGATGATGTTCCCTCCATTCTGGTACAACCGGGGCTTGATCCTGGGCAGCAGGACGTCCAGCCAGGAATCCACGGCCTGCAGGTAATCTGGGAGCAGAGACAGCAGCTGGGCTCAGCCCCCGTCTCGGACTGCACTGGCAGGTGCAAGGTTCGTGTGAGAGCCAGGAGCCCACTGTGGTTTGTGGGGAGGGCACAGGGCGCTGGCAGAGCCTGCCAGCCTTTCCTGGCTCGCCCAGGGGTGAGAGGCTGACCCCCGTCTCCAGCGGGCGGCGGGGAGGGAGGGGGAAGAGAAGGAGCCCAGCTGCTCTGCATTCGGGTCTCCAAGGATGGGGAGAAGCCTAGCAGGTAAACGCAAGAGCCCCACAGCGTCCTGGCACCAACTAAGTGGCCCTGCGTGGCTGAGGGCAGGAGCCCGGTGGGCTGGTCCTCGAGGGATGCCCCTTACCTGGGTCAGAGGAGCGAAGGACAATGTCTGGTTTCCACAGCAGCCAGGCAGGGAGGCCACCCTAGAGAAACAGCCCGGAGGAGAAAGAGACTCGTAAGTCCCCAGACACATGGCGGTTCTGGGCCAAGTGGAAGGCGCAGGAAGGTCTCATTGGCCTGCGTCACAGACCCACCACAAAGGGGTCAGAATTCACGGGCGGCAGCAGAGCTAGGAGGGGGCTGTGGGTTGGGAGTGAGGGGCACCAGCGGAGGTGTGGGGGGGGGGAGCCTAGGGCAGGGAATAGCAGAGCCGTGTGTGGGGTGCTCGTGAGCACACAGATGGAAGGGGTCGCTCTGATGTTCCCGGCTCCAGCTGCCCCGTCTGGCATCCACGCCGCGTATTCTCTGCTCCCAGACATTTGCTGGTGGGCGCATGCGGGTCTCTGAGGTGCCTCTGTGATGAGCTTCCCCACATTGGCCTGAATTCAGCTCAAGCAGGGATCTGAGCCGGACTGGGGTGGGGTGCTGGGGGCTGGGCCGGATGCGGGGGAGGAGGGGTCTGGGCCGGACAGGAGTGGGGCGTTGGGGGCTGGGCCGGATGCGGGGGAGGAGGGGGTTGGGCCGGACCGGGGTGGGGCGCTGGGCCGGATGCAGGGGAGGAGGGGGCTGGGCCGGACCGGGGTGGGGCGCTGGGGGCTGGGCCGGATGTGGGGGAAGAGTGGGCTGGGCCGGACCAGGGTGGGGCGCTGGGGGCTGGGCCGGATGCGGGGGGAAGAGGGGGCTGGGCCGGACCGGGGTGGGGCGCTGGGGGCTGGGCCAGATGCGGGGGAAGAGGGGGCTGGGCCGGACCGGGGTGGGGCGCTGGGGGCTGGGCCGGATGCGGGGGAAGAGGGGGCTGGGCCGGACCGGGGTGGGGCGCTGGGGGCTGGGCCGGATGCGGGGGAGGAGGGGGCTGGGCCGGACCAGGGGTGGGGGGGGGGGGGGGGGGGGGGGGGGGGGGGGGCGCTGGGGGCTGGGCCGGATGCGGGGGAAGAGGGGGCTGGGCCGGACCGGGGGTGGGGGGGGGGGGGGGGGGGGGGGGGGGGGGGGGGGGTGGGGGCGCTGGGGGCTGGGCCAGATGCGGGGGAAGAGGGGGCTGGGCCGGACCGGGGTGGGGGCGCTGGGGGCTGGGCCAGATGCGGGGGAAGAGGGGGCTGGGCCGGACCGGGGTGGGGGCGTGGGGGGGGGGGGGGGGGGGGGTGGGGCGCTGGGGGCTGGGCCGGATGCGGGGGAAGAGGGGGCTGGGCCGGACCGGGGTGGGGCGCTGGGCCGGATGTGGGGGGAAGAGTGGGCTGGGCCGGACCGGGGTGGGGCGCTGGGGGCTGGGCCGGATGCGGGGGAGGAGGGGGCTGGGCCGGACCGGGGTGGGGCGCTGGGGGCTGGGCCGGATGCGGGGGAAGAGGGGGCTGGGCCGGACCGGGGTGGGGCGCTGGGGGCTGGGCCGGATGCGGGGGAAGAGGGGGGGGAGGGGGGGGGCTGGGCCGGACCGGGGGTGGGGCGCTGGGCCGGGTGCGGGGGAGGGGGGAGGAGGGGGCTGGGCCGGACCGGGGTGGGGCGCTGGGGGCTGGGCCGGATGCGGGGGAAGAGGGGGCTGGGCCGGACCGGGGTGGGGCGCTGGGGGCTGGGCCGGGAACACAGGGGCTGGGGTCAGACTCAGGGCAGAGCAGCCCCTGCCCAGCCCTCACCATCTCCCACTCGGCGCAGATGTAGGGCCCGGGCCGCAGGATCACCAGGAGGCCCAGCTCTGCCGTCAGGTCCAGGAAGCTTCCCAGGTCTCGGTCCCCAGAGAAGTCATAGACCCCGGGCAGTGGCTCGTGGTAATTCCAGGGGACGTAGCTGGGGAAGAGAGACAGGATCAGTGAGGGGAGCGGCCGCCGGGGTCTGCTCGCCCTCGGGGTGGGGGGCACAGCTGCCGGGGTCTGTACTCCCTGGGGGGGGCTCGGCCCGTGGCGGAAGGCCGAGCACCCCAGCACGGCAGGGAGATCCCTAACGACACGTGTGGGTCCCGGGCGCGGCACAGGACCGAGGGCCCTGACCCAGTTATCGGTGCATTAACTCTTCGGACGCCAGAGGGCCGACTGGCCGCGCTGGGGGGGGGACAAGTGTCTCCTGTGAGCCGACCTGGCCATCGCACCAGCCAGCGCAGAGCCACCGTCACCAGCCGCCGGGGCCATGGCTGCTCTGCCGGAGGCTGCAGGGGTGGGGCTGGGATCAGAGCCCCAGGCTCGGGGACCGGAGATCACTTCGGCCCCACACGAGGCTCTGGTTTTGGGGCAGGAACCGGGGACCCAGGGCGAGAGCCGTGACCTGGAGAGCCCGTGGGCGGGCGAGTGGCCCTGGCAGGACCGGCCCTGGGGGCAGCCCGCCCCGTGGGAGCCCCGTCGGAGCACGCGGGTCACCTACACCTGCACGGCGTTGAGGCCGCTCATGTACATCTTCCGGAGCCGGTCGCGCCAGGCGGGGCGCGGGACGCGGGCGTAGTGGACGCTGCCCGAGACGTAGCGGAAGGGGGCGCCGTCCTTGCGGAAGCAGTCGTGGGTGTAATCCACCTGGAAGGAGCGGGCGCCGGCGTAGGCCTGGCCCCACGTGGGCTGTGAGCACACGCTGCCCTACCCGGGGTGCTGGCCTCACCCTGCGGGGCACTCTGGGGGGCAGGATCGAAGGGAAGCTGGAGGGCGCCCTGGGGGGGCGGATCGAAGGGAAGCTGGGGGGCGCCCGGGGAGGGCAGGGTCGAAGGGAAGCTGGGGGGCGCCCTGGGGGGCAGGATCGAAGGGAAGCTGGGGGGGCGCCCTGGGGGGGGCAGGGTCGAAGGGAAGCTGGGGGGCGCCCTGGGGGGGGCAGGGTCGAAGGGAAGCTGGGGGGCGCCCTGGGGGGCAGGGTCAAAGGGAAGCTGGGGGGGCGCCCTGGGGGGCGGATCGAAGGGAAGCTGGGGGCGCCCTGGGGGCGGATCGAAGGGAAGCTGGGGGGCGCCCTGGGGCAGGGTCGAAGGGAAGCTGGGGGGCGCCCGGGGGGGCAGGATCGAAGGGAAGCTGGGGGGCGCCCTGGGGGGGCGGATCGAAGGGAAGCTGGGGGGCGCCCTGGGGGCGGATCGAAGGGAAGCTGGGGGCGCCCCTGGGGGGGCGGATCGAAGGGAAGCTGGGGGGCGCCCGGGGGGGCAGGGTCGAAGGGAAGCTGGGGGGCGCCCTGGGGGAGGATCGAAGGGAAGCTGGGGGGCGCCCGGGGAGGGCGGATCGAAGGGAAGCTGGGGGGCGCCCGGGGAGGGCGGATCGAAGGGAAGCTGGGGGGCGCCCTGGGGGGGCGGATCGAAGGGAAGCTGGGGGGCGCCCTGGGGGAGGATCGAAGGGAAGCTGGGGGGCGCCCGGGGGGCAGGGTCGAAGGGAAGCTGGGGGGGCGCCCTGGGGGAGGATCGAAGGGAAGCTGGGGGGCGCCCTGGGGGAGGATCGAAGGGAAGCTGGGGGGCGCCCTGGGGGAGGATCGAAGGGAAGCTGGGGGGTGCCCGGGGGGGGAGGATCGAAGGGAAGCTGGGGGGCGCCCGGGGGGGCAGGGTCGAAGGGAAGCTGGGGGGCGCCCTGGGGGCGGATCGAAGGGAAGGTGCAGGCACCTCCTGCTGCCCCATGGCTGGGGGGTCAAGGCAGGGACGAGCCGGGGTGGGGGGGCTGCTCTCCGCGACGCCCGGCAGGTTAGCCTGGGGGGCGCAGCCAGGTGCCAGAGCAGGGCGATGGCCACGGGATTTCCCCAGCACTGGCCATGGGCCGCCCCCCCGCCCCGCTCTGTGGCACCCGGGCCGCTGCCGCCCCCGCCTCGGGCGGGTTGGGGGCCGGAGTGGCGGGGGGCGCGGAGAGCTCCGAGTCCCGGAGCCCCCAAGCGCCCCCGGCGGGGGCGGGGCCGAGCCCCAAGAGGGGCGGGGGGGGGCGGGGAGACAGACCCAGGCTCGGGTCTCTGTCAAAGGGGATCCAGCGCCCCCCGGGCTCCCGGCTCGGCTCGGCTCGGCCCGGCCCGGCCCGACTCACCTCCAGCGGCAGGAGCGCCGCGGCCAGCAGCAGGAGTCGGCGCCCGGGCCCCATGGTCACAGCCCCCCGCAGCTGGGAAGGAAGCAGGAGCCGTCACATGACCCGCCTCGGCCCCTCCCGGCCCTAGACAGGCCCCTTCCCAGGGACACCAGCCCCACGGGGGGGGGAAGGGAGCGCCCCCCCCCCCCCCGAGCTCCCCCGTCCTGGGCTCTGTGCAGCGCCCCAGCCCCAGCATCGCACCCCCACGAGCCTGGACCCCAGCGACCCCCACAGCAGCCCCCCCCCCCGGTGCCAGCCGGGCCCAGCGCCCCGACTCTCAGCCTGGCCAGACCCTGGCCCCCTGGCAGGGGCCGGCTGTGTCTTGCGGACCCCACGTTTCGCCTCACTTAGAAACGACTTGCTGACAAAACCAGACACGAGGACCCCAGTGCCCCGGCCCCGCTCTCGGTGCCCCGGGGCAAGGAATCGACTGGAAGCGGGCCATGGTCCTCCCGTGGCCGGGGGTCCGTCCTACCCAGAGCCCTGCGACCCGGTCGCTGGCGGCAGGAAGGGTCCGTTTGCACCGACTTCGCTAGGGCTTGTCTGGAGCCTGCCGTGAAACTCGGCAAATCCCCAGCGGGGTTGGTGTCCCCCCAGAACAGACCCGTTGGTGTCCCCCCCGTGCACCCCGGGCTGAGAGCCACTGGGCGAGAGGCCTCCCCGGGGGCAGCCCCTGGCCGCTCCTTGTCCTCGCACCGCACCAGAGCCAGGCCGCTGGGCTCAGCCGGGCGCTCGTACCCGCAGCCGGGGCAGTCACTGAGCAGCTGGGGCCGTGCCCTGCGCGTGCGGACGGAGCCGGGCTCGGCCCAGGCACCGCTGGGAGCTCTGCCGCCAGCGACCCCGCAGTGCGGACAGCGCCCGAGGGTCCCCTTTGCGCACGGCACTGGCCAGGCCAGAGCCAGGAGAGCCGGGGACCCCGGCCCGCAGCTGCGGCCCCAGGGCCCCCGGTGACTCCACCCGAGGGAAGGGACCCAGCATCAGGGTCTGCGCTGGGGGCTAATGGGGGGGCCCAGGGGAGCAGAGATCTCTGGGGGGGTCTGTGCTGGGGGCAGACGGGGGCCCAGGGGAGTAGCAATCTCTAGGGAGTCAGTGCTGGGGGTTAATGGGAGGCCCAGGGGAGCAGAGATCTCTGGGGGGAGGTGGGGATCTGTGCTGGTGGCAGACGGGGGCCCAGGGATCATAGAATCTCAGGGTTGGAAGGGACCTCAGGAGGTCATCTAGTCCCACCCCCTGCTCAAAGCAGGACCAATCCCCAATTTTTGCCCCAGATCCCTAAATGGCCCCCTCAGGGATTGAACTCACAACCCTGGGTTTAGCAGGCCAATGCTCAAACCACTAAGCTATCCCTCCCGCCTGATCTCTGGGGGTGGGGCCTGTGCTGGGGGCAGACGGGGGGCCCAGGGGAGCAGCAATCTTCGGGGGGGTCTGTGCTGGGGGCAGACAGGGGCCCGGGGAGCAGCGATCTTTGGGGAGGAGGGTCTGTGCTGGGGGCAGATGGGGCCCCCAGGGAGCAGCGATTTCTAGGGGGGTCTGTGCTGGGGGCAGATGGGGAGGGACAGGGGAGCAGCAATCTCTAGGGGGGTCTGTGCTGGGGGTTAATGGGGGGCCTAGGGGAGCAGAGATCTCTGGGGAGGGGTCTGTGCTGGGGGAAGATAGGGGGCCAGAAGAGCAGTGATCTTGCGGGAGGGTGTCTGTTCTGGGGGCAGACGGGGGGCCCAGGGGAGCAGTGATCTCTAGGGGGTCAGTGATGGGGGCTAATGGGGGGGCCGGGGGGGCAGCAATCACTGGGGGGGGTGGGGGCGGGGGGGGGGGGGGGGGGGGGGGGGGGGGGGTAGGGTGGAGACGGGGGCCCAGGGGAGCAGCGATTTTGTGAGGGGGGGTCTGTGCTGGGGGCAGACGGGAGCCCAGGGGAGCAGAGATCTCGGAGGGGGGTATCTGTGCTGGGGGCAGATGGGGGGACAGGGGAGCAGTGATCTTGGGGGGGTCTGTGCTGGGGGCAGACGGGGACCCTGGGGAGCTGCGATTTCTAGGGGGGGTCTGTGCTGGGGGCAGACGGGGGGACAGGGGAGCAGCGATCTCTAGGGGGGTCTGTGCTGGGGGCAGACGGGGAGGGGGCTCCCTCTGCTGGGCATCCCCCGGGACAGTCCCAAGGAGCAGGGCTGCTGACCGGGTGCCAGCCACAGGCAGTGCCCGCTAGGCACACTCGTCCCTCTGGGGCAGTGCCCGGTGAAGCCCAGCTGCCCTCGCTGGAGTCCTGTGTCCCAGCGGCTGGGGCAGGGCAGCCCCTTGGCCAGCTGAGCTGCCCCGTTATCACCAGGTCGAGGCCAGCTCCCTGGAGAGCGGGAGGCCCACGACTCCACTGGACGCTGCCCGCTGCCTTGGCCCCGGCGCCCCCCAGAGCAGGACATCACCATGTTCCATGACAGCTCACAATGAGGGCGCAGCCGGGGCAGCTTCCCATCCCCCCAGGACATTGCTCTGTGCCCGTCTCTGCCCCCCTTTGCTCCCTCCCCCTCCCCCTCCCCTCCCTCTCGCTCCCTTTGGAAAGTAGCGACCGGCTCCGCGGCAAGGCCAGGGGGCAGCTGGCCACCGGGCACAACGCGCTCCTGGTGGGTGTGCGGATGCTACCGCAGCGCCGATCGCCGGCGGGGCCCATGGCCGGGACTGCCCGCTCTGCCAGCCTCGCCCTTCTTCGCTCCTGCGCCGTTTGCCTGGAACCTGCTGCTGTCTGGGACGCGGTTAAACCACGGCGCCAAGACTGGCCGCGAGAGCTGGCTCTCACCAGCAAGTAACCCACCATTCTGCTTCCAGGGCCCCAGCACCTCGGGGCAGGCTGGCAAAAGGCTGGGGCTCCAGACCGAATTTACGCGCCCTTCAGGAGACATGCGCAGCCAGAGTGGGGCACGCGGCCACTGTGAGGGGTCTGCCCTGCGGTGAAGCACAGGCCGGCTGCTCACTGAACTGTAAGGGACGGGAAGGGGGTGGGGGAGCAGGGTCCTTCTGGAGCAGAGACCAGAGATGCTGAATGTTGACGCAACAGGCATTCTCCTTGCATCCCGGTAGCCCACCCTTCACACCCCTCCCGGCAGCTGCCCCCTCCTGGCCTTGCCGTCACGAAGCCACAGCAGAGAGTGGCTCCCCACATAGGGCCACCCGCGGGAGAGCACCTTGGGCTGACGCACGGCCCTGATTGTGCAGAGCCAGGCTGCTGCCCCACCCCCCCCTTCCCCCTCCCCCTCCATCAGCAAACAGCTCTCTGCCCAGCCAGGGCAGTGCGGGTGCAGAGCCGGAACGGGCAGCGGCACGATGCCGCTGAAAGCAGCCAGTTGGTGATGTTCAGAAGGCCACTGGCTGCAGCGCCATGCGGGGCAAGAGCGGAGCCTGGCTGAAATAGGCACCTGGGGCTGTGGCCATCCCCAGTGTGGAGAGGAGAATCCCAGCTCTGCTGGGACAGGCCCGTCCGCACACGAGCAGCCCCGGCGGGGCTCTCAGGACCTCCCCGGCACAGGCGGGTGTAATTCCTTTCTCACTAATGGGAGCTCATGTGAGAGCCAGGTCCTTTGGGTGCCGCAGGCCTGACAGGTGCCGCCGTATTCACACAGAGGGTTCTACGCTGGGGCCTGTGGTGCCATCCGCTCTCACTAGCTGGCTTCGACGAGTCCCCCGAGCTCCTCTGGGCAGGAGGTGACACTTGCAGGCTGCCAACTCTCCTGATTTTAGCAGGAGTCTTGCGACAGTCCATGTTTTTCGTAAAGCCCCAACTCTCAGAGTCATAGAATCACAGACTATCAGGGCTGGAAGGGACCTCAGGAGGTTCTAGTCCAACCCCCTGCTCAAAGCAGGACCAACCCCAACTAAATCACCCCAGCCAGGGCTTTGTCAAGCTGGGCCTTAAAAACCTCTAAGGATGGAGATTCTACCACCTCCCGAGGGAACCCATTCCAGTGCTTCACCACCCTCCTCGTGAAACAGTGTTTCCTAATATCCAACCTAGACCTCCCCACTGCAACTTGAGACCATTGCTCCTCATTCTGTCATCTCCCACCACTGAGAACAGTCTAGATCCATCCTCTTTGGAACCCCCTTTCAGGTGTTGAAAGCAGCTATCAAATCCCCCCCTCATTCTTCTCTTCTGCAGACTAAATAATCCCAGTCCCCTCAGCTTCTCCTCATAAGTCATGTGCTCCAGCCCCCAAATCATTTTTGTTGCCCTCCGCTGGACGCTTTCCAATTTTTCCACATCCTTCTTGTAGTGAGGGGCCCAAAACTGGACACAGTACTCCAGATGAGGCCTCACCAGTGCCGAATAGAGGGTAATGATCACGTCCCTCGATCTGCTGGCAATGCCCCTACTTATACAGCCCAAAATGCGTTAGCCTTCTTGGCAACCAAGGGCACACTGTTGACTCATATCCAGCTTCTCGTCCACTGTAACCCCTAGGTCCTTTTCTGCAGCACTGCTGCCGAGCCATTCGGTCCCTAGTCTGTAGCGGTGCATGGGATTCTTCCCTCCTAAGTGCAGGACTCTGCATTTGTCCTTGGTGAACATCATCAGATTTCTTTTCGCCCAATCCTCTAATTTGTCAGGTGATGATGGGAGAATCTCAGCTTCCATTTGAAAAATAAGTATGTTTCTAGCCCTCCTGAATGGGGAGAAAAGCTTAGAAACATGCCCCCGCTCCCCACACACAATGACTCAGAAACCAGGAGACAAACAGAAAGAACCCAAGGTTGATCGTTGTTAACAACAACCATCACAGGGCCTAATCACATCAGCCACACTATCAGAGGCTCCTTCACCTGCACATCCACCAATGTGATATATGCCATCAATTTGCAAATTGGATACTATTAATTTAGGCTTAAATAGAGACTGGGAGTGGCTAAGTCATTATGCAAGGTAGCCTGTTTCCTCTTGTTTTTTCCTCCCCCCCCCAGATGTTCTGGTTTAACTTGGATTTAAACTTGGAGAGTGGTCAGTTTGGATGAGCTATTACCAGCAGGAGAGTGAGTTTGTGTGTGTATGGGGGTGGGGGGAATGTGAGAAAACCTGGATTTGTGCAGGAAATAGCCCAACTTGATTATCATGCACATTGTGTAAAGAGTTGTCACTTTGGATGGGCTATCACCAGCAGGAGAGTGAATTTGTGTGGGGGGGTGGAGGGTGAGAAAACCTGGATTTGTGCTGGAAATGGCCCAACCTGATGATCACTTTAGATAAGCTATTACCAGCAGGAGAGTGGGGTGGGAGGAGGTATTGTTTCATGGTCTCTGTGTGTATATAAAGTCTGCTGCAGTTTCCACGGTATGCATCCGATGAAGTGAGCTGTAGCTCACGAAAGCTCATGCTCAAATAAATTGGTTAGTCTCTAAGGTGCCACAAGTCCTCCTGTTCTTTTTGCGAATACAGACTAACACGGCTGTTACTCTGAAACAACAATCTTGTGATCTTTAAGCCATGCTCCAGATTTTGGGGGCCTGACTGAGGATTTTGTCAGTGCTACGGGCTGGTGACCCTGAACTTGGCTCAGATTCCACTGTCTTCTAGCTTATTTTGCTGCAGGTAAATGATTCCCCGGCAGCATGGGGGAATTTCCCTTCCCAGGGGAGGGAATTGAGGCCATAGAAAAGAAACTGAATTCAAAAGGTTTCAGAGTGTCACGGAGTCCCTGGGCGATGCTCTGGAACTGCTCCCCATGAAGCCAGTCAGGACTCTGGGGCAGTCGCCTTTCTGTGAGCAGCCTGTCTTCAGGACACGCAGCTCACACAGCTTCCACCTTCCTGGGTCTGACCTCGGAGCATTCAGCATCCTCTGCCCCTCCGTGCGCTTCCCACAGCGAGTCCGCTCAGACGGGGTCCTGGGGAAGCCAGAGGGTCCTGCACCCCAACTTCGCAGTCAGACGTGACTCAGCCAGCCAGTAAAACAGAAGGTTTATTAGACGACAGGAACATGGTCTAAAACAGAGCTTGCAGGTGCAGAGAACGGGACCCCTCAGCTGGGTCCATTTGGGGGGCAGTGAGCCAGACAACCACGTCTGCACTTCACTCCATGTCCCAGCCAGCCCCAAACTGAAACTCCCCCCAACCCCTCCTCCTCTGGGCTTTGTTCCTTTCCCGGGCCAGGAGGTCACCTGATTCCTTTGTTCTCCAACCCTTCAGCTCTCACCTTGCAGGGGGGGGGAAGGGCCCAGGCCATCAGTTGCCAGGAAACAGGGTGTCGGCCATTCTCTGTGTCCAGACTCCTGCACACACCTGCCCTCTAGGGCTCTGCAGTGATTATACACCCTTACCCCACCACTTAGATACTTAAGAACTGCCTAGGGGAAACTGAGGCACCCCCACACTATTCAGAGGAAACATTAAGAACAGTCCCACTTCGTCACACAGAGGAACAGCCGTGTTAGTCTGTATTCGCAAAAAGAAAAGGAGTACTTGTGGCACCTTAGAGACTAACCAATTTATTTGAGCATGAGCTTTCGTGAGCTACAGCTCACTTCATCAGATGTTTACCGTGGAAACTGCAGCAGACTTTATATACACACAGAATTCATGAAACAATACCTCCTCCCACCCCACTGTCCTGCTGGTAATAACTTATCTAAAGTGATCAACAGGTGGGCCATTTCCAGCACAAATCCAGGTTTTCTCACCCTCCACCCCCCCCCCCCACAAATTCACTCTCCTGCTGGTGCTAGCCCATCCAAAGTGACAACTCTTTACATAATCAAGTCGGGCTATTTCCTGCATAGATCCAGGTTTTGATTATGTAAAGAGTTGTCACTTTGGATGGGCTAGCACCAGCAGGAGAGTGAATTTGTGTGGGGGGGTGGAGGGTGAGAAAACCTGGATTTGTGCTAGGGGGAAGTGAGAAAACCTGGATCTATGCAGGAAATAGCCCGACTTGATTATGTAAAGAGTTGTCACTTTGGATGGGCTAGCACCAGCAGGAGAGTGAATTTGTGTGGGGGGGTGGAGGGTGAGAAAACCTGGATTTGTGCTGGAAATGGCCCACCTGTTGATCACTTTAGATAAGCTATTACCAGCAGGACAGTGGGGTGGGAGGAGGTATTGTTTCATATTCTCTGTGTGTATATAAAGTCTGCTGCAGTTTCCACGGTACACATCTGATGAAGTGAGCTGTGGCTCACGAAAGCTCATGCTCAAATAAATTGGTTAGTCTCTAAGGTGCCACAAGTACTCCTTTTCTTTTTGTGAATTCAAAAGGGCTAACACCCACCTCCCCGAAAGGCCTCTCTGGTGTTTGGAGCCAAAGGCAGACAGGGAGGGTTTCTGCATCCCCTCTGCCTCCTTTTCATTAACTATAAGAACACCTGGGACTGGGAGGGACTCCAGGGGTTGTGGAAGAGAGGGGGCGGATGGTCGTCAGCAATCCCTCGAGGTCGAGGAGGGTCTCTGTCTCAGGTTTTATTTTTCATGGGTCCTTTGGGGACTGAGGAGTCCAATCCCTGGGCCGCAGGCTCGTCGGCAGACACTGCAGGTGGTGTTAGAAGACAGGGTCGGGCCGTGATTGCTGTGTGACTGTTGTCTTTCCTTTCTTTTCTGGCATTTTTCTGGCATGACCAGGGCAAGGTGATTTTCCTCAAAGGTGGACGTTCCCTCCCTCCCTCCTTTGCCAGTTACTCCTCTCCTGGGCTGCTGTCTCCCAGTATGTGGTGTCACGTCTCTTGAAGTTTATCTTCAGGATGTCTTTATAGCGGTTTTTTGGGCCTCCTCGTTTCCCTTCTCCTTTGGTGAGCTGGGCATACAGCCGTTGTTCTGGTAAGCGCACATCAGGCGTGCGCATGCAGGGCCCGCTCCAACTCAGATGGTGCTGGCTAGTCAGGGCCTCAACACTGAAGATGTTGGTCTCTGTGAGGACACTGACATCAGGCTGGATTAATGCAGGGGCTTTAGGGGCTGCAGCCCAGGGCCTCAGGCTAAGGGGGGCCCTGGCCCTGCAAAAATAAATCCAATTATATATTTTTGAAAAAAATGGGGTCAGCAACAACTTTTGGCACACGGCCTGTCAGGTAAATAAACTCTGTGGCCCGCCAGCGGATTACCCTGACGGGCCACGGGCCAAAGGTTGTTGCCCCTGCCCCTTCTCCTCTCCTCCACCCCTCCCCTCAACCCCCTGCCCCGCCCCTTCCCCTCCTCTCCCCCACAGCCCCTCTGCCCCGCCCCTTCCCCCTCTCCTCCACCCCTCCCCCACAGCCCCTCTGCCCTGCCCCTTCCCCTCCCCCCTACAACCCCTCTGCCCCGCCCCTTCCCCTCCCCTTCTCCTCTCCTCCACCCCACCCCTCAACCCCTCTGCCCCGCCCCTTCCCCTCTCCTCCACCCCCTCCCCCACAGCCCCTCTCCCTCCCCTTCCCCTCCCCCACCTCTCCCCTTCCCCTCCCCTCCACCCCCTCCCTCAACCCCTCTGCCCCCCCCCCCCCTCCCCTCCCCTCAACCCCCTGCCCCGCCCCTTCCCCTCCTCTCCCCCCACAGCCCCTCTGCCCCGCCCCTTCCCCTCTCCTCCACCCCTCCCCCACAGCCCCTCTGCCCTCCCCCTTCCCCTCCCCCCACAACCCCTCTGCCCCGCCCCTTCCCCTCCCCTCCTCCACCCCAACCCCTCTGCCCCGCCCCTTCCCCTCTCCTCCACCCCTCCCCTCCCCTTCTCCTCTCCTCCACCCCTCCCCTCAACCCCCTGCCCTGCCCCTTCCCTCCCCCCACAACCCCTCTCGCCCCTTCCCCTCTCCTCCACCCCTCCCCTCCCCCACAGCCCCTCTGTCCTGCCCCTTCCCCTCTCCTCCACCCCTCCCCCACAGCCCCTCCCCCTCCCAGTTCCCCACAGCCCCGCCCCTTCTCCTCCCCGCGGCTGCCGGCGCAGGGTGATGACGTGGCGGCAGTTCCGGCCCAGGCGCCGGCCGGGAAGGGGCGGGGCTCGCGGGTCATGACGTCCCCGCCGGGGTCCGGGTCCCGCCCCCGCCCAGCCGCCGCCAGCGCCGGGCCCGGGACGGGCGATGGGCCACGCGCTGTGCGCCTGCGCGCGGGGCAGCCTCAGCATCGAGGGGCAGCGCTACCTGCTGCTGCAGCGCCTGGGGGAGGGGTGAGCGCGGGCGCGGGGGGGGGCGAGCGCGGGCCGGGAGGGGCCGAGGCGGGGGAGGGGTGGGAGCGCGGGGGGTGGCGCGGGGGGGCCGGCCTGAGGCGGGGGAGGGGGGAGCGCGGGCGGGGGGGGTGAGCGCGGGGGGGGCCGGCCTGAGGCGGGGGAGGGGGGAGCGCGGGCGGGGGGGGTGAGCGCGGGGGGGGCCGGCTGAGGGGGGGAGGGGGAGGGGGGGGGGGGGGGGGGGGGGGGGGGGGAGGGGGTGCGCGCGGGGGGGGCTCTAGCAGCGGCCGGTTCCTGAGACGCCTCCGCTCCCCCCCCCCCCACTGGTGCTGCCTGGGGCGGGAGGGTCGGTGTCATTCCCCCTCCCCCACTGTACAGCCGGGGAAACTGAGGCAGGAAGGTGCCATGGGGGACGCGTCCGCAGGAACCCGTCCCTGAGTTGGCCGCGGGTGTCGGCCCGGGGGGCGGCGCTGGCTGCTGCTCTCCGGGCCCCAGAGTGTCCCGGGGCCTGGTGCGTTTCTGGCGAGGGGGCCCCCCCGGCGGCGGGGGTTCAGCCCTCCCCGGGGCCTGGGCACACACGCCCGCCTCCCAGCCCGGGGCCTCCCAGCCGCTCCCGTCCCGCGGGGCTCGGCCCCGCTCCTGGTGCCGTGAGCCCGGGGGCCAGTCGCGGCCTGGGGAGCCGGGGCCAGTCGCGGCCTGGGGAGCCGGGGCCAGTCGCGGCCTGGGGAGCCGGGGCCAGCCCCGCGGGACGGGAGCGGCTGCGGGCTCGCCTGTGCGGGACCCCGGCCCCCTCGCTGTGTTCCGGTGTGCGGGCGGCGAGGCCGGGTCCTGGCCCCGCGGCGCGGCCGGTGCAATAGCTCTCCGCTCGGAACAGGCCCCCTGACAGCGTGGGGCGCTGGGCCCCAGGGGAGGCTGCCCATGGGTAGGCGGCACGGAGCCTGAGTGGGGCCCCGTGGAGCCTGGGCGCTGAGGCGGATGGGAGAGGAGCGGGGCTGGAGCAGTGGGTGATGGTGTGCCCGCTTGCCGTGCTGCTGGGCGGGAGGGGCTCTGTCTCTAGGCCTGGTTATCTCTGGCATGTCGCCCTCCCCCTCAGCAGCCTGTCCTGCTCCCGGGAGAGGCGCAGGGACCCCTGGAGATAACATCAGAGCGGCCAGACTGGGTCAGACCAAAGGTCTGTCTAGCCCGGTGTCCTGTCCTCTGACCGCGGCCAGGTGCCCCAGAGGGAATGAACCGAACAGGGAATCGCCCAGTGATCCATCCCCTGGCCCCCATTCCCGGCTTCTGGCAAACAGGGGCGAGGGACACCGTCCCTGCCCATCCTGGCTAATGGCCATTGAGGGACCTGTCCTCCAGGAACGTATCTAGTTCTTTTTTGAACCCAGTTATAGTCTGGTGAAGGGTGTTGGGCGTTGTATGACAAAATACTTCCTTTTGTTTGTTTGTTTGTTTGTTTGAAACCTGCTGCCTATTAATTACATTTGGTGACTCCTAGTTCTTGTGTTATGGGAAGGAGTAAATGACGCTTCCTTAGTCACTCTCTCCACATCAGTGGTGATTTTATAGGCCTCAATCAGATCCCCCCCTTAATCGTCTCTTTCCAAGCTGAAAAGTCCCAGTTTTATTAATCTCTCCTCATACGGCCGCCGTTCCATCCCCCTCATCATTTTTGTTGCCCTTTTCTGATCCTTTTCCAATTTATCTTTTCTGAGATGCAGTGACCACATCTGCACGCAGTATTCAAGGTGTGGGCGTACCAGGGATTTATAGAGAGGCAATAGGATATTTTCTGTCCTATTCTTTCTCCCTTTCTTAATGATTCTGTTCATTCTGTTCGCTTTTTTGACGGCTGCTGCCCATTGAGTGGATGATTTCAGAGAACTCTCCACAGTGACTCCAAGATCTCTCTCCAGTGGTAACAGCTAATTTAGACCCATCATTTTGTAGGTAGAAGTGGGATTATGTTTTCCCCCATTACTTTGCATTTACCAACATTGAATTTCATCTGCCATTTTGATGATGTCTCTGCCCCCCTGCTCTGGGGTGTTGGGAGCTGCTCCTGCCCCACTCACACTTCTCTGCCCCTCAGAGGCTTCAGCTACGTGGACTTGGTGGAGGGGCTGCAGGACGGCCGTTTCTATGCCCTGAAACGCATCCTGTGCCATGACAAGGAGGACTGCCGGGAAGCCCTGCACGAGGTGGAAATGCACGGCCTCTTCGAGCACCCCAACATCCTGCGGCTCGAGGCCCACTGCATGGTAGAGAAAGGGCCCAAGCACGAGGCCTGGCTGCTGTTGCCCTTTCTCAGGGTGAGGCCACCCTCCCTCCCAGGGGAGCCATGACACGGCCGGAGGTGCTCATCCCCCTGCCCCAGGGGCACCGTGCCTGGTGCCAGGCTCTGTTTGTAGCCAAGGGGTCAGATTGCAGCTGGCCTTGGAGCCCAGTGCAGCAATGCATCCTGGGAGGGGCAGTCTTGGGGGCCAGCACTCTAGGCCAATGGCAAAGGGAGTAGGAGATGCAGCCTGGGGCAGTGTGGGGGAGGAGGAGGAGGAGGGTGGTTACTGTCCCTCCAGGCAGCTGTTACTCCAGCCCTGCTCTGCACCTGGGTCAGAGCCACCGGTGTGAGGGTCTGCACTGGGCCTCACACAGCCAGGGCTGTGAGCTGGGGACTGGAACCGCCCAGCCAGCAGAATCCTGGCTTGGGCAGGGCCTGGGCCCAGCAGCTGCAGAGGAAAGTTTAAAACTCCCAGGTGGCTGCAGTGGGGGTCCTGAGTTGGGGCAAATAGCCTTTAGAAAGGGGTCCATGCTGTCCAGACACCCCTCCAGCCCCTGCTGAATTTGGCAGAGCCCTGGGGCCCCCCTGGTCTCTTGTGGCAGTGAGTTCCACAGATGACTGGTGTCTGTGTGCAGCATCACTGTCCCTGCTGATGAGGTGGGGCCCATAGCTTAGAGCAGCTGCTTGCTGGGAAACGAGGCCTGGGCCAGGATGCTGTAGTTTGTCACTCTCCAAAGCTGTCTCTGCTCCCCCCCTCCACCTGCTGTCACTTATCTGAGAAATCTTGGGAGCTGTTAGCAGAGGGCTCTTACTAGGAGCTGGCGCAGGAAGCCCTTCATGGCTTATCCCCCAGTGTGGGCCAGTGCTGGCAGGCTAGGCAGCTGGGGAAGGTGCTTTCTATGCCCCCTCTGCCAGTGCCCTGCAGGGAGTGTCCCACTAACCGGCCGCCTGTTTGCTTGCCAGAGAGGGACCCTGTGGAGCGAGGTGGAAGCTCTGCGAGACAAAGGCATCTTCCTGGCTGAGGAGCGGATTGTCCCCATTCTCCTTGGCATCTGCCGAGGGCTGCAGGCCATTCATGCCAAGGGCTATGCACACAGGTGAGCCCAGCCACGGGCTAGTGCCCTTGGCCACCAGACCTGTCCCCCTCACGACTGCAGGAGCACTCGCAGTGGGCAACCGGGCACGAGATCCTCACATGCAGAGCTGGAGCACCAGCACTGGACTGGTGGGGGATGGGTCAAAGTGGGGGCATCAACACTGGACCCATGGGTGTGGGTCAGAGTGGGGCATCAGCACTGGACTGGTGGGGGAAGGCTCTGTGCCCTCTCTAGGGCCTGGGAAGCTGCAGGGAACTTGCTGTCTCTTGGTCCCCACAGAGACCTGAAGCCCACCAATGTGCTGCTGGATGACAAGGAGCAGCCAGTGCTGATGGACCTGGGCTCCATGAACCGGGCCCGCATTGAGGTCAAGGGCTCCCGGGAAGCCATGGCTGTGCAGGTATGAGGCTCTCTGCCCAAGGGGTGCAGGGTTCTGCAGCCCCTCCCTGGGGGAGGGCTGGGATCAGCTGGTGGGGTCTTAGAGGTCCTGGGAATGTTTCTCTCATCAGCTGGGGCTCTCCTGGGGAGGAGGCCCTGTGTAACCCTGTCCCACACCAGTCACAGGCCTCCTGCCCTGCTACCCCTGAACAGCCCCTGCCCCCCACTGCTGAGAGCTGGGCACAAGGCGAGCTCTGAGCAGTGACTGAGAATAGCCCCTCCCCAGCCTGGCTCAGTCCCTGTGGAAAATGGCTCGTCTTGTCCTGCCAGCCCCCGGGGTCCTGGTGCGGGGCTCACCCTGTGCTCCGCCCTTCCTAGGACTGGGCGGCTCAGCGCTGCACAATCTCCTACCGGGCACCTGAGCTCTTCACGGTGCAGAGTCACTGCGTTATCGACGAGCAAACAGACATCTGGGTAAGGAACCCCTTGGCATCCCCCTGTCCCGGGGCAGCTTCTCTCCCCTCCCTCTCTGTGCTGGCTAGGGGGGAACTCAGGGGAGTGGCTGACCTGGCCTGGTTCAGTCCCTAGGCTGCGTGCTGTACTGCATGATGTTCGGCGAGGGCCCCTATGACCTCATCTTCCAGAAGGGCGACAGCGTGGCTCTGGCTGTGCAGAACCAGCTCCGCGTGCCCCCCAGCAGCAGGTGAGGAACAGGGGAGGGGAGGGTCTGCTCTGTGCTCACCCCCTGCACAGGGGCCCAGCCTCACAGACCTGCTGTGCCTCTTGCAGGTATTCCGCTGCCCTGGAGCACCTGCTCTCCTCCATGATGGCAGTGAGCCCTCAGGAGCGGCCCCACGTCTCCCACATACTTGACCAGCTGGAGGGGCTGCAGTCAGCACCAAGTGGCCAGGACACCACACGGATCTGAGCCCTGCACAGCTCTGTACCCACAGGGACTGGTGTGCGTAGGGGGGTGTACACGCACAAGGCCTACGGGCAGCTGCTGACCTGCCCCAGGGATGGACTCACAGCATTGCTTTTAAAATGGAATTTTAGGTTAAAAGCAAAACCAGCCCTGTGGGGCTAAGTCCTGCCACCAGTGCCAGGCTGGCATATGCTGTCTGCTTCAGCACCACGCTGGGCACCTGCCCTGCTGCTAGGAACTCCGCCAGCCTTGGGCCTGGGCAGGACACAGCAGCCTGCCCCTTCCCTCCTGCCCACCACAGAGCTCCACTTGGCTGGGGAGGGGAAGGTGGTACGAGTACTTCACCTTCCCCTGGGCTGCCTCCAGCAATCCAGCTGGGGTGGCCTTCGCAGCATTTCCTTGGCCATGGGGAGAGATGCTGCCTTCTGACCCTCAGTCAGGGGTGTTGCCTGAATCTGCTGCTGGGCTCTACCCAGCACCTCCCCAGGCCCAGCGTCCCCCTCCAGGGGCAGCCTGTTCCCCTTCTCCTGCTGGAAGGGAGGTGGGGCCCAGCCTGTACCCCCACCAGGGCTTGTCTGTTTAGTAAAGTGTGTGCACAGAGAATGTGGCCTGACTCCCTGGGATTCCTGTGACGACCCCCCCCCCCCATGCAGCCTGGGGGGAGGGAAGACCTGGGAACATATGGGATTGGGGATAGGCTCAACCTCTACAACTGTCTGGCCCTGACTCCAGCCCAACAGAGGCTTTCCTGCTGGGGTGGGGGTAAGGGGCTGTGGCTGTCTGGGCCGCCAATGGGGCAGGGATGAAAAATACCCCCCCCCCCCCGGCACCAGGGGGCAAGCAGCCTCCTTTGGTTGGGGGGGAGGGGGGAGAAAGGAGGAGGGAGAGTGTTGCTGCTGGGGCTCAACTAGCAGAGGGTGGCACTGGGACTGTTACTAGGGAGCAGGGGCCAGAGCATAAATCAATGATTAACCCCAGCCCTGTCCTGAGAGCCCTGCTGTTCCCAGTGCAGGCTGCCCCCTTCCCCCATGGGCTGCAGGGAGAGCCAGCACCCCATGGCTGGCACTACCCAGGGCCTTGGGAGCAGGGGCAGAGCCTGGCCCAGGCAGGTTCCCTCCCACCCCCAGGAGAGGGGAACAGGGCACGGCCAGTGTAGCCCAGCCAGATGCCAGCTCACCTTCCCAGCCAATAGCCAGGGGAGTTGGCACTGCCAGGGGCCCTCCCAAGCAAGGCCTGGGGGAGGGGCAGGCTCTACCCCTCCCTGCAGAGGCACAGACAGCAGAGTAACATGCCCCCTTTTCCCATGTAGCTAGTCCAGCCCTGGGCTCAGCCCTGGCCATGGCCCCAGGCAGGCTCCAAGGCTCAGCCCTGCTCAGGGAGTCGTGTCACGTGGAGGATGCTTCCCATCACTAAGCAACGGAACTGGCTATGCCATGCTGGCTGCTTTGTGCAGGGGTGGGGGGCAGCCTGGGAGAGCCCTTGCCCTCAGCAGGCCACTTACAGCTGGGCATATGGGGGGCAACCCCCAGGACCTGGAGTTTGCTGGTGGAGTTGTCCACCCCTCCTCCAGTGAGAGAGCAGGATAGATCCGAGAGCCCAAGCCACACTGGGCACCTGGTCAGGCCTAGGGCTTAGAAGCCACCACTTGCCCACAGCCCCAGCTAGGAGCCAGGTACCTGATTTGGGGGCAACCTGCCTTGCTGATGGCCTATGCTACTGTGCTGCCCAGGATGTCTTGGGACCCCATTCCCAGCCCCAACACAGCCTGGCCCCAGGGCTGTAACTGGACCTGCTCAGCACCAGCTCAGTGGGCCTAGGACTGACAGTGCAGCAGAGCTGGGACACTCACTACAGCCCTGCCCCTGGCAAGAAACAGCCACAGCCTCAGCTTTGGGTTCAAGACCAAGGAGATGGTTTATTGTTTAAAGGATTTTGCAATTAACACTATAACATGAAAGTCCTTCAGCCAGTGCCTCAGTACTCCTCTCCCTCCTCTTCATCCTCATAGGAGTCAAGGCCCACCTCCTCGTAATCCTTCTCCAGGGCAGCCATGTCCTCCCGGGCCTCTGAGAACTCCCCCTCCTCCATGCCCTCTCCCACGTACCAGTGCACGAAGGCCCGCTTGGCATACATCAGGTCAAACTTGTGGTCCAGCCGAGCCCAGGCCTCGGCAATGGCCGTGGTGTTGCTCAGCATGCACACGGCCCGCTGCACCTTGGCCAGGTCGCCGCCGGGAACCACCGTCGGGGGCTGGTAGTTGATGCCAACCTTGAAGCCAGTTGGGCACCAGTCTACGAACTGGATGCTGCGCTTGGTTTTGATGGCGGCAATGGCAGCGTTGACATCTTTGGGCACCACGTCCCCGCGGTACAAGAGGCAGCAGGCCATGTATTTCCCGTGGCGGGGGTCACACTTCACCATCTGGTTGGCTGGCTCAAAGCAAGAGTTTGTGATCTCAGCCACAGAGAGCTGCTCATGGTAGGCCTTCTCTGCAGAGATGACGGGGGCGTAGGTGGCCAGCGGGAAGTGGATGCGGGGGTAGGGCACCAGGTTGGTCTGGAACTCTGTCAGATCCACATTGAGGGCACCATCGAATCGGAGGGAGGCGGTGATGGAGGACACGATCTGGCTAATAAGGCGGTTGAGGTTAGTGTAGGTGGGGCGCTCGATGTCCAGGTTCCTGCGGCAGATGTCGTAGATGGCCTCGTTGTCGACCATGAAGGCGCAGTCCGAGTGCTCCAGGGTGGTGTGGGTCGTCAGGATGGAGTTGTAGGGCTCCACCACCGCGGTGGAGACCTGAGGCGCTGGGTAGATGGCGAACTCCAGCTTGGACTTCTTGCCATAGTCAACGGAGAGACGCTCCATCAGCAGGGAAGTGAATCCGGAGCCGGTGCCGCCCCCGAAGCTGTGGAAAACCAGGAAGCCCTGGAGCCCCGTGCACTGGTCAGCCTGCGGGAAAAACAAACATCAGAGCTCATTAGACTAAGTACCAGCCAATCCAGGCTGCAGCCCAGACATGGCCAAGAAGGATAGATAGAGAACCAGCTGGCCGAGACCTCCACCAGTTCCCAGGCCAGCCCACCCAACCCAGGGGAAGAACAAGCCCCAGTGTCAGAAAGGGAGCCCTCCAGGTCCCAGACCCCTTGTCAAGCACAGCCAGCTCCCAAGGCCTCCCCAGACAAGAGCATGTTTAGCCATGTTTTGTGGGGACTTACAGCGAGAAGCTGGAGCCCTCTTACCAGCTCCTTGGCTGGGCAGAGCGCAGACCCCCCCCCCCAATATTCCCTCTGACAGGCTGCATACCAGCTTCCGGATCCTGTCCAGCACTTGGTCGATGATCTCCTTGCCGATTGTGTAGTGCCCACGGGCATAGTTATTGGCAGCATCTTCCTTGCCGGTGATGAGCTGCTCTGGGTGGAAGAGCTGGCGGTAGATGCCGGTCCGAATCTCATCTGGAAGAGACGAAAGGAGGGGTGTGGGACAGGACTCTAGGCCAGTGGTGGTCCCCCCCACCCCCCTTAACAGAATCTGCCTGCACCCCACCCCCCTTACCTCACAGCCCAGGCTCCCGCCCCAGCCTGGCCTCACTGGGCTGGCCCAAGCAGCCTGGCGTTGCTGCTCACCCCCTCTGAACGTTCCCATGTGCACCCCATGGACATCAGCAGAGGCCGGTGCACTGAGCTGGCCTGCTGGCGCAGGGGGTGGAGGACGGCCATCCTCCACCCAACAGGAGGGCCTGGGGCACAGGCTGACGTCCCTGGAGAAGCCGCCAGGGTGTGGCGGAGGGTGTGGGACACAGCATTTCGCCCACACCAGGAAGTGGCACCAGCTGCCCCGAGGGCGTTCAGTCTAGCTCTGAGCAGTGCCGTGGCGGGAGCAGACCTGCCGGTTGGGTAGGTTTCTCTGGGCACCAAGCCTGTGTCACGGATAACGAGCATCAGCGTACATGACGCTTCTCATCCTCAAAGCCCCCCCTGCAGTGGGGAAGGCCAGTCCCAGGCCAGGCGGAAGGGCCTGGCACAGAGCTAGGGCAGGGCTGCCCCGTGGGCAGGAGTGACTGAGGCCGCACAAGCCAGCTGCTGCGCTTGGCAGTCCAGGAGGCAGACGTGGCTGTAGCTGGGGGGCCTAAATCCTTCACCAGTGAGCGCCCCCCCCACCCCACCCAGGCACCGTCACTCACCGATCACGGTGGGTTCCAGGTCCACGAAGATAGCCCTGGGGACGTGCTTCCCAGCGCCCGTCTCACAGAAGAAGGTGGTAAAGGAGTCGTCCCCTCCCCCGATGGTCTTCTCGCTGGGCATCTGCCCGTCCGGCTGGATGCCGTGCTCCAGGCAGTACAGCTCCCAGCAGGTGTTGCCCATCTGGACGCCGGCCTGGCCGACATGGACTGAGATACATTCACGCTGCAGAGAGAGAAGGGCCATTGAGGTGCCTCTCCAGGCCAGTGGACCCAGAGCCCCATGCCAGCGCTGGTGGCGAGGTGGGGCCCGCGGCTCCCCCAAACTCCTGGGGGATCACAGTGCCGGTCTCTGTTCAGCGAGAGCTGCCAGACAGCCCGGGACATTAGTGCCTGCGGGTCAGCACAGCGGGCGAAGGGACCTTGGAGAACAGTCCTGCTACCAGCTTCCCAGCCTGGGGCAGCACCGAGCCCTGGCCCAGCCCAGAAGGAGCCTGGGATTCTCAAGCAGAGAGTCCATTCCACGGGGGAGAAGGGGCTGCTTGCTCCCGGCAGCCCCCGACCCTGGTGCCCAGCACCATGGAGGCCAGGTGAGTCGTGCAGCACAGGGAAACACTGCAGGCTGCAACTGGCTGCCACACTGCGTGTGTCCCACCCCCCCCCCCCCACTGCAGCACTGCCCAGACTGCAGCTGTGGGGGAGCAGCCCAGCCCTAGATCCAGCAGCAGTCACACTCCTAAGGATTGTGTCTGCCACACCCTGCTGATAGAACCGCTGGCCGCAGCGTTGTGGGAGGTCCCTGCTACAGGGACCATGCTGGGCACTTGCTCGATACCTGTCCTTGGCTCTGAAGGTGGCAACGCCAGGGCAGGAGCAGGGGAGGAATTGCAGCCGGGGGGGGGGGGGGGCACACACGACTCCTCACCCAAGGCCATACAGTGCCTTGGTGGGAGGGCTCGGATCAGACTCTTCAGTGGTGCCCATCCCCCTGGGACCCAGCCCACAGCCCCTCACTGTCCCAGGACTGCAGCAGCCCCTGCCAGCTTACTGCTGCCTGGAGCCCCCCAGGGTCAGGTTGGAGGCTTGGCTGTCCCTGGGACCAGCTCTGGCTCCCATCCACCATCTCGCTGCAGCGAGAGGGGAGGAGCCGGGACTGCAGTGTCAGGCAGGTGCTGAGCTGACAAGCACATACCTAATGCATGAGCTACAGGCCCACCCTCGCTGCTCCCAGCCAGCCTGGGCACGGCAGCGCCATTCCCAATCCCAAGGGAACCCAGCAGCGGGCAGGGCTGCGGGGCATCAGAGTGGGGGGAGGGCAGGGAGGCTGCCCGTGCTCTAATGGGGAATAAGGCCCTTCCACCTAGCGGCATAGAGCAGCGCCCCCCTGGAGCCGCTACAGGGCCCGTGGGAGGGCTGCGGGGAGGGG